CAGCCTGAGGCAGGAAGCTGGGAGGCAGCCCACTCCTCAGCCCCCTTTCATGACAGCTGTCCCCGGTGGGCCACCTGCAGCAGGCAGGAGCAGGCAGAGGGGATTCCTGGCCAGCCGTGGGCCTCTGGGGACAGCCCTCAGATTCCAGGCAGATTTCTCTGCTTGGGGACCGCTCCACGGGCCTGTCATGAGCCATCACGACCACTAGGTGTCACCTCGGCTCCAGCTTTCCTGCAGCTTTGAGCTGGGTCTTTGGTGGGGCGTCCTCTGCCAGGGGTACCCCAGGATCGCCCCTCATCTGAGGGAGAGCCAGTCTCAGGGCTGATCACCTCCACAGCCTGCAAGCTCTTTCTCAGCGGAGGCCCAAGTAGAGGCAGGCTGGCTTCCACCTGGCCAGCCCCTCCCTCCCCTGCCTCACTTGGTTCAGCCCTTCCAGCTGGCTGTGGTCCCATCTCTCACCTGCCTTTGGTAGCCTGACTCCTGCGGCAGGCCTCCACAGCAGGCTCTCGACCTCATCCCTCCACAAAACTGCTCTTGGCAAAGTCGCCCACGATCTCTGCACTGGACCCCTAAGACCTTCCTCTTCCTCCTCCTCCTCTGTGCTGCCCTTCGTGGCCTCTTTCTTGCAGATACTCCTCTCTCTCTGTTTTTGTGATCGCCTTCCCTTGCTGGCTATCCCCGAATGCTAGAGCAGTCACGGCAGCCTGAGCAAACGCATCTAGGAAGAGGAAGCCCTGGAAGGAGAGAGCTCCTCATAAGCTGGACTGGCCTTGGCCTCTCCGGGCATCCCCGGTGCTTGGCACAGTGCCCAGCACACAGCTGGTGCTTACTAAGTGCTCATGCACTCTGAGTAAAGGTTGGGGCCAAGCCTGTGGCCCCGTTGTGTGGGTGTGAGCCTGTTGGGACACAGGTTCTGAGCCTAGAGCTAATGCCACAGAAAGGCCCGGGGGAGGTGGTGCCCCTGCCTGGGTGCCCCTGGTGCTTCTGTCCGGGGCAGGTGCCACCTCTGCCCTCTGCCAGGGGGCACGGGGAGATCAGTAGAGCCCGGGAGCCGCCCGGCCACGACTCTTCAGGCCCCACATCCCAGACAGAAAGAAACCTTGCAAGTCTCCCTGTTAACTCATTTCACTGGAGTTGGTGAGATGCAGGTATGCCAGGACGGGCCTGCAGGGGGCTGGGAGGGGGGACGACTGAAGGGATTCTCCTGGGCTGATGAGACAGAGCTGGAAAGGGCCTAGGGCATCTCCTAGTCCAAACAGAAGGAGATGGAGGCTGCCCAGAGGGCTGCCCCCAAAATTCCCCATTCCTGCCCCGGGCCCTCCAGTCCTTCCTGGTGTGTGACCTGCTGACCTCTCGCCCCACAGAGCCTATCAGTTGCCCAGTAAGAGAAGAGGCTCGGACCTGGGTTCTCCCTGGAGCTCCCTGGGACACAGCTGGACTCCCAGGAGCCCATCACAGTGACTCTAGGGATGCTGGGGCCCCTGCCTTAGGGATTCTGGCCTGAAGACGCCCCCTCTACTTCCCAGCATTCCTGGGAGCTGCTGGGGCTCCGGCATGGCTCCGGCTGGGCTGGTCCAGAGATTCCAGTTCCCTTATTGACATACTCAGGAAAGTTGGTCACCGATGATGGAGTGCAAGGAGAGAGGGGGTGACTCACCCACAGCTCCGGTGTTTGGGGCTGGGCCTAGGGCTGTTCTCTGCTCCTGGAGGCTGTCTGCTCTGTGGTTGTAGCTAAGTGGGCAGTTTGCCATGCTGAGGACCTGTTGGGGCCAGTTTACGCCTGCAGAAACGTGAAAGCAAACAAAACCCCTCTTTTCTTGGGTGAGTCCAGTCCCACACTGACTCTTCACTAAAACTATGAATTGTACCCCTCAGGACAGTCACAGACTGCCACCAGACTGCCCCCTGCTGCTAATGGCTGTCTCTGGTCACAGATGCACTCTGACCCTGGCCGTGAGGTGACCCCAGACTGACCCCTGACCCTGGCCACGATCTGAGCCCATATTGACCCCTAACTGGCCACAGCCACAGACTGACCTCTTTCCTTGGCCATAGACTGCCCCTACCTCTGTTGTCTCACAAATGTATGTCCCTTGATTAGAGGTAGGAGGTGGAGGCAGGGGGTGGGAGGGTGAGGGGTACTGGGAAAGGGAATGAGGATGCCTCCGGCCGGCCTCCCCGCCCCCTCAGACCCTGCTGGGTTCAGACCCCATGACCCATGGGAGCTCCTCCGCGTGGCATCGAGAAAGGGTGGTGCTGGCGGCAGCCCACAGCGTGAGGGGGACTTCCCCAGCCTGGGGTTTTCTCCTTCCTGAGGTGACTCAGAGAAGGGCTGGAACTGGCCAGGGGTAGCAGCTGCTCCCTCAGCCTCAGAAAACCATTAGTGCTGACAACAGCAGGGAGTGCTTGTGGCGGGGGAGGAGGGGAAGATATCAGGGTGCAAACTCGGACCTTGCATGCCTGGGGTCACCCACAGCTGCCGGGCAGTGTCAGGGGCTTTGGGGCCCAGAAGGTCAGGGCTGATGGGCCCGCTGGTGAGGAGTGCATCCAGCAGAAGCAGCTGGGCAGGGGCACCGCTGTGTGGGAGAGCAGGGTCTCCCCATCTTCCCCCCAAGTTTCCTGGCTCCTAAGAGCCCTTCTGTGGCAGCCCTCCTCGCTTTCCCTTGGTCACTAACAGGACACTGCCCAGCCCCCCCAGGAAGCAGGAGTGGCTGGATGACCTCAGATAAGTCTGCTGTCCTTTCAGGGTCTCAGTTTCATCATCTTTAAAATGGGAACAGAAGTCAGGGCCTGACTAACTCCTTCAGGTTCTCATGAAATCACAGGGAAAACAATGGAGCCTCACTGCAGGAAATAGAGGCTCCTCGGAAAGGTGGGGGCTTTGCCTGGGGTCACCCAGGCAAGGATAGAAGGGGTTTGGTGGAGGGAAGGGCTGTCACACCACGGGCTGGGCCTTCATTCTAGTCCCAACTACCATGAATTTTCTGTGTGACCTTGAGAAAGTAACCCTCTCCCCCTCCCCAGGAGCCTTGGGTGGCCCAAGGCACTTTCCTTCTCACTTAAAGCCCAGGATCCCTGCCTCAGGCCCTTCTGCTTCCTTCCCAGCCTTTGTTTCTCCACCTGTGTAATGGGGAGAGTGATGGGGGGGCGTCTCTAGCAGGGTGGGACCATTGTTGGTACTGTCAAAGTGAGGCTGGGGGCAGAGCAGGGACTGGGGTGTGGCAAGACCAGAGCAGGCCCCCTCCCACTCTGGGGACCATGTGTGTGCTGAACATGTGGGCAGCTGCCCAGGCCCCTGTGGGCTCTGTGGAAGGAAGCCCGTAGCCCCATTTCTGCCTTCTCTCTGCCCCCGCTCAGGGCCCAGAGCACACAGAGAGCACAGACAGCAGACACCCACTCCGAAGATGAAGAGCACAGGGAAGGAAACTGAGTATTGAGTGGGGAGGGCCACATCGGAGGCCTTGAAGGGCCCACCCAGCCAGTCTCGTTGGGATTGTTTCCAGGCATTTTCCGAGTGTGTTTCTCATCTCTGCTGCACCATCACAGGCCCCTAAAAGGGAGCGCTGGGAGCTCAGTTTGCTTGCCTTGAAAATGGGGTGAGAACAGCCCCACTCCTCGAATTACAGGGCTCAGGCCCTGGTTAGCAGCAGGGACCTGGCAGCTGGTCAGCGCCTTAGGGACAGGGGGCGGCACTGAGCCAGATGTGAGCAGATTGGACGCTGCTGGAGGCAGGAGGGTCCTTTCTATGCGGGGGGCCTCATGCAGCAGGGTTGAGGAGGGGGAAGCAGGGAACAATCGTGAGATGAGTCCAAAGACCTGGGTTCGAGTTCTGACGTTTGAACTCACAAGTTGTTTTACCTGGATAGGTCTCGGACCTTCCCTCCCGGAGCCTCAGCTACCTGTGTAAAATGGATCAGGATTGATCCCACATCCCATCGACAGGTGACTTCCCCAGGGCTTCACTAGACATTCCTAACTCAAGGCTTTGCCTTTCATTAACTCCTTGGGGCCTCCCAATAGCCCCAGAAGCTAGACAGAATAAATTGGGAAGTGTTCATGGAGGGGAGGCCTGGAGCGAGGGGGGCTGGGCAAAGCTTCCTAGGGAAGGGGCGGGGCAGCCAGACACAAAGCCTAGAGCCAGAGCCAGAGGGCCGGGGCCATGGGCAGTGGGTCACACAGAGCCAAGCCTGGAACAGGAGGAGGGGCCAGGCGGCAAGGGCTGTGACGCCAGGCGGAGGGCTTTGTATTTTCTCCTGGGGGCCACAGGGAGCCAGTGCTGTTGTTCAGTGGGGGGGCGACAGGGTTATAGAAGGATCACTGTGGAGCCTGAATGGGGCATGGACTGGAGGCAGGCCCCCACAGGCCCCATGGCCTCCTGGGAAAGCAGATACACAAAATGTGAGACCCTTGGAGGGACAGGAAGCTGCCGCCAACAAGCCGGATCTCTTGAACATAATGATAACCTGAACAGGCCTGTAAAGTGATCCTGCTCGCATCTCTGCTCGCATCTCTGCCAGAGGCTGGGTCCTGTGCGGCCCGGCTGCTGACTCGGGGCGCGCTGAGTGCCCTGCTGCTGTCCAGCCCAGCCCTAGGAGCGGGGATGGAGGGGCAGGGTGGCCCTGGGGCCAGGTGAGTGCTGCCCGTGTGGGTGTGGAGGTGCCGATACCGGAGGCTGGTGGGCCAGGTGAGCGTGCCTGCCCTTGTGGGCGGCGGGGCGCTGATGCTTCAGCAGAAGATCATCCCGTGACTCAGAGCCTCACACGCCAGACCTGCCTCTGAAGTGGTGGGGCCCACAGCCATGGAATCATCATCACCCCTGCCAGCCTCTTGTGGCCCAGCCAGTTTTTCCATCTGCTGCCTCATTCCAGGCGTGACCCTGCACCTGGGGACTGTACTTATCCCTAACCTGCCTCTTGGAGGCCAGGACCCAGGCGGGATGTGGGCCTCGCGACCTCTGGCTCCTTCCACGCAGCTCCAGCCAGGGGGGCCAGCCTCGGGGGCCCGGGCCTCACCACTGCCGTGGCTTCCAGGGAGGAGGGCCGTCCCAGCCCGACCAGCTGCCAGGCACCCATCTCGGGCAGACGGTAAGGGCCAGCTGAGCCCCGGGGGTGGTTCGGTGGGCTTGGGGGGAGCCCTGGGCTAGCCCTCTAGTTCCAGTACCCACTGGCTAAGGCTGGGCACTCTCCCCAGAGGGAGCTGGAGAGATGGCTAGGTTAGTCGGGTCAGTGGGGTCAAGGAAAGGAGAGGTCTTCCTTGGTTGGCTCCAGGTACCTCCTGGGAGGGAAGTGAGGGGGGCAGATCCCAGCAGGCCTGGTTGAGATCTGACTCTAAGCTTCATTTTGTGGGGGGGGTGGGATTCCTGCCTCAGGTCAAATCCCTGACAGCTTGCTAGCCAGGCCAGTCTCGGAGGGCCTGGGGAGGGATTGGCTGGGCTGTTGGGCAGCCAGAGTCTCAGAGCCGGGGAGCTGAGCTGTCTGCCTCGGCTTGGGGAGCCTCAGCTGGCCCAGGGACCTGATGAGGGCAGGGAAAGAAGCAGAAAAAACAGGGGCCTTTCCCGGGATGACTTCCAGGATTCCCAAGCACCTGGTGCTTCCTGGGCACCGACTCAGGCAGAGCCAATTAGGTCAGATTTCTGGATTGGGTCGGGGTGACTCAGCAGCTGATGGGCTCTGGCTTCCACCCAGGCCCAGCCGCCTCCTCAGAACGCCTGTCTGCCCCGAGGGACCTTGGGGAGCCTGCCTTCTGTGGAGGAGGGCCACGGAGGCTCACACATCCATGCACAGCTGCCTGGGATGGGCCTACCAGGTCACCCAGACCAAGCCTTTGGCCCCTTCTGCTCTCCCAGGAGCGGACGGGGAGGACCCAGGGATTCAGAGCATCGAGCTGCCTCGGCAGCCTCGGGAAGAATGCTCCGTCACTGGGGTGCCTCTGCTTGTTGGCCTGAGAAATGGAGCACAAAGTTCCCAAGGACGTTCAGGGGAGCCCAGGGCTGTCCAGGGGGGTCCTGTGCTGTGCAGCTCCCTCTGAGAGAGGATTTGGGATCCGTTTATGCCTCGGGGGCCTTCCAGCACTGGGAGGATGTGGAAGGAGGGCTTGCAGATGTGGGTTGGGGTTGCTCAGCACAGCTCTGCCTGGAACCTGTGCCCGGACTGGAAACTAGGAGGTCTCTGCCACCCACCCTCTGGATGAACCCTGGGGGACGTCCTGCCCCCTCTAGGCCTGTCTGCTCCTCTGACTCCTCCCTTCCAGTTCTGACGTTCCCAAGATCTCTGATTGCATGATTATTCTGCTAAGGAGGAAGCTGGCCAGGGTCTCCCCAGGCTGGTGCTGGCATTGAAGTGGGCATCGGTACCCGTGGCCCTACCTGGCAGGTTCTGCTCTCCATGGGCCCTGACCAGGGCTGGATCTTTTCCTGGCCTGGGGCACCTCCCTCTGAGACTCTGTCCTGTCCCTTAACCCTCAGTTCCCTGAAGACAGTCTTGAACCTCTCCACACACAGGCCACCTTCCTGGCCCATCCCCCACCTCCACCTCCAGCACACACGCTCCGGGCCTCTTGCAGGCTCCAGCCCCTGCCCGAGATGCTCAGGCAGCACATGGCAGGGCCTCACGACCCAGGCGCCTCAGGCTGGCACACCAACCAGAGAGGAGTCCAGAATCCCAGCAGAAGGATCTGGTCACTCCCCCAACTCTCTGCCTAGATCTAGCCTTCTGCAGCACGGGCCTCCCTTGTTTCTTACTGAGCTCAGGGAAACTGCCCCTTCCCCCACCATCCATATGTCCCCTGAGGAGGAAGAGAGCCTTGCACTGACTTCAGCCCCTGCCTCTGCTCCCCCAAGACCCACAGCAGCTTCCCAAGGTGGGGTGGGGGTCAATCCCAAGGCCCACCCTGATCCAGCCTCAGGCTCAGTGGCTCAGGGGCCCTTCCCCCACACTACTGCCCCAGGGAGAGCCCTGTCCACCTCACCCTCCAAGGTCCTTGGGGTGATCTCTTAAGTGGACGGATCCCCAAGGCCGCTGGTGGCCGCTTCTCAGGGGAGGCTGGGTCAGGGCTCAGCATTAGCCACAGTCCTCATGCTGCCATTAGGGCTGGGAGCTCCAGAGCCCTTTGGGTGGGCTTCCTTCCTGCCATGTGCCTATACAAGGGCAAGGCTAGAGGAGTCCCCCATGTCCATGGCATCATGGCTACCAGAGAAAAAGCAGATGAAGCGTGTTCCAAAGGCACATCACTAACAGGGCGTGTGTTGGTCTTACAGAAACATGAGCAAGAATCCCAAGGAAATGATCCCACTGATGGGCAAGAAAACGAGCGCCCCCAGCACAGCCCCCACGTGCCCGCTGGAGAGGAGGCCTGCTGAGGTCACGCCCACAAAGAAGAGGTAGGACTTTCCTCTTGGCTCCCTTTAAGGCCCAAGGGCTCAGCCCCAGACGAGGCTGGAGGAGAAGGCTCAGGCAGCTCCCTGTCTCCTTGTGGGGCTAGGACCCTCACCCAGGAGATGAGGATGGGCAGATGGGCCAAAGCCCAGGCTTTGGTGTAAGCAGGTAGGGGCAGTCCAGAGTGTGCTGGACTTTAGATGGACCTCTGACAGCTGACCATCATGTGGACACAGCACGAAAGTGGGACCTAGGCAGGTCGGGGGCAGGAGAGGCTGACCATAGAGTCAAAAACCTGCTGCCTCCTACCTAAAACTTGAGGCAAGTGAGTCTACCCCTCAGGGCCTCAGTTTCCTTTTCTGTAAAATGAGGACAGAGTTACTTCCTAGCTCACAGAACTGCCCCAAGGAGTGCATGGGCTGGGGGCAGCAATCTTGTCTCCCAGAGTCCTGGAGCTCTCAGGGGACATGTGTGTGACTTGACTTATCCCCCTGTAACTCCCTGCCTGCCTCAGAAATCTCTGGGCTCCTCTTGTGGGCTGTTTGTTTCTCCTGGTGCCTGCTGACCTCGCCAAGCTCAGTCCCAGGTCTGACCATCAATCATAACTGGATTTCCCACGGCTAATTCACTTTGGTTACAGGCCCCAGGGAAAGTGGAGGGTGGAATCCAGACCACCCAAGGGTCACCTCGACATCCCTACAGGAGACAGAGTTGTCTGGCCTGGCCCCGATTCTTCCCCAAAGGTCTTGGAGTTGAAAGGGGCCTTTGGAATTCCCCAGCTCAGCCCACCACAAGAGTCCTGCCTACCCTCTGTCCACAAGTGCTCATCCAGCCATCCTGAAGGCAAATGGACAGGAAGGCAGTGCTGACAAGCCCCGAGTCCTCTCCTTGCCACTTCCTCCATGGCTCTGACATCATGCCCCCAGGCTTGCCGGTGGGCCTGGGGTGGGGTGACACCTTGAGCTCTGGACCCAGGTGCCTGAGCACTAGATTCAGTCCTGGGGGAGTCCAGCCTCAGGACAGGTCAGGCTCTTTTTCCTCCTCCCCCCACGGTCCCAGGGGGAATCATTTGATGTTTAGATTTGGCTTATGCCTAGGATCTTCCCCAAAGTGCAGAGTGGGAATAGACCCATAAACGGTACATTTTTGTGTTGTCATTCAGTTGTGTCGAACTCTTCATGACTCCATTTGGTGTTTTCTCGGCAGAGATACTGGAGTGGTTTGCCATTTCTTTCTCCAGCTCATTTTACAGATGAGGAAACTGAAGCAAACAGTTGAGTGGCTTGCCAAGGATGGCAGAGCTAGGAAGTGTCTGAGGCTGGATTTGAACTCAGTACACTTCAGGTCTTCCTGACTCCAGACCCAGCACTGTATCTGCTGCACCACCTTGCTGCCAAAATTGGGCATAGGACGGCTTTTCATTTCCTCCACACAAAAGAAAGGCATGGGACACAAGATACTACCAGGGATTCATTGGCTAAGGGACTTACCCAAGCACAGAAAAAAATGGTTAACCACTGTTATGCTCGCCCAGAAGGTTGCAGCTTTCAGCACCAAAGCACAAAACGTCTTGAAGGGCGGCTGAGTCGGCATCTCTCCTTTGTCTTGGCTCTGCACCCGGCGCTTGTCCCTCCAGGGGTGTCCGGGCACCTCCCATAGTGGGGCCAGCATCACCTGAGGGTCCCAAGAACTCTCAACCATTGAGCTCACAAAGTTGTCTCCAAGGCTGGAAACACCTGACTCAGGATAGCTTATTCAGTCACCTCTGCTCAGGAAAGAGACACAGATCAGAAGAGGCGTCCAGGCTGGCTTTGAGATCTGGTCTTGGGTCACCTAGGCCAGCCTGTGTGTGGGCAGCCAGTGGAGAGAGAGCTCCATGCCACCCATGTTCCAGAGAAAGTGAGGAAGGGCCAGAAAATGGAGCCAATCCTCCTAGCATCTGATCAGGCAGCTCTTTCTGTTTCAGTGGACAATACTCTCTGATGTGGCTTTGACACATTCTTCCACTCAAGCTGTCAAAGGCAGAAGGAGGAACCCCAGGCCCCCCCTCCCCGAATTTGTTGTATCATCCCAGAGCACCAAGCCCTTCAGGGTTGAGCCATGCGTGTCTCTGGAAGATGTTCCAAGAGCCATCTCATAAACATTTCGCGGCGATGGGAAAGTAGGGAAAGGGGATGAACGTCCCTGGTCTTCTCTGTCATGCTTTTGGGGGTAACAGCAAGGTGTGGAATTTACTTCAAGCCTTTGGCATCCTCTCTTCCTCCAGATGTCTTGTGACTCAGTCCCCAGGGTTCTCACATCTGCATCCCCTCCAGTATGGATGGAGGTCACCTGTGGTCTGGTCCATGCGCTTTGCCTGTCTTTGTTTTCCTCAGGGTCATTTGGACTTCCCCCATGTGGTACCGTCCCATGGGGGATGTGATGTTACAGACTAACTGTGATCGCTCTACTTCCCTGGATGGAGAAGATAATTTATTACAGAAATCCTCCCATTCTCTGTTCATTGTGCTCTCTAAGGGGCGCAGCCAGAGTGTGAGGAGAGGAAGGGAGCCTTACCTTACTCTTTTATTAATAACTTTTGTTCTTCCATCACCTTCATGTCTGACTATGCCCCTCCCTGCTCCCCTTCCTGGGGAGCTGTCCCTTGAAACAAAGATTAGAAAAGAGAGAAAAAATGTAGTCCAGAAAAACCAACCAGCCACACCTGGTCTGGTCAAAAAAGGGAGGGACATTTCCCCCATTGTTTCCTGAGGCCAAGCTCAGCTGTTCTAATAACTTGGTGTTTAGTTTGGGTTTGGGGTTCTTTCCCTTTGTCATTGTGGTCACTGGGCACTGGTTGAATTTTTCTTCACTCCCCGCGGTTCAGAGAAGTCTTCCTGCATTTTTTTGTATCCCTCCTACATGTTGTTTCCTTTAGCAGATAATTAATATGCCTTTATATTCACTTGCTACAGTTGGTGTGAAGATTTCCTGACTGCTAGGTATCTGCTTGGTCACAGGTTCTTTGTATCACAAAAAGTGCTCTGTGAATATTTGGTTGTGCATATGATCCTTCTTCCTGCCTTTGAATTGTTTGGGGTCCACACCTAGTGATGAGCTCTCTGAACCTAAGAGTGGGGACTTGAGTCACCTTTTTAAAGCATAATTCCGGTGGCTTCCTGAAGGATTGGACCATTTCACAGCTCCAACAACAATTTATTCATGTGTCTGTCTTTCTCTAGTTCCCCCAACATTTCCTATTTCCATCTTTCATCCTGTTTGCCAAGTGGTTGAGTGTGAGGTGAAAACACAGTCGTTTGGATTTGCATTTATCTTATTAACTAGAGACTTAGAGCAGTCTTTGTAGGGGTGGTTACTAATTTGCAATTCTTCTCCCAAGAACTGTTTGTTCAATATCTATTAGAGAAGTGCATTTGGTCATTTGGGTTTGTGCTAATTCCCTTATAAGTCTTGTATTAGAGATATTTTCCCAGTTGCTATTTTCCCTTCTTAGCTGAGCTGCATTGATTTTATTTGTACAAAAGCTTTTCCATTTCATGTTGCCAAAGGCCTTTCCTCCCCTTCCTCCCTTTCCAGCCTTCTTATACTTTCCTTTCCAATAGTACTCTTTAATCCAGTGACACCAGCCTCCGAGTGTTGCCTCAGGCTGTCTCCCATGCCTGGAATACTCTCCTCATCTCCACCTCCTGGCTTCCTTCAATTTTAGCTAAAATCTCACCTTCTGCAAGAAGCCTTTTCCCCATTCCCCCTTAATGCTGGTGTGTTCCCTCTGAGGTTACTCCCAATTTATTCTGTCTATGCCTTGTTTGTACATAATTGTTTGTATATTATTTTCACCATTAGATGGGGGTCCCTTGATGAGGGGACTGTCTCTTGCCTTTCTTTGTATCCTCAGTGCATAATACAGTGCCAAAGCACACAGTAGGTATTTAATAAATGCTCGTTGGCTTGACTTGTTCCATGTTTGATGAAGACTTCTACTCTTAGCTGTAGCCATGAAAGGTGCCTGAGCTCATTACCTTCTGACCTCTTTATGGTGTGACCATTTACATTCAGGTCACACAGTGATTTTCAGCTTATTTTTGAGTAACTTGGCAGAAGTTTTTGGTCTAAGCCTAATTTCTTCTTTCCAGCTGTCCCAGCAGCTCTTACCAAACAGGTAGCTCTTTCCCACGTAATTGATGCTCTTGAGTTTACCGAACACTGATTTACTGAGTTTAATAGCTTCTTGCTCTCCCTGATTCTCCTAATACCAAATAGTGTCCTAATACTTTTGAGGATGACTCTGCTTCATAGGAGAGTTTGAGACCACAAGTTCTATTCCTGATAGGTCAATTTGTTAGGCAAAGGAATGACTCCCAGGTGGTGATGAAATTTCAATTCTGTGGGAGGTGATGAAGACTCCTAATTGTGCAGAGATCCATCCTTGTAGCACATGTAGGTGGCCTCCCATGGTTTAGGCTGACCCTGTCTGCGTGATCCCCACTCCTCTCTACCCCCTTCATTCTCTAGAGCTGATCACATCAATGGCAGCAGTCCTTGCCTGAGCAGCCAGCCTTGAGAATCAATCATTTGATGGCTAGTAGGCATTTATTAAGCACCTACTCTGTGTTAGAACCATAGGTTCCCCAAGTGGGCAATACCATCCCCTAGGGGTGCTGGAATGTTGGGGGGTGCACTAGCCTCAGATACAATTGAGGGGTGTTGAATAAAAATAAGGGGGCAGTGGAAGCATAAGGAAAGAAGAGAAGAGAAGAAAAAATTAAAAACCCATTCCTACATGTTTCATTTGTTGTGTAACAGAGTTAAAGTCATAGTGATTACATTTTTTTTTTGATGAGGGCAATTGGGGTTAAGTGACCTGCTCAGAGTCACACAGCTAGTGAGAGTTATATGTCTGAGGCCAGATTTGAACTTAGGTCCTCCTGACTCCAGGGCCAGTGCTATATCCACTGCACCACCTAGCTGCCCTAGATCACATTATTTTTCAAATAAACACATAAAATGCAAGTTACAACCAATGAATAGTCAAGTCTGCCAACAGGTCTTAAGAAGCAAGTGTTGGCAGGTGAGCATGTTGCACATTGTTGGGAAGTCCAGCATGTATTAACAGGAATATGTGCATTTCATGACTTATTTATAATATGATCCTATACAGTTACATGATGTAATATTGTGTCATCATAATTTCAATGTAGGAAACCCCCCCCACAAATTAACAATAAATTATTAAATTTAAGATGCATCATTTAAAAAAATATATTTTATGTATTTTTGAAATGACACAAATTTCAAAAAAAATCATTAAAGGATTAAAGAAAGTAGATTTCTAGGGGGTCACTGAATGATTTTTTTTTTTGAAAAGGGAGTGGCAGTCTAAATAAGTTTGGGATGTTGGTGATTTAAAAAAATGGACCCCAAGGAGCTTCCGTTCCAAAGGGGGAGACTACATTCCTTCCTGTTTCTTGTCATGTGAAAGGCCCAAGAAGTGTCGCAGAACGGGCCAGATGCTCCAGAGCAGCCCCAGCTTCCCAGGGGCTAGAGTATCCCTGCTGTTTGCTCATGAGTTGTCTGTCTGCTCACCTGTGCTTACAAAACCCAGTTAGTTCCCTCTGGATTCCATTCAAGAAAAGGCACAAACAACAGAGTTTATCCAACGACAGAAAATCCGGAGGCAGTGAGTTTGTCCTGGACAGCTGCCTGGGAGGTTATAGGAGGCTGGGGAGAGAGGGAGGGGAGGAGACCACAAGGGGCAGAGGGGAAGAGTAAAGCCAGAAGGTGAGTCTGCTCTCTCTTCCTGCCAAGCCTCCTTCCTCCTCCCCTCCACCTCTAGCTCACATCTACACCCCTACATGGACTGTCCTTCCCTATTGGGATGGAAGCTCCTGGAGGGCAGGCAGCCCCTTGACTTTGGTATTTGTGCCCCTAGCAGTTAGCTCCTGGCCAGTTAGCTGGCACACAGCAGGCACTCAATAAATGCATTTTCATTTGTTCATTCATTCACCCCAGTGAGGTCTCAGGTTTGGACAGTTCCACAGACTGGTACATGACATACCTTGACTGAGAAAGGAGATGCATTGCTTTCCTGGACAGGATGGCGGCTCAGTAGACCACCTTGCTTCCCAGTTCATTCGGTCCTTCGACTCCCGTGACCTTTGTCTCCATGCTACCTGAGCCACTGGTGGGTGGACATGCTGGGATCTCCTCTCCACACAAATTTCCCCATCCCTCAGATCTCTGAGCATGGCTCTGTCCTCTGCTCTGCCTCCACCTGCCTCCCCTTCACTGGCCCTGTTCTTTTCCTTCTGCTGCTCGGCTTTCTCAGCCTATTGACATCTCCCCTCTGCACACATGCCTACCAGTCTTGAGCTCTGTCCTTCTCTTGAATTGCTTCTCCCCACATCATTTAGTCCACTGCTCCCCGCCTGCCTCAGCCACCCCCCCACCTGCCTTTTCTATTTCTTGAGTCAATCTGTGTTTCTGGAGGAAGCCCCCAAAGCATAGGGCAGGGGTCTGCTACCACCTCCTGACATCTGGCTTCAGCTGGCCTTCAGAGCCTCATGGCCGGCCTTCTGTTCATCATTGGAAGCATTAAGCTGAATTCAAAAGATGGTTCGTTTCTGACAGGTCAAGACTGTCATGCAGCTCTCTGAATTATGATTGCCTATGTAGTGGAAAATTGCTGGCTTCAGAGAAGGAGGCCTTGGGTTCAGATCCTGACTCTGCTGGTGATTACCTCCATGAGCTTGGGCATGCGAGTCGACTTGTTTGGGTCCCAGGGTAGTGCCAGATTCAGGATTTGGACCCAGGTCCCCTGGCCTCAAGGCCAGTTCCTTCTGACAGTTCTGGGTGATACGACCGTGGCGGGTTCCTCACTTCTCATGGGGATAAAGCCCGCTCCCCCGCCAGCCTCCTCACCACCTCTCAGAATCCCAGAGAAACGGAAACTGAGCTCCCTGGGGGCCCTGCCTCTGGCTATGGGGACCCTGCTTGTCCCTGCTCTGCTCCCCAACCCCAGGGGCCCCTTCCTGCCCCCAGCCCATGAGCTGTGAGGACAAGACCGAAGGAGGGCTCTGCTGCCGCCCCCCACCTGGCCTGCCTCTGGGACTGGCCCCCTTTGGGGTCCCCAGAGAGGATGGAGCTGTGGGTGGGGTGGGGGGAGAGCAGGCAGTGGGACCAAGAGCCACTCTGCTGCGTGTGCACACGTGTGTGTGTGTGCATCTGCTCACACGTGTGCACACTGTGCTGTGGGTGAGGCAGGCAGGTTCCTGGAAGGGGGTGGCAGGATGCCAGGAAGCATGGGAAGGGTTCCTGGCTCCCTCCTCCCTCCTGGGCTTCCTTCCCCGTGTGCCAGGCTCTGCCACCACTGCTGCTGCCAGGAGCAGGAGCTGTGTCAGGCTGGCTTTCCTAAAGGGAGATGGGACACACACATGAAAGGGGTTCCCGGGGCCAAGGGGGCCAGGACCGGCAGGCCAGGGAACTTGCTTTGCTGGGGATGTGTCCTGGTCATGAGTAAAGCTGGGACACCTTATCTTTTCGGGTTCATCCTCACCCCTAGGGCCTCAGCCTCTGTCTTCATTCCTGCTTTGGGCCCGGGCCCCCTAAGGCCAGAGCCTCCTCTGATTAACACCACTGCCCCATCCCCCCCCTTCATGCCCCATGTCCTGTCTCACTGAGAAAATGAATGAATGAGCATGGCATAGGCACCGACTGTATGCCAGGCTTTGTGCTAAGAATCTCCCCTCCTGCTGGCGTCGGGGGGGGGGAGGGAGCCCTTGTGAAGTCCTCCATCACTAGGGAAAAGTGGAAGTTCTAGACTTTTAACCCTAAATAACTTAGCTCACAGATAGGACAGAAACAATTGGACTCAATAAGCCTTCATTATGTGCCAACTGCATGCAGTGTTGTACCTGCCAGGATCCCAGATCTAGGGGAGCTCACTCAGTCCAACCCCTCCTATGGAGGTCCACCAAGGTGAGTGGCCTTGCCCGGCAACACTCAGGTAGAATTGGCAGGAGGCCGGTGTCACTGGACCCTCGAGTGTGTGTGTGGGAGTCGGGTGTGAGGAGACCAGAAAGGTGGTGGGGCATTGTGTCTGATCCTACAAGTGATAGGGAGCCATAGTCTATCCAGCGGAGAGGTGACCTGGGGGCGCTGGGGGTGCTACAAGCCTGGAGTCAGGAAGACCTGGGCTCAAGTCTGGCCTCTAACACTGTGTGACCCTGGGCAAGTCACTTCACCCTGTTTGCCTCAGTTTCCTCATCTGTCAAATGATCTCCAGTATCTCTGCCACAGAAGCCCCAAATGGGGGTCACAGAGAGTCAGACGTGACTGAACAGCAAATTAGGAATGGAGGACGGACTGGGTGGGGAGACACTTGGAGGTGGCAGACCCCCTCCCCACCCAGCAGCCACTATGATAATCCAGGTGTGAGGGGATGAAGGCCTGCATCAGGAGGGGGCAGCATCAGAGCAGAGAAGGGGGCATATTTGAGAGGTGCTTCAAAGTAGACCCGGACAGACCTTGGCACCGTATTGGATCGGGGGGGCGAGAGGTAGTGAGGAGTCCAGGCTGACTCCTAGGCGGGGAGCCTCAGGGTGGGAGCATCTACAGAGACAGGAAGGGAGGAGGCGAGCAGGGTTTGGGGGGCAGATAACAAGCGTTGTTTCGGCTGTCTACTGGACATCTGGTCCGAGATGTCTGAAAGGCAGTGCAGATGGGAGACAGAATCTGGGGCCGGAGAGGGAGATGGAAAATCATCAGCATAGAGGTGCTCAGTAAATCCATGGGAGCCCATGAGGTCCCTGAGTGAGGGAGAAGAGAAGGGGGCTCAGAGCAGAGCCCTATGGGGCCATCTATGCATGACCCAGGCTATTGCAAAGCAGCTGTCTGACTGGTGGGAGGAGAGCCCAGCAAACCTGCAGAGGAGATGGCAGTGGACAGTGTCAACACAGCAGCGTTAACTCAGACCTTCCTGGACATCATTTGGCTTTTCCCTACAGGCCAGTGGTTCTAGTAGACTCTGGGCAGTGCCTCTGGATTGGGGAAAGGTCCACACTGCCTGGGCTGGGACTGCGCTGGAACCGGTCTGTCAGCTAGCCTGTGAGGAAGCCTACAGGGGCCTCAGACCTGGTCCCACTTCTCTGGCTGGCCCAGAAGGCTTGGGCCTGTGCCTCAGCCCAGACTGTGAGTGGACAGGCAGGTGGGCATGGCAGCCTCAACCGGGAGGGGGCAGTGTAGACGGCTGGTTCTGGGTGCCAAGTGAGCCTCTTCTCTCCTGTGTCCGGCAGCACCCATTTCTTTCTTTGAAATTGAAGGCTTCGAACCCAACCCGGCCGCCAACAAACCTTCTCCTCCTGTCTTCCCTAAGCCCATGGACTCCAACATCCGCCAATGGTAAGTGAGTCCATAGAAGGTGGTAGCATGTGTGCGTGTGCATGAGGTTACACGTGTGTGTGCATGTGTAGGTGTGTATGAGTGTGTGCATGTGCATGGGGTTATACATGTACATGCATGTGTGTGGGTACGTGCATGGGGTTACGTGTGTGCATGTGTAGGTGTGCATGTGCATAGGGTTACATGTGAGCTCCACGTCTATGTGTGTATATGGGTATGTGCATGTGCATGGGGGTTACATGTGTGTGTGCATGTGTGTGAGTATGTGCATGGGGTTATATGTGTGCATGCGTGCGTAGGTGTGGGTTACACATGTGTATGTGTAGGTGTGCATGCGCATGAGGTTACATGAGTACTGCATGTGTATGGGTGTATGCATGTGCATGGGGTTACACATGTGCATGCATGTGAAGGTGTGTATGAGTGTGTGTGTGCACATGGGGTTACACTGTGTGTGCGTGTGTATAGGTATATGAATGTGTGCACGTGCATGGGGTTACACTGTGCATGCCTGTGTAGGTGTGCATGGGAGTGTGTGCATCTGTGGGGGAAGGAGAGGGAGGAGGTGACGCAGGCCGCTCTTGGTGAGAGGCTGCCTGGTGGCCTCTGACTCAGGTGCTGGGTCTCAGGTGCGCCCCTCCCTGGGGCAGTCCCGGGGCACAGCCCTTTGCCCCAGAAGCCCAGGCAGCTGCAGATTCCCTCCCCTCCCCCACCTCAGCTTTCCCCAGGAGGCCTGGCCCTGCCCCCAACCTCAAGGCTCCATCTCCCCACTTTCTCTTCCCTGACAGCAACCCTGGGAACTGTGATGACATGGACTCTCCCCAGTCTCCTCAGGATGACATCACTGAGACCCCCTCCAATCCCAACAGCCCGTGGTAAGTGAGGCCGGCCCAGTTCTTGGGGTAACTCTCCCTTCCAAAGCAGGGAGCTGCTGGCTGGAATCCAGGGCCTGGTCACAGGAAGGGCTTCACAAAGGAAGCCCCCAGGACCGTGGCCCCGAGGTAGGGCAGGTACCTTGGGCAGGGCCCTGGACCGAGAAGCTGGAGACCTGGGTTCTGGTCCCAGCTCTGCCACTCACTAGCAAGTCCCCTCCCTCCTGGGCCTCAGTTTCCTCTTCTGTAAAGTGAGGGGTCTAAACGACATGTTGTCTGACATCCACAACACTCACAGATGCACACTGGAGCTGCCCAGGTCTTTGGTGCAGGGCCAGCCCTCAGTAAAGCGCCATCTTGCTGACATTTGTCCTCCATGTGCCGGCCTCCCCTCCTCACATCCTCAGCCCCCAGGTCCTGGGCCAGTGAATCAAACCTCCTCGTCACTAGCAGACGGCAGCCAAGGAGTGGAAAGAGCCCAGTACTAGATATCGGAAGCCCCGGGCGCTAGCCCTGGCACTGTGGCTCAGCCCCTCGGTTGCCTTGGGCAGGTGACTTCCCTCTCTAGGCCTGAGAGTGGATGGGACCAGCCCTTAAGGCGCCCGTCCATTTTGAAGCTGCAGCCAAGGTGACTGATGAGCCCTGCCAGCCTGCAAGGTGGCCCTCGCCAGAGATCCCTCCTTCCCGTCACTGAGCTGTGGGGACTGAGGGTATCCCTTCCAAGGGGATCAGAGTGTAGGGAGAAACAAGCCTTTGGAGGTCAACGGTGAACCCTGTGGAATTAGGCTCTGAGACAGGACTCTGAGGTGGATTCGGGTGGGGGGTAAGGGGGCAGGGAGAGGGATGGGGGGGCAGTATGTTTTACTTGCCTACAGGGCCCAGGATGAGATTCTCAGTGTGCCCTCCCTCCTACCCAGGTCAGCTGTAGGGCCAGGCAGAAGCCTAGAGGAGGGCGGCCCTTGGGCCACGCGTCTGACTTAGGGCTGCTCTGTTCATTCATTCCTGTGCCCTCAGTGTCAGTCTGGCCAAAGAGGAGCAGAAGAAAAACAGAAAGAGGCTGAAAAAACGCATCTTTGCAGCGGCAGCAGAGGGCAGCATGGAGGAGCTGAGCGGACTTCTTGGCGAGCTCAGGGAGCTGTCCAGGAGGCGCCGGACCATGGACCCGCTAGGTCAGTGCTAGCCTCCCTTGAGCCTCCCCTCTCCCTCCCTCCCTGTGCCCCTCCTCCCTCCCTCCCTCCCTTCCCCTCTACTCTGCAGGGTCTATGGGGTGGGGGGTGGGCTGGGGCAGGGCTATAAAAAGTCCCCCCCCCCAGTCCAACAAACATTATTAAGCACCTTCTGTGTGTGAGGCACTGTGCTACACTCTGGATGTACAAAGACAGGAATGGCTCTGTGCTTGCCCTTAGGGAGCTTCCATTCTCTGGCAGTGGAAGAAGAAGACATGAGTTCATTCATTCATTCATCCATTCCCTAAACATTTATTGAGTGCCTCCTGTATATCCTGTTTGATCCAGGTCCTGTGCCCATACTGGGATGCAGCCCTTCCCCTTACCCCTGTCCTCACTGGGTCCTAAGACCAAAGCCCAGAGAACCTGGACCCCCCACTTTCTGTAACCGTGGCTGGGAATCCAGTAGGCTTCTGGCACGGGGAGATGCCTGCACAGGCACTCAGGGGGAGCCCTTGGGTCTGGCGCAGTCTCAGCACTCAGCAGCGTGAGATGGGATGAGAGGCCTGGTGCTGTGGCCAGGACCTTTCCTCACTGGCATGTCTGTTTCACAGACTACCTGATGCACAAACTCACAGCCTCTGACACTGGGAAGACGTGTCTCATGAAGGCCCTGCTGAACATTAACCCCAACACCGAGGAAATTGTGAGGACCCTGCTTGCCTTTGCCGAAGAAAATGACATATTGGAGAGATTCGTCAATGCAGAGTACACAGAGGAGGCCTACAGAGGTGGGGTGCTGGGTCTCTTCCCTGTTGGGGTCCTGGGTGGGCATGAGGGAACCATGGTGCCCCCCAGGATGCCCCTGACACCCTGGCACCTGTCACCCTGGCACCTGTCACCCCCACCCCAGAACAAGTTCTGTTGGAACCATCTGTCTGATAGGGAAACTGAGGCCTGAAACAGTGATATGGTGGGCCCAAGTATTGGGGCTGTGACTGGGAGCCAGGCTGGGAGCTAAAGGAGCCAGGGCCAACTCCCACCTCTACTCCTTACTAGCTGTACATCGGAGAAAGTCTCCTTCCCCCTCTGGTTCCCATCCTCTCCTTGGCAAAATGAGGGGTTGACATTGTCCAGGGGATGGATCTCCAAGGACCTCAGACCCCAGAAACTGGGAAGTGAGAACATTCTGGGGATGCCCAGGCCTGTGCTGTCCTTGCCCCTCACCCCTGATGGGTCTGCCCTGGTTTGTTGTAGGACAGACGGCCTTGAACATCGCCATTGAGCGCAGACAGGTGGCCATCACCGAGGCCCTGATCGAGAAGGGAGCTGATGTCAATGCCCACGCCAAGGGTTTATTCTTTAACCCCAAGCACAAGCATGAAGGCTTCTACTTTGGTAGGTGGGGGCTCTCAGCAGCCAGTGCTGAGGGGAGCCGGGGTCACCCAGAGTAGTTGGAGGGTAGGTAGCATTGGTCCCACCACCCTACCCCGCACCAAACCAAGCTTTCTCTGATCTCTTTGGGGCATAGACATAGTCACTGGGTCAAAGTTGAGAAGCTTTGGGATCATTGTCCCAAACTGCTTTCCAGAATGGCTGAACCAGTCTGCAGATCCACCATCAGTGCAGCAGTACGCCTGTTTTCCCACAGGCTCTCCAGCTTTTGTCATTCTCCTTTTTTTTTTTGTCAACTGCCAATTTGGTGGGTTTGAGGTAGAACCTTGGAGTTGCTTTAATTTGCCTTTCTCTAATTACTAGTGATTTGAAGCATTTTTTAAAAATATGGCTATTGATAGCTTGCATTTCTTCCTTAGAAACTGCCCATTAATATCTTTCGGCAATTTGTCAATTGGGGAATGATTTTCATTCTTATAAATTTGAATCAGTTCCTTATATATCTGGGAAATGAGACTTTTATTAGAGAAATGCGCAGACTTTTCCCCAATTATCTGTCTCCCTTCTAATTTCAGCTATTTTGGTTTTGTTTGTGTAAAAACTTTTTACATTTTATCTAATCAGAATTGTCCATTTTCTCTTTCATGGTTGTCTCTGCCCTTTCTTTGTCTCTAAACTTTCCCCCATGCATTGATATGACAAGAAGGTCTTCTTTGCTGCTCTAACTTGTTTATGACCTCACGTCACCCTGTATGTTTAGCTCATGTGCACTGGAGCTCATCTTGGTGTACAGTGTAAGATGCTGGTCCATTCTTTGTTTCTGCCAGCTGCTTTACAACTTACCAGTGGTTTTTGTTGAATAGTAAGTCTCTCCCCTAGGAGCTGAGATCTTAGGCTGCCTCACTCCTTTGCTTTTGTGTGCTGTGTACCTAATCTGTTTCACTGATCAACTTGTTTCTAATCCAGTAGCAAATCATTCCAATTAGTCCTACTTTGTGCTGTGGTTCAAGATCTGGTCCTGCTAGGCGCCAACCCTTCCCCCCACCCCCGACGCCTTGCTTTTTTTTTTTTTTATGATTTTCCTTGTGATTCTTGACCTTTTGTTTCTTCAGATGAATCTCAATTTTCTAGCTCTCTAAAATAATTCTTTGCTTGTTTTATTGGTATGGTACCAAATGAGTAAATTAATTTGGGAGGATAAAATTTATCATTTTAATGTTATTGGCTTGGTCTACCCGTGAGCAGTTAATATTTCTCTACTTGTTTGGCTCTGTGTGTTTGTGTAAGGAATGTCTTGTAACTGTAATTTATAGAGTTCATGGGTATCTTGGCAGAAAGAAATCCCAAGTGTTTTATACATTTTGTGGTTATTTAACATGGAGTTTCTCTTCCTATTTTTTCCTGGGTTTTGTTGGTAATATGCAGAAATGCTGATGATTTATATGGATGTATTTTATGTTCTGAAATTATTGTTCAATTGATTTTTTTACTTGACTTTCTAGGGTTCTTTAAGTAAACTGTCTATTATTTGCAAAAACCAAATATTTTGTTTCCTCTTTGCTTATACTTATTCCTTCAATTTCTTTTTCTTGTCTTATTGCTATAGCTAGCATTTCTAGCATTTTTAGCACTTAGTACAGTATCTGGCACTTAGTAGATGCTTAATAAATGCTAATTGTTTGACTAACTGGTACTATATCAAATAGCTGTGGTGCCAATGTGCGTACTTTCTTTACCTCTGATCTTATTGGAAAAGTCCCTACCTTAGCCTACTTACATATAATTATACTACTTATAATATTAAAGAAAGGTCTATTTATTCCTATGCTTTCCAGTGTCTTTAACAGAAATGGGTGTTATATATTGTCAAAAACTTTTTCTACTTCCATTGATAAAATCATATGATTTTTGTTATTAGTAATTTGTATATTATATAGATAATTTCCCTTATATTAAACTTGTTCTCTATTCCTGGTATAATCCAACTTTGAATAGCATATGATCTTTGTGAGATGTTGCTGATATTTTATTTAAAATTTTGCATCAATGTTGATTAGGGATAATGGTCCATATTTTTCTTTGTCTATTTTGACTCACTCTGATTCAGGTATCAGGACTCTATTTTCATCATAGAAGAAAATTTAGTGAGACTCTTTTCCAGTTTTACAAATAGTTTGTGTGATATTGGAAATTAATTGTTCTTTAATATTCGATAGGATTTGCTTGTAAATCTATCTGGTTATGGTTTTTCCTCCCATTTGAGAACTTGGTTATGCTTGTTCATTTTTTAAAAAAAATTCTGAGACTGAGTTATTCATTTCTTGTCATGTTCATCTGAGCATTGTGAATTTTGGTAACTATCCATTTTATTTAGGTTTGTAGGTTTTATTGACATAGAACTGGATGAAATAATTTCTACTGATTTCCTTTGTTTTTTCTTCATTTGTTGTCTTTTTTCATTTTTATACTGTCAATTTGAATTTTCTCTCTTTTCTTTCTTTAACTGCTAGCTAAGGGCTTATAAATTTCATTGTTTTTTTTTTCAAAACAACTTCTAAATTAATTTGTGTCTCAACTTTGTTAATCTTTAATTTTCAAATTTTCTGTTTTGACATTTAATTGGATTGTTTTAGTTTGTTGGGTTTTCTGGTTTTTAATGCATACCCAATTCACTGATTTGTTCTTTCTTTTATAGATTAAAATGGTTCAAGATATAAATCTGCCCCTAAGAGATGCTCCAACTGCATCCCTAAAATTTTGATGCTTTCTCATTGTTGCCATTGTCTTTAATGAAATTATCTATTGTTTCAATAACTTATTATTTGACCTACCAGTTCTTAGAACTAAGTTCTTTAGTCTCCAATTGCTTAATCATTTCCTCAACAGCCTTGTATTGAATACAATTTTATTGCATCATGGCCTATTAAAGACGGATTTAGTATTTCTGCTTCTCTGCATTTGTGAGGGTTCTATGATCTAATACCTGGCCAGTTTTTGCAAAGGTGATATGGGTACAGCTGAGAACTATGTATACTTCTTTCTAATACCACTCATAATCACCAGAGGTCTATGAAATCTAACTTTTCCAAAATTCTCTTCAGGTCCTTAATTTCTTTCTTTTTTATTTTTTGGTTAGATTTTTCTAGATTTGAAAGGGGTACTTGTGGGCTTCACTATTTTAGTTTTTGCTGCTTTTTGATTGTTTCAGTCACGTTGGACTCTTTGTGACCCCATTTGGGGTTTTCTTGGTAAAGATACTGGAATGGTTTGCAATTTCCTTCTCCAGCTCATTTTACAGATGAGGAAACTGAGGCAAATAGGATTAAGTGACTTGCCAAGGTCACACAACTAGTAAGTGTCTGAGGCCAGATTTTAACTCATGAAGATGAGTTTTCCAGATTCCAAGCCCAGTGCTCCATCCACTGCACCACTTAGCTACCCAGCTAATTTAAAAACTAAACATTTTTGTTTTACTGTCTATTTTTCCTTGCAACTCATTCAGATTTTCCTTTAAGTAGTTAGATACTGTGCCATTTGGTACATATTTGTTAAGTATTTATACTAATTAATTGTATATGGTACCTTTTAACATAATTTATCACTTTTAATGATTTTTGATGTTGCTTCATCTGAGATCATGATTTCTACCCTTGCTTCTTTTTTTTTTACTTCAGTTGAAGTAAAATGATTTTATCCCAGCTCCTCATTTTAACTCTGTGTCAATCTTTATGTTTCAAGTATGTTTCTTGTAAATAACATACTGTTGAATTCTACTTTCTTGTCCATTCTGCTGTCCTCATCCATTTTATGGGTGTGTTCATCCTATCCACATTCACAGTTAGGGTTGTTAATTGGTGCATCTCCTTCTTGTCCTGTTCTCATACTTTTTCCTCTCTGTGCCCAGGTGACCTGGGGATGCCATATAGGGACCTGATTGTCTACCTTTTGTCTTCCCTATGAGAATGGGAGGTGCTTCCTTTACATAGGAAGCAATGACTGTCCCCTTGTTGATTTGAAGGGCTAACTCCTTAATCTTGTGACAGCAGCTAGAGGGCACCATGGTGCACAGAGTGCCACGCCTGGAGTCAGGAAGACTGCTCTTCCTGAGTTCAAATCCAACCTCAGACACAAAACTGTATGACCCTGGGCAATTCACTTTACCCTGTCTGCCTTAGTTTCCTCATCTGTAAAACGAGCTAGAGAAGGAAATGGCCAACTGCTCCAGTATCTTCCCCAAGGAAACCCCAAATGGGGTCATCAAAAACTGGACAGGGCTGAACAACAACAAATCTTGTGTGACCCTGACTGTGGCTCCTTAGGACCTGAACTCTTTCTGATGGATTATGGGACTTTTTCCTTGACTTAGAAGCTCTGGATTTTGGCTGAGGTGTTTCTGGGAGGTTCCTTCAGGAGGTGACCAGCAGACACTTTGTTCTTTGCCCTCTACCTGCCAAGATATTTTTCTTTCAGCGTTTCTGCCAATAGGATGTCCAGGATCTTTTTTTGGTCATGGCTTTTAGGCAGTCCAGTCATTCTTTACTTGTCTCTTCTTGAAGGGTTTTCCAGAAGTTATTTTCTATATGGGATACCTTACATTTTCTTCTATTTTTTTGGTCAGCCTTTTGACTGTTTTAATATTCTTGTTGTCTCATGGAGTCTTTAACTTCTGTTTGGCCCCGTTCTTGTTTTGGGGGAGTCTATTTCTTGTCTAAGTTTTTTTTTTTAATCTTTTATACAAAACTGTTAATTCCCCTTCCAAGTCTTTCCTCCAGTGTTCTAATTTCTTTTCCAATTCTTTTGTCCAGAACTCTTGTTTCATTTGTAAACTCATTTTAAAACTTTTGCTTCATTTCTTCCCAGTGATTCTAGTTGAACTTGTGTCCAAGTTGTGTTTTGTTTTGAGTCTATGCTTGTAGATATGTTAGAATTTTTCTTTTCTTCTGGGTTTCTGCCCTGGCTCTCCTTGTCACCATAATAGCTCTCTAACAGGGAGATTTGTGTTTATTCTTTCTTCCAGCCTTACTTCCAGAAATGGGACTTGTGTTAGGGCTGAGCTCTGCACACTTCTAGAGGGAATGTTGGTCTCTTTGTTTGGTGCTGATTTGTATTCTTGGGTCCTGGTATTGCTTCAGGAATATACTCTGGTGATGAGAGAAGGGCTGGTCTGTCCCTCTGATCTTCGAGTGGCTAGAATGGGTGTTTTCTCTCCAGAAGGAGAACCCACTCTCCCGGTCCCAGACTCTTAGGAACACAGAGATGATCCAGCTGACAGGCTCCTTAATCTGCTTTCTTCAGCAGGGTGGAGTCTGTCTTAGGAGTCTCTGTCCAATTTGGGGTCAGAAAGTCTATGTAATTCCCAATTTAATTTACAGGGGCTGAAGTAGCCTCATCAGTATTCTTCACAAGGTTCCTCTTCTATAAAACTTTCCAGAGTTCTAGGGGCTGAGCACCCCTTCTCCTCCCTCCCCCTGCCCAAGTAGAAAAGGCAGAAGGACAAAGCTAAACCCAGGGATAATGGGCAAGGCGACTGCCACCGCCTTGCATTCCTGCCCTTTCTGATGCCCATTCGGCTAGTCAGCCTTCATTCACACAGTACCCAAGACCCAGAGATGAATCCTATCTGGGCTGGCAGTTTGGTGGAGAATGCATGAAAGTATAAATGGAGGGGCACTGGGCTGACTACATGGCTCCCAATTACAGGTGAAACGCCCCTGGCTCTGGCTGCCTGCACAAATCAGCCAGAAATTGTCCAGTTGCTGATGGACAACGAAAAGACCGACATTGCTTCCCAGGACTCGCGGGGAAACAACATCCTGCATGCACTGGTGACGGTGGCCGAAGACAGTAAGACGCAGAATGACTTTGTCAAGGAGATGTACAACATGATTCTCCTGAGAAGCCAGGACCCAGAGCTGGAGACTGCACAGAACAAGGATGGCCTCACACCTCTCCAGCTGGCCGCCAAGACGGGAAAGTCGGAGGTAAGCAGTGGGGCAGGGGAGGACCTGGAGACGGCCATTCTGGTTCACCAGGAGCCAGCCTTCCTGGGACCTGGGCAATGCCAGGAGCTGGTCAGCTGGGGGACCAGAGCATCCCAGGCCCAGAACTGGCAGGGGCTTCAAGGGCCCTCATTTTAGAGAGAGGAAACTGAGGCCTGAGGTCCCCCAGGGAGTAACATCAGAGGTGGGACTGGAACCCATGTCCTCCCGCTCCAGAGTGGATGTGCTTTCCCTGGGGGCTCAGTCCTCACCTGGCCCAGGGAGCTGCTGCTCAGGGATTTCCCCCTTTTTGGCATCTGGTGCTACCCACAGACCCTGCCCTTTTAAATGCATAAAATAAGTTATCTGAGAAACCAAGGATGTTAAAATATGGGTATCTAAAGCCGGGTTCACCAGTCTGGATTATTTGCCTCTCCTGGTAACAATAGAGGCAGCCCCTGATAGCAGCAGCCCCCATAGAGGTCCCACAGGACCTGCAGGGTCTGAGCTAGTAAGTTTCCAAGTCCCAAGTCAAGTCCAACTCTTCCAAGTTTGGGGCTCCTTTCTCCATGATTCCTTGCCAGAGACTGGCCAAATTCTGCCTACCCCGGACACTTGTCAGCAGGATAGGGACAGGAGATCCAGCCATGGGGATGGACTCCCCGGAGCCATCCACACTCCCCCAGTGGCTCGTGCTGGCAAGGTAGAGGGCCGTGTGCTCTTGGACACTCCCCCTGAGACACGAAGGAGCCCAGAAAGGGATCAGATCTGATGCAGGGAGGATTTATTGACCACCTACTATGTGCAAAGCACTGCCCTGGGTGCCAGGAACAGGAAGACAAAAAGGAAACCTCCCTGTCCTCATGAACAGAGATAAGTAGCTGAGACTAGGCTGTCTCCAGGGGGAGGGGGCTGAAAGCTGGGGGTCAGGTGGACTCTCGCTGCTCCCCAGTTCAGCTAGCTACACTGTGCTTTGAAGAAGCTTGGGACTGTGGGAGGATCGTATCCAGCCTCACCCCCCTTCACCCAGCCTGGCCTCCTAAGCGCCATGGTCTAACCACCAGGCAGCTAGTCAGCCTGTACGCCATGCCAGCCCCCTGCTCAGGGGGTACGAGGCCAGCAAACCCTCACGGGTCAGCCACAGGTCAGGTGCCTCAGGGCTGAGGGCCAGAAGAGGGGCTGCTCGGCCGGGCAGGGCCCAGGCCCCAAAGGGAGCCTTTTCAGTTCCCAGAGATGTCGGGATGCTGGACAGCTCCCAGGGCAGGAATCCAAAAGAAATGGAATTGTCCAGAAGAGGCGCCGGCCCCCCAGGGGGAGAGACCAATTCCTTGGAGGAAAAGCAGGGTCATTGTTCATCCGGAGCAGCCCCAGGCAGGCTCCCCCAAAGCACTTCGCTGGGGGTGGCTCTGCCCCTCCCCTCCCCCTGACCACAGGAGTGTGTGTGTGTGTGTGTGTGGCCCCCTTCCCCAGGGAAGTCACCACCCTCCCTGCAGAAACTTGCCCACTGTCCACCCCAGGACCACTTCCCACCTCCCTGGGCCTGTTCTCCCAAGCCTATGAGCGACTTCATTCATTCGTTCACTCGTTCATCCATTTCCTCAGCCAGGTTCTCATGACTACCCAAAGTGCCGCCCAGGCTTGGTCGGGCTCCTGAGCTCAGCAGGGCTAGGGGAGTGGGGCAGGAGAAGGCATAGTCCCTGCCCTCAGGGTGCTTACAGTCACTTAGAGAACAACATGGGGGAGGATAATGGTCTGTGGGGTTCAGATCCAAAGAGGAGGGAAGAGTAGGGAGGCAGGAGTTTCTCACCTGTGGAGCAAGTCCTGAGTGTTTGTGTGTTCATGTATGTCCACTCCTGCTGTGTGTGATGATGTGTGTGCCCACATGAGCCCCACCCCTGGTCATGTGTGATGATGTACGTGTTTATATGAGCCCCACCACCTTGGGTATGAACATGTGTGCTCACGTGGGTCATGTGAGCCCACCCCGCCATGTATGACAATATGTGTGTTCACATGTGTCATGTGAACCCCACAACTTGCATGATTACATGTGTTCATATGTGTGTCATATGAGCCCCCCCCGCCACGTGTATGAAGATATGTGTGTCCTGTGAGCCCCACCCCTGTCCCGTGTGTGATGATGCATCTGGCAGAAAAAGGCTTGAGATCAGAAGTGAGCATTCCAGAGAGGGCTTAGCCTCCTTTCCCAGCCCAGGCAGCAGATCAGGACCAGCAGGGGCTGGAGGGGTGTGGCTCTAGTGGAGATGGGATGTTCACCCCCTTTCAAACACCAAGGGGCTCCTCTGCTCACCCTCTTCCCACGCTGGGGAGGGCGCCCGCCTCAAAGAGAGTTCTGTGGACCGCCACAGTCTGGCCCCTCCCCAAGACCCTTGTCCTGTCCTTAGATCCTCAAGTATATTCTCAGCCGGGAGATCAAGGAGAAACCTCTCAGAAACCTGTCTAGAAAGTTCACAGACTGGGCTTACGGGCCCGTCTCATCCTCCCTCTACGACCTCAACAACGTGGACACTACCACAGACAACTCAGTGCTGGAGATCATTGTTTATAACACCAACATCGACGTGAGTGGCCTGCCCCTGGCCAGGGCGGTGGGAGCAAGGCTGGCACTCCCCCCTGGGAGGGGAGCCAGGCAGGCATCTGCCACTGGGCCTGAGGCCCAAGGACCTTCCCTCCTTGGAGGTCAGGAGCCACTCAGAGTACAGTGGCAGTTCCAGCAGGGACCAGGCCACCAGGGCATGACGGGGAGATAGCAAGGGCCTTGGGGCCCAGTAGGAGAGAATTTGGGGGAAGGACAGAAAGAGCAGGTGGGGGGCAGGTCCTGGTGGTCAGGGTCCGGTTCCAGCTGGCCTGAGGGAGGGCTAGCCTAGGGCCAGGCCCAGATGGCTCTAACCCCTCCAATGGATGCTGAGGCCTCTTAGAATGGTGCAACCATTCCTCCGGGGCACTGCTGTGTGGTCCCTATTTCTCCATCCTTTCCACAAGGACAATCAGAGTGAGCTGGGTCCCCTGAAGCTGCTGCCTTCTGTGCATCAAGGCCAGTGGGCATGCCAGCATCTGGAAAACGTGGAGACAGACAGAGAGAGGCAGGGTCCCTCGGGGACTTCCTGCCATGCCAATGATCCACAGGGAGCCAGCCCTTGTGACAGCACCCTCCAGGCAGTGCTTAGAATTGGGCGGTGTTCAGTCACCCTGTCCTAAAAGGAGGTCAGGTTCTCCTGGCCGGCTCTCTGGCATCATCTAGAGTGTTCTGGAATATTGCCCAGAACTGAGGTGTGGGGAGCACACCGTTGCCTCTTCCCTTTCTTGGTGAACGGGGAGTTCTGGAAGCAGCTCCCCTGTGTTCCACCATTATTCAGGGATCCCTAGCAAGGGCTCACAGCTACTGGTTACATCTCTCAGCACCCAGCCTTGTAACTGTTCTTCAGCTCACTGGAGCTGGACAAACGACTCCTTACCCACACAGAGATCGGCTCCTTAGCAGCCAGTTTGGTTCTGTCCCTTATAATTCAGAGATAACCCCTCCTCGGCAGAGATATTTAGGCCTCCCTCCTCAAACAGGGCCCCCAGGAGCTAGGTCAGCTTCAAGGCACTGGGTGGGTCAGCACCCACTCACAGACACAGCTCAAGAGCCCCCATGATTTGGGGACTTTACAAGACAAAGGTATTTAATTAAACAAGACAGCAGACGAAGTGATAAAAGATGGACTCCATTTCCATATGGGAGACAGTTTATGGGTCACCATCAATTGAGGAGGGAACACGTGTGACCAAAGTGTGGGATACATAGGGACATGTGTGGCCAGGCCAACTGTCATCACTGGTACTGTAGTGCTATGGGTGTCCTGTTTTCTGCTGGGCATTTCCACTGGTCTGACAGCCCCTCTTCTGCCACCTACTAGTCCAGCTTCTGCACGGATGCCTGCCACCACCATCTGCTAGAATGTAGTGACTAGCAAGCCTGTCCTTGGAAAGGAAGGGCCAGAGGGGCAGCTAGGTGGCGCAGTAGATAGAGCACTGGCCCTGAAGTCAGGAGTACCTGAGTTCAAATTCGGCCTCAGACCAAACACTTGACACACTTACTAGCTGTGTGACCCTGGGCAAGTCACTTAACCCCAATTGCCTAAAGAAAAAAAAAAAGAAAGGAAGGGCTAGAGAGCTTTTAGCATATGGTTGAAGGCTATGAACCACTATACCCAACCATCCAGGCAGCCCTCAAAAGCCAGCAGAATGCCCCAAGTTAAGGGTTTGGGTTTTTGGGTTGATTTATTTTTATTTTTTGTACTTTTCTCCTGTTGCCTGATTTGAAGTACTTGGTCCCAGCCACAGGTGAGAAAATTCTGATTTGGGATTAGAAATTTCTGTTAAGGTCCCTAAATGTCATTTGGTATCCCCCAAAGCCTGCACAGGAATTCCACAGAGTTAAAAGTAAACCACAGGAGCTGAGGGAGGGAGCTTCCCACACAGTGTGATCATGTCTGTCCTGTCTTGCCCCTCGTTCTGGGGCCTGTTTTGAGTCATCTCCTGTCTCTCCCATCTCCTGGCCATAGAACCGCCATGAAATGCTGACCCTTGAGCCTCTGCACACCCTGCTGCGAATGAAGTGGAAGAAATTTGCCAAATACATGTTCTTCACGTCCTTCTGTTTCTATTTCTTTTATAACATCACCTTGACCCTGGTTTCTTACTATCGGCCACGGGAGGAGGAGGTATGTGGGATCTCCACCGGCCTGCAGTCATTCCAGAACAATAGTGTAAGCCAATGGTGCCCCTTCTCATCTTCACTGCTGATCTTGAGTTCAGTTCTTCTAGATCAAGGGTCACCTCTGTGTCCCTAAGGGGAAGGCCCGAGCCCAGCCCAACCACCGGGGTTTTACTCAGAGAATGTGCTCAGCTCCAGGTTGTTTTGGAAGCTGTCTGAGGTCTTGGGCAGAGAGAGCACCAAAGGGGTTGGGTGATAGAGCTGGTTCACAAGTAAAATGGCAGCCATGTTCTTGACAGCATCTTCTTCCTTCTTCCTTCTTCTCTCATGCAGTCAGAGATCATAGGACCCCGGCACCTAGGACTTCAGGATCTAGTTGGAGACACAAAACTCCTACATGTCACACAATTGGTCGACAATTAGTCTTGGTCAGAGGGGTACCTAAGGTTACTCTGTCAGACTCCATCCAGGTCCTGAACTGCTCATTCTAGAGTGAGCTGGATTTAAGTAAGGCAGGGCTGTGCAAAGGCACCAGCCTCACTCTTTCCTCTGGAGCCCTCTGAGTCCAGGGGCCAGATATAGATCAGGACACCTGGAGATGGCCCTGGATGCAGTGGGGGGACCTTGGCCTTTTTAAACTAAGGTCTTTCCCAGGTCTCAGTTTGACTGAGGCAGTGCCCATTCAGTGATTGAGGCTAGGTAAGAAATGAGGCAGAGACTAACCCTAATTGTGCTCTTTACCTAGTCAAAAAGGGAAAAAAAATCAGTCTAGGAGGTGAAGACCCTCAGGGTGTCTGGCCAAAACAGAAACAATTGCTGTTTACTTTCACTCTGAGCCAATCAAGGCAGGAGTCTGATATCACGGGATCAAAGAGTACTGTTGGGAATAAAGTGTAAGAAGACTGGAAAAGGAGGTAGGGGCAGCCAGGGTGTGAGGATTTTGTATTTGCTGTGAAAGTGGGGAAGGAGAAGGCTCATAAAAGAAAATACATGGCAGGTAATCATAAATCAACATCCCACCAAAAGCAAATTAACACACTGTGTAAATGCCAGGAGCCTGGGTCCCTGTGTGGCATCTTAGATAAGTCACTTCCCCTGTCTGTCAAATGGGAAATCATGACAACGGTAATAGCTAGCCTGTACCTGGCTCTGTAAAATTTGCTAAACTTTGATCTCCTTCATCCTCTCAGCAGCCCTGGGAAGTTAGTGCTATTATTATCCTCATTTTACAGATGAGGAAATGGGCAGACTGAGGTTCCGTGACTTGCTGAGGGTCACACAGCTGGGAACTCGGGGCTTCCTGACTTCATCCACTGAGGCACTGCATGTTTGCTTAGGGCTATTCATGTCTGCCTTGCCTTATGGAGCTGCTGGAAGGCTCCACAGAGAAGCTGAGATAATGGGTGTGAGAACACAGTGGGGGAAGTCTAAAGTCGGTCATTCACATAATAGTGTTTATGGATGGAGGGGTCAGAGTTGAAGCAGGGAAGGTGAGGGGACAATATTTGCTCCATTTTCTTCATGGAGAGAGGGTCTGTCTGTGGTCTTGGGATGGAGCTGGATGGGCCAAAGTTGTTTCTCCTCTGGGTCTGGGGGGCTTCTCTAAAGTCTAGTCCAACCCATAAAGGGTATGTCTGTCCATGAGCTGATGCCAGATAGGTTCAGTAAGGACAGTAAGAGCTGTCCCACAGGGGCCTGGTTGCCTAGGGAGTGGGGAGGCTCTCCCTCCTGAGGAGCTTCAAGGCAGAGCTGATGGCCAATCCTGCCTTGAGAGTGAAGGGGTCTGTTCAGCCACAGGTGGGCCTGGAGGCCACTGAGACCCCTCCCAGTTCAGCTTGTCTGAGGCTCTGAGACCAGTCCTAAACACTCATGGAGAGCCCCATCACAAGGGCTGACTCCTTGCGGGCAGGTGTCTGGCATGGCAGGAAGTCCCCAAAGGACCCTGGCACTCTTCTTGTCTCCACTTATTCCAGGTGCTGCCACACCCACTAGCCCTGACGCACAAGATGGGGTGGCTGCAGCTCATCGGAAGGATGTTTGTGTTGATCTGGGCCACGTGCATCTCTGTGAAAGAGGTTAGTGGCTTGTCCCCTGCCCTGCCTTCCTGGCACATGGGCTTTGAACTGTCCTGGAGAGAGGGCAGAACTCTGTCTTCTCCTCTTCCTCCTGGCACAGCCACCACAGGTGATGCTAATGAAAGCTGCCTGGTGCTTGACAAGCCCCCATCTCATTAAGCTTCCAGGCATCTGGGGCACTGGTCACTCAGCTCTCTGAGCCTCAGTCTCCCCATCATGCTGCAGCATGAGAGTGGCATGACAACTGATGCCTCCAGGAGGGGGGAGGCATGAGGAGCTGGCAGATCAAGAGGTCACTTGTTCAGCCTCCAACTTCGTGAGAGAGCTTGGACAAGTCTCCTTTGACGAACATTTCTTAGTTCTCCAATGTTTGTGTAAACCTTTGTCCCGTGCTCACTGCAACCCTGGGCTCTAGTTTGCAGATGAGGAAACAGAGGCAGGCTCTCTCTCCATTCTCTCTCTGTTGGTCTCTCTTTCTCTCTTACCTGTCTGTCTCTCCCTCTTTCCCCTCCTCTGCCCTTCATGCATGCTACATCCATCCCTGCTAAACCAACCCATCATTCCTGGGACTTGACATGTCATTTCCTCCCGCTGTGCATGTGTACAGGCTGCCACCCACTGATGGAGCACATCCTCTCAGCTCGGGTGCCACCACCTCTGTGAAGCCCTCCCTGACTCCACTCCTCCCCAATTCCCCAGTTCCTAGAGCTGTTTGATTTCTCCTTTGCCCCTGGCAACCTCTGGCCTATATTATGCTTATTGGTATGAGTTGTCCCCCTTGACTTGGTAACATCCTTGAAGGCAGGGACCACTCCCTGTTGTAGCTGTGTGCCCAGGGCCAGCACAGTGCTTGGCGCAGAGGAGGTGCTCAGAAAACATTTGATCAAATTGAGTTAGACCAAGCTCCTCAACCCTCCAATAAAGGGCTTTGCAGGGGCTGGGGCGGGGTGTACTTTCTCAGCTCTGAAACTCCCTTGTCAGCCCTCTTCCTCCTTTCCTAGGGCATCGCTATCTTCCTGCTGAGGCCCTCAGACCTGCAGTCCATCCTCTCAGATGCCTGGTTCCATTTTGCATTGTGAGTGTGCTCTGTGGGTACCTGTGCTTGTGGGGGAGGGTGTGGCACATATGGTGATATGTGTGGAGAATCATTCTTTGCTGGGGAGAAAGGGACTGGAAGAAGGTCGTAGCTGAGGGGGACAAGCACATGTAACGAAGGGAGAGTACAGAAGCACAGCCCATCTTTGTACTGCCGGCGCCATCGGCAGGAGTTCAGCTGATGTTCCAAGGCCAGCTGGGCCTGGAAGGGGAGCTAAAGACCACCAACAGGGGACTCCTTTGAAAGCTATGCTGGTGGAAAGAGGAGGTCCAAGAAGAGTTAGTAGGTGGTGGTCTGGTAGGGCTGAGGCTGGGATAATGATAACAGACAGCAGAATGGATGCAGACCAACTCCCACTTTCTTTTGCTCATGATCGAAGGCCTGGAAGGGACAGAACAAAAGTAACTCTCAGGTAGTTCAAACCCAGGATATGGAGACAATTTGAGATTACCAGCTGCCCTGGTCGGGGGCCAGACTGGAGGCAGCTGTGAGTGCACCTTTCTATTCTCCCCATCCATCCCAGGGCTAGAGCAGACACTGAGCAGCTGTTGCCTGGATTAGATTGGATACCATTTGTGAGCCCCCATCAGTGGTTTGTGAAAGACTCTAAACGAGTGGTGAAGGAAGGATAACCACAGGCTTCAAAAAGGGCATGTATTCTGACGCTCACTAAAGGAATAGGGGGGTTTGCAAACAACAGACCAGTGACCCTGACTTTAATTCCTGGCACAATTCTAGAACAGATTATTAAAGGGATGGCTGGTAAACATCTAGAAAAGGAAGCAGGGTCACAAGAACCTTCATCAAGAACAGGCCAGGCCACACAAATATCATTTGGGGTTTTTTTAAGCAGAGGTCAATAGGTCAAAGGAGTGTCACAGATAGGCACTCTCTAGATGTCCACGATCCATTTAATGGGTCTCCCATGCCATTCTTGGGGACATTGGAAGGACCATTCCCTTGGTCATCAGTGCTTGGAGGTTGCTAGTGGCACACCGAGGGATCTAAGCCTGACTTTATGCTATTCAACATGGTTATCAATAACGTGACTGAAGACATCCCTGGCACACTTATCGCATTTGCAGGTGACAGGAAGATAGGCTGACCACTAGCTAGCACAAGGCACAACAGAGTCAGGATCCCCAAAGCTGGGAGTGGGCAAGAGATTCAGACCACGTCTGGGAGAATGAGGCTTTATGAGTACAGTCTCATGTTGGGATTCAGAAAGTCCTCTTCACAAGTGGAAGAAGGGGGAGGCCCCAAGGGTTTTAGAGGCCTCACCATCCAAGGAAGTGATAAGATGGTGAGGGGCCCACAGAGAAGGCTGGAGGAATTCTAGATGTTTAGCCTGGGGGAGAGAAGACTTGGGGTGGGGGTAGGGGAACGAGAGAGCTGGCTTTGAGCCTGGTTCCACTTGGGCCCTGGGGGCAGAGCTGGCACAGGGGGTGGGACTAAGGCAGGAAGACTTCCCGACCATTGGTGCTGCCTTGAGAGGAGAGGAAGGGGAGGGGTGGGGGCGGAGGCGGAGGGGGCCCCCCTCCTCGGAGGCTTCCCAGCAGAGGCTGGACAACCTCCCCTTGTCGGAATCTGGGAGCTCTGAGTCAGACTAGGAGGCTGTTGAGCTCTTGGCCAACTCTGAATTGTAAGTTACCTTCAGCCTCCCAGCTGACATATGCTGGAGGTAGGGTTCAATTCAATTAGCATTCATCAAGTGCCTACTGTGTGCCAGGCCTGGATAGAGAGTATCCAGTTGGAGGGGAGAGGGGGGTCAATGCTGAGTGCTGGGGCTACATTCTCTCAGAGAAAACACCAAACGCAATCTAAGTTGATATCAAATAGATATGTGGTAAATGCAGTCATCCGGGAGTGCGCTAATCATTGGGACGTCAGGGAGGGTCTCTTGGAGGAGGCGGCTCTGAAAGGTGGAGGCTGAATGTTCCAGACCACAAGGCAAGGGCTCTCCCCACAAGACGCCCCCTCAGACCCGCTGATGGCGCCAACAAAGCTGAGGTGGGGGCCCCCTCCCTTAAAGGCCCTGGTGACTTCCTCAGGACATAGGCCTGACTGGGCAGTGATGAATAGCCCTTTCTTTGCTAACAGTGGTTCCTTCAGTCTCCCCGCCAGCCCTGAAGGAGTTGGGGGAAGGGGGCACAAGGGGAGGAGGTGGGGAGTTTTGAAGCCCAAGGCCGCTGCTTCCAAGGGAGGGAGTGCTCCCAAACCCTCCCACTCCTGCAGGGGCTGGGCGCCCAGAGTGGGCCCTAGGGCTAAGGGGGCTCAGTGCCCGCTTATCCCCGGTGGGCCCAGGGCCAGCCACCCTTGGGTACCCAACAAGCATTTATTAAACACCTACTGTGTGCCACACACTAGAGACAGAGAAGGAAAAGTCCCTTCCCTTGAGCTTGAGTTCTGGGGGGGGGGCAGGGAATAGGAGAACAACTTGTCCATACAGAAGCAAGTGCCCCCATAGAGCATGGCATAAATACAAAGTCATTTCAAGGGAGGAGGCAGTGTAGCAGAGATGAGGGGGGAATGTTTGCCAGACCTGGGGAACTGCCTGGGTAAAGGCATGGAGGTGGGAGAAGGGATTTCCAGGGGCTGCAGGGATGCGACCTGGGGGGCTCTGCAGGGGCCAGGATTCCTCACCCCGTGTCTGTGTCTTCCAGTTTCATCCAGGCTGTGCTGGTGATACTCTCTGTCTTCTTGTACCTGTTTGCCTACAAAGCGTACCTGGCCTGCCTGGTGCTGGCCATGGCTCTGGGTTGGGCCAACATGCTCTACTACACACGAGGCTTCCAGTCCATGGGCATGTACAGCGTGATGATACAGAAGGTGAGACTCTGCCAAGCTCAGCACCCCCGTGGGGGCTGCTCCAGAGACCGTCCTGGAGTCGGGTCTGGGCCTCCAAGGGCTGCGGGCCAAAGGGAGGAAAATGCCTACTTCCACGTTCAGTTTGAAAGGGTGGGCCAAATGCCTCATGCGGGAGTGCACGCCAGGGAAGCTTCAGGGTACGACTTCTGCAGAGCCTCAAGTGCTCAGCCTGAGGGTGGAGATCTATGGGGTACTGAGCACCCTGTGGCTCCACCCCAGGGTGGAGTGGCGAGGCAAGATCCCTGTCCTCAGGGGGCTTACAGTCTCGTTGGAGAGGCCAGGGAGGAGACGAGGGACGGGGAGCCTTCGCCTGGGCCTAGGCGGCAGGACACAGCTTTCCAGGGAGCCTGGGAGGGGAGAGGGGCTCGCAGAGCGCCCTGCGCGGCGGACACTCCGCGCCGTCCCTCGTGACCAGTTTCCTTCCTTTCAGGTCATTCTGCACGACGTTCTGAAGTTTCTGTTTGTCTACATCGTCTTCTTGCTTGGGTTCGGCGTGGGTAAGCTTCCTGAGATTTCCTTTCTTTGTAGAGCAGTAGCGTCCCAGAGAGACTTGGCGGCCACACCCTGAAGCATTTCACGGTCTGCTGATGCCCACGTCCCCACCAAAGAGCAGGCGGCTCAGGGGCAGCCCCCTCGGGCAGGCTTGGCCCAGCACTGGCCATGCGCATAGGCCGTCATTTAATTGATTTGCCAGCTTGGGGCTTTCCCGCAGACCCATTTTCAGCCATCATAGTAGTCAGCAAACCATTGATTAGGTATCTTCCCGAATCTCCTTTGGCTATTAGAATAAAGAGGCTAACAGCGTGTGATAGGTGGGCATTTGGCTCGAGTTGGCACCAAATGTTGGATTTGAGTCAGTGCCGGAGAACCTGGGAAGCCTCGGCGAGGCTCCTCCTGGAGTTTTTTGAGTGTGAAGAGAGGCCATGGTGTGCGTGGTCCTCCTCTCTAGGTACGTGCAACAACCCAGGTCATACCACCACTAGGAAACCTTCCTGGCCTCAGGAGGCAGAGAGAGAAAAGTCCGCTCCATTTGTCACTGAGGGAGCCACTGCCTGTGCGCAGCGCACCCCCCACCCCCACCCTCACCCCCACAAGACACAGCTCTGATCTCCCTCAAAGCTGCTTCTCTTGGAGCCCCAGATATTTGAAGCGCTGTTGACTTACACCTCACTGGCTGACTCCATCAGCCAAAATTCCCAGTGTGCTCATTCATTCACTTATTTCAGAGGTTTTTAACCTTTTTTGGGGTAATAGACATCTTTGGTAGTCTGGTAAAACAAGAGCAGAAGTTTTAATTATTTAAAATAAAGTGCATTTAGGGTTACAAAGGGAGCCAATTAGAATATGATGATCAAAACTTCAAAAAGAAAAAAGTTCTTTGACCTTAGATTAAAAGCCCAATTTACTCATTCAACTTGAAGTGACTGATGCTAAGTACCTAAGGCAGACCATTTATTCAGCTATGCTGGCTGAGATAAGCGAAGGGGAGAGTGCTGTGCTTGCCCTCAGGGTGCTTCCTGTCTGGTGAAGAAATCCAGATATATATCAACATTAGAAACATTGCTAAACCACAGTATAAGGCATGGATAAGCCAGTGACAGGGCCCAGTGACAAGCCACATGCAGTGGGAGGAGAGCACAGAGTGGCCTAAGGTAGACTAGAAATGTAGAGATAGTGGAGATAGGCTATAAAATAGCCTTTTAGAGATGGGTGTGATTTAGGGCCGGGCAGCGGTAGAAAGAGCACCAGAGTCAGGAGGACCTGAGTTCAAATCTGGCCTCAGCTGTGTGACCCTGGCCAAGTCACTTAACCCTGTTGGCCTCAGTTTCCTCATCTGTAAAATGAGCTGGAGAAGGAAATGGCAAATCACTCCAGTATCTTTGCCAAGAAAACCCCAAATGGGGTCACGGAGAGTGGGACATGACTAAACAACAGGATTTGCTGAAACAATGAATTACTCCAATGACTTTCATGGCTGACTCCTTAGCAGTTTTTAAGTAAACTTACTTCATCTGCAGATCAGGGTCATCACTCTTTTCCAGTGTTTGCCAACCTTCCATTTTCTCTGTGGTCTTCCTGCTCTGGCGAGCATTCCTAGAGAGCTAGTAGCAGGCATCGGGGAAGGCCTCTTGAAAGCTTCCAGCATTTCTCCATGGCAGACAATCCTAACTCTTGATGTTGGAGCTAGCCTTAAAATGATCTAAGGAAAGATCCTCCACACCTGTGCTTTCTAGTGTGCTTGGCAGCCAGCCATAGGTGCTGTATTGTGTTGGGGCTCTTCCACCTTGACCCTGTGATCATGTTCTTTGTTTCTGGGACTGCTGAACTCAGATGGGGACAGGATTTGAAGGGGCAGAGAAGGGGGGGCACATGCCCACCCAGAGGGGTAGGGAAGGTAACTCCTGTATCCCCCTCCACACCTAGCCCTCGCCTCCCTCATTGAGAAGTGTCCCCACAAGGACACCGAGTGCAGCTCCTACGGAAGCTTCAGCGATGCCGTGTTGGAGCTCTTCAAGCTCACCATCGGCCTGGGAGACCTCAACATCCAGCAGAACTCCAAGTACCCCATCCTGTTCCTCTTCCTCCTGATCACCTACGTCATCCTGACCTTCGTCCTCCTCCTGAACATGCTCATCGCCCTGATGGGGGAGACGGTGGAGAACATCTCCAAGGAGAGTGAGCGCATCTGGCGTCTCCAGGTGGGTGGCCCGTGGGCTGGAAGGGAAGCACCCTTTACAGGTGGGGAAACTGAGATCATACAGCAAGGTCGTAACAAAGCTGGGACCAGAAACCAGGCTCCTACTGTGCCTTAGCGGCCCTTTCAGGGCGAGTGTCCCAGAACGCTGCAGTGCCAGGGAACTTGGTTTCATGGTATCCTCTCCAAAGTACATGAAAAAGCAGGTATTTCTTCACTGCCATCGTCTTTCCATTCAATGCAGGAGGCCCTTTCTAGTGCCAGTTCTGGGGATACAGAAATAAAAGCATAATGAGGCCTGCCCTCAAGGAGCTGACATTCAGGGAAGGGGGGGGCAATACCATGAAAGCAATTCAGAGAATACAAGGTATTCAGAGGAGGAAGAGGACAGTGGGGAGGCTTCCTGGTGGAGGCGGCACAGCTTTGATCAAGTGCTGTGCGAAGTGGTGGTGAGGAGGGAGGGCAGCCCAGGAAAGGGGAATGGCCAATGCAAAGGCAGGAAGGCAGGATGTGAGACTCATGCCCGGGGAACCGAAAGGACACAGAAGAGGAGGTGAAAAGGCCCCGAAGAGTGGTGTGGAGGAGGTGAGGGCCCTCTGTGCTGGGCTTTCAGCGCTCAGTGTTGTTTCTCCCAGGGGCGGGAAGGGAGCCCCTGAGGATTTATTTCTTTGGAAGGGGAGTCGGACAGTCAGACTTGTCTTAGAAAGACTATTTTGTCAAATATGGAATGTCTGTCAATAGGTCAGCTGGTGGCCTGGGACTGGAGCTCAGCCGAGAGATTGGGCTGGGTGGATGAGCTCCTGGGAGTGATGGGATCGCTAAGGCCCAATCAGTCCTAGGAAAGGGGCCAATAAGGAGAAATTCCCCTAGGAGGAGGGGAGGTGGGAGGGGGGAGGGGGAGGGGGAGAGAAGAGCAGGGTCACTGAAGGACATCCAGAAGGGGGAGGTGGTGTGGACGATGCCAGAAGCTGCAGAGAGGTCCAGGAGCCTGAGGCCTGAGATGGGCCGTGGGTTGCTGGCTCTGGGGAGGGCTGTTTCGTGGTGGGTATAGGAGCTGGACTGTAGGGGCTGAGAGGCGAGGGAGAGGAAGGGATTGGGAGGCATAGGAGTAGACGGTACTTTTCAGGCGTTTGGCAGAAGGAAGGGAGAGCCAGAGGTCGGTAGCCTCTTAACTGGGGACAGCACCAAGTGAAGGCTTGTTAAGATGGGGAGACCTGGGCCTGTGGCTGGTGCTTCCCCAGAGGAGGGCTCAGCAAGGGAGGCTGGCCCGCACCAGGAGCTGGTTACCCTCAGCCTGAAACCTGGATAGGTAACCGCTTGGTCCATTAGGTAGCTCCCAGATTTCTGGATGGGGAGGGAGCTTAAAGACCCTGGCCTCCAGCTGTGTCATGGTGTGGGACAGAGAGGGCAGTGCATGTCCCCAGGTCACACAGCTAGAAAGGGCTAGCATACAGCCGGGCTCCCTGGACTATCCTGTCCCAGCCCCCTGCTCCTGAGGCCACACTGCCTCAGACACTCGCAGGGTCGTGGGAACATTTTCAGCCTGCTTTCCTCATCCCCTCGGTCCCCACAGATTGACTGCATGGGCTGGGCACTCTCTTCCCTCACAGGGCCAGGGCTGGGGCTGGGGGTCTCAGCTTGTACTTGTCTCCTTCCCAGAGAGCCAGGACCATCCTGGAATTTGAGAAATTGCTGCCTGAGTGGCTGAGGAGTAAGTTCCGTATGGGAGAACTGTGCAAGGTGGCCGATGAGGACTTCAGGCTGTGTCTGAGGTGAGTGTGTGGGCCGCAGCCCCGCCTTGAGTCAGCTGCCATCTTGCTTTGGGGATTTTCCTGCGGCACATCATTTAAGCTTGGCTTTCTCAGTATTGTGGGCTAACTCAGTGCTTAGGACAGCACACAGCAGGTGCTTAATAAATGCTTATTGCCTGACATAGTTCAGCATTTATTAATCACCTACTTACTAAGAGCCAGGTGCTGTGAAAGGTGGTAGAGATAGGAAGACCAAAGCAAATCATCCCTGCCCTCAAGGAGCTTACTTTCTAATGGAGGCAGCGTGTGCATGTGCTAAATACACATAAAATAGATTGTAAAAACGAACACAAGGTATCGGGGAGAGAGGACACCAGGAGCTGCTGTGGAGGATGAGGAACCGCTCCCCACAGAAGGTAGCCCCTGACCCGAGTCTGGAAGGGATTCCACCATGCAGAGGTGAGGTGAGGAGGGAACTCATCACCGGTGGGGGGTATGGCCGAAGGCAAAGGGTCACGTGTGAGCAGTGGGCCGGTATGGCGAGAGGAGAAATGGGTAAGGAGGCAGAAGAGGCCAGCTCATCAAGGGCTTTCAGTGCCAGACAGAGGACTTTATCAGGGACGGAGAGGCAATAGGGCCCTGCTTGGGTCTGGGGCTCTGTCTCCACATACCTGGCCTTTTGCCTCCTTCCCAGAGGAGCCTCAGAGATCTAGGCACATCCATGGCCCCCAGGTCCTGTGGCATGGGAGTAAGAAGTGAATGGAAAGCTTCTCCCCAGCAGCCCTTCCTCCCTCCCTCCCTCTGCTGGATTCAGCCCCTTCACAGTCAGGAGGGGAGAAGAAGAATCCCTTCCCTGGGTCTGTGCTCCAGCCTCAGGGCTGTGGTCTATCCCTGTGGGGTCCTCCCCCCTCCCAGGGTGCCCGTGCTGCCCACTGTGGCTCTGTGTCTGCTTCAGAGTGGACAGCTGCTGGCCCCCCACAAGGGCATTCATGGCAGCCAGAAGGCACCTGTGAGGGTGTTCTCCCTAAGCTAGACTCTGGTCCACACTCTGTCTGTGGGAGCTTGGAGGACTTGGTGCCTTCGCTGAGGACCAACGGTCCCCCAGAGATGGGGAAGTCCTCACTGGGCCTTGACTCTGGTCTGAAGCTGTGCCCTAGAGGCCCGGCCACAGTAAGTCTGACTGGTAGTGCCCTAAACATCCCTTGCTCTGCCTTCAGCTGTCTTCTCAGGGCCCTAGGGATCCATTGTTTGGCCCTGCATAATCTAGCCATTGTAGGGGACTGGGGAGGTCACTGCCATATCCCATTCCTCAGCACTGGCTAACGCACTGCCTGGCACAGACCTCAGCTGTGTGCCCACCATGCCCCCCTGCCAGAGCCTGTTATGAATTCAGCATATTCAAGGCAGGGAAGTGCAACTAACCCTTTCCGGTGAGGCAGATCACCTTCTCATCTAGTGGGCCCCTGCCAAGCTTTCTGGGGAAAACCATCCTCAGAAAGGGTTTGTCTGGACCTGTCTCTACTACTGAGGCTGTAGCGCTGGTCACCAAAAAGAGAGGGAAGGGGTTTTATGGACGAGTGCTGGCACCAGGGACTCAGGCGTCTACTCTGTGGCCCGTCCCCAGGTGGCTGGATGGTACTCTGGGAGAAAGGGATGACTCCTAAGGAGATGTGGGGGAAGGGAAGGCTGGGCTTGTCCTCTGTCCTGGTGGAGAGGTTCAAAGGCTCCCATATTGGGAGACGATGGGCCTGGGCGGGTGGGGGAGGAGCTCATCCAGCGGTCACTTTGTTACGGCCTGGCAGTCAAATGGACTTGGGCTACCCTCCAACACTGGCCAGCGACCGAGTTGGGGAAATCTCAGTTCATGGGGGAGGTGGGACTTCTGGGACGCATAGTGTGCCAACAGGCAGTGGGTGAGGTCCCCCGTAATCCAACAGCCCAGTTTAACAAGCCTTACTTACAGTGTACACTAGTACATACTTACTATGTCCCAGGCAATGGGGACCAAAAACAAAATCAACCATACCCAGGAGGTGGAGGCTGCGCCTCTGTGGGTAGGAACCTTGTGAGATAATCCTGGCTTCTGCCTTAGCCCTCCCGCTCTGCTGGCGCCTCACGATGTGTCCTGAGGCCTGGGCGGGGCATAGAGGCTAAAGGCTTGGGCAAGGAGCCCAGTGACTCATCGATGTGGCTGCCATCTTGGTCTGCCCAGGCCCTTGTAACAATTCATTTTAGAGGCCGAGCTGCCCAGTTCCCCTGTGAGAACTGGCTGCCCACTCTCCTACCAAGCCTGACCTGCATCATAGGCCACTGGGATGCGTCCCACAAGTTGGTCTCCATAGAAAAAACCACACCATATGGAAGGAGGTGCTTAAAGTGAAAGCTGGGTGTAAGGCAGGGAGGGAGTGTGGGATGCCATCTTCACCCTGGCTGCCCATGAGAGCCCAAGGCCTCTTGAGACCACCCGACATCAGGTGCACAGTGAATCCTTTCTGTCTGTTGAGCACGTCAACCTAAATTCAAGAGAAAACAGCCAGCATGGCAAAATGGAGGTCTTTAATGGGGGCAAGTGCTAGGAAGGGGCTGGGAGGGGACTGGGTACTTAGGCTCTCTCCCACTTTCACTAGGTCAGTTGTTTTGCATAACAAGTGAAAGTCCCTAGAGAAAGCTTGGGAATCTTGGGAGGGGAGAGTTTGGGATGCCTACAAAATCCTCTGCGGCTGGGAGTGATCCTGGCTGGTCAGCCCAGGCAATTCATGGGTCTGGGAATGGCCACTGGGTCAGATCCAGTCTGCTGAGTCTGACCAGCCCTATGTCTCCGAGGTTCTGGGGCATCGAGGTAGCCCATAGGCAAACATGCAGCGTTGTCTGTGACCCCATCTGGAGTTTTCTTAGCAAAGACCCTGGAGCAGTCTGCCATCTCCTTCTCCAGCTCATTTTACAGATGAGGAAACTGAGGCAAACAGGGTGAAGGGACTCGCCCAGCGTCACCCAGTTAGTGAGTGTCCGAGTCTGGATTTGAACTCACAAACTGACTCCAGGCCGGACGCTCTGTGCCCTGTGGCACCCCCCCAGCTGCCGTAGACATGCTGTGTAGACAGCTGGAGGACCTGGCTGAGTGTAGCTTGGAGCAAAGACTTCGGGGCAGGCCACGGCAGCGTGGAAGAGATTAGACTTTCCTGCTTGTATGCAGGGGTAAACAGGGTCGGGGAAGAAGGGACAGATTTAGGCTTCAAGCCAGGGCTGGACGTCCCCGTGTCCATTTATTAGATAGAAATCGGACTCGCCTGCCCCCGGGGCCCTTTCAACCTTGGCTGACATTTATGAAACACCTACTATGTGCCAGGCTCTGGGCTGAATGCTTCACAAATGTGATCTCACTTGATCCTCACAACAACCTGGGAGGTGGGTGCTGTTATGAGCCTCATTTTACAGATGAGGAAACTGAGGTGGGGAGCGGTGCAGCCCAGGGTCACACAGACTGTACGTGTGGAGGCTGGATTTGAACTTGGGTCTTCCTGACTCCAGCTGTGTCTGCTGTGGCTCCACTTAGGAGCCCTGATACAGTTGGTGCTTAATAAATGCTCTTGTTGGGGATGGAGGCCCACAGCTGGGTGTCTGGCATGTCACAACCATAACGGCATTCATCAGACACCATTTCAGTCGCCAGCGTACCAGGCTCCTTCGGGGCGTTTGCCTGCCCGGCTCTGTGCTCCCCCCTTGGCCATGGGCCTGTTTCTCCGGTGCTGCGGTCACGGTCACTCACTGCCTGGCCCCTCACCAGTTCCCACATTGGCCTGACCTTAGCCTCTCCCTCTGGAGCTCTCTTGGCTCCTTCCTGGGCTACGCCTTCCTCCCAGGTGAGACCCCTCCCCCTCATCATGGATCAGCCTGGCCCCCCTATTTTGGGAGGGGCATTCCTCTCCCCTGTCTCATTTAATCCTCTGGATCTCCTGGTGTCGTCCCAGCAGGTCTTGTTATTCCCATTTTCCAGCTGAGGAAACTGAGGCCCAGCAGGGGAGGGGGCCCAGCTAGTAAGTGGGAGAAGTGCGCCTGGACTCTGGCCTCCTGCAGTCTAGCGCCAGGCTCCAGTGTGACCCTCCATGGGAGTACAAAGGCCAGGCAGGGACAGGGGAGCATAGGAGCCAGCTGGCAGCCAAGGAAATCCATGACCAGCCAGTAATGAGTCCACTGTGGGGTTGTTGTTTCATACAGAATCAATGAAGTGAAGTGGACAGAATGGAAAACTCACGTCTCCTTTATTAATGAAGATCCGGGGCCCATACGTCGCCTAGGTACTGTCTCTGCGGAGCTGGACTGGATGCCCTGGAGGGGGCTGGGGGAGGGGGCCGGGGCATCCTGGCTGGGGGAGGGGCTGGCACAAGCAGAGAGATCTCAGGTCCACCACTTCTACAAGCTAGAATTCTCAAAAGGCAGTGTGGGCCAGTGGGGAGAGCCCCAGGCTGGGAGTCTCCAAACAAGCTCAACTTTCACTCTATCTCATTTTAGAAATGACTCTCCATCATGGAGGACCTCTCCTTGTCCTACTCCAATGCCTCACGGGCGTGGAGGGAGACCCAGGCTCTTGGAACCTGAGCCAGCCGGGGGCAGGTTCTGCCATGATGGAAAGGCTTCGAACCCTTCCCGAGAACCAGCCTAGCTAAGAAGGGGAGGCTGGCATCTTGGCTACTGAGCCTCAGCCTTGGCTGGTCCTCCATGGCCCCTTACCCATCTTCAGTAATGGCAGCAGAGTGGCGGGTGGGGAGCCATCAGATGGTGATAAGAAGCGTGCCATTGTGGGACTGCTGTCTTCAGCTTTGCTGCTGGTAGTGAATGGGAGACAGTTGTCCTGTGACCCAGGAATGGCCAAACTGGAGGACAAACTCACTGTGCAGGGAACCAGGAGAGAGAAGGGAGATGCAGCTCCGGGGAGCGGAGTGGCCTATGCCCGCAGGACAAGAGGATGAGACAGTGGGTGGAGTTGGCTTCTGCGTGTGGCCGGGTGACATCCTGCCAGACATTCGGTCATCTCATGAGGCGGTGCAAGAATTTGCCAGAAAATCACCAAGAAGGGCTGCAGCTTCCACACCAGCCATCATGGGGGGTGAAGGATGTGGGAGAGATTTCTACAGAGAACCAGATGGCCTCCATTCAACGAAAGACGTCTCCATTTTGACAGGAAGTAACTATGGTGCAGAGCCGGGCAAGACTATAGCTCAGGCACCAGGGATGAAGGAGAGGCCAAACACCTTTCACACCCACACTTCCTGAAAACTTCGTTCAAGAGGAGAGGAAGGGGGTTCCGGGCTTAGTGAGCCCCATATCATACCACACCCCCGAAAGAAGTGGATTCTATCTTAATAGACAGACAGGGGCTTCTTATGGAGCTGGGGGTCATAATTAATGATGGCCCAAGCCCCAACTTGTTAGAGCAACGATCAAAATTAAAATTAGGAGAGAGAATTTGAAAAAGGAAAAGAAGAGATGGCAGGTAATTAACACGACTCCACCCTGACCCATTTAAAAAGTGCTCCCAGATGAGGGAGATGGCTTCTGTCAGCACACACGTGATCCCATCTCTGTGAGAAGAGATGGCAGCTTAAAGCAAGACTAGTGTAGACTAGTGGCTCATTTCTAAAACATCACTGAGAAGTCCCTGGAGAATGTGAATGGTGTCACCTTGTTAGAGACTGAGGAGCGGAGGAAGAAGACCCAGCTCTAAGAAAAACTCAGTGAGAGACCTAAAGAGGCAAGTCAGCCCAAGGTACTTAAGGAAGAAACTGGAAAGATGACCCACACAAGGAAGATGGAAAGGTCCACCACAGACTTTTCACCATGCGGCACTCGGGGCCGCCAAAGCTGGCTTCTAACCCCACCGTCCTTGATGGACGTCATGAGGAAGGGGATAGATGTGCTGCCGAAGGAAACAAAGATGGTGGAAGGTGCTTTACAGACAGGGCGATTCTGAGGACATCAAGGGACTGACTCTCAAAGTATGGGAAAGAGAGGAGGGCACCAAAGGTGTGAAAAAATCTCGGACTCCGCTGTTACCCAAAAAGAGTCAAAGAACGTCAGTCCAACGCCTCCTTCCCCATCTGGACAGCATCCTTGAGGATGATCCCCGGCCATGCTGATGGAGTGGGCACACCTTCACAAGCGGTGCTCCTTGGCAGACAACATAACTGAGTGAGAAGAGATATAGAGGATGCAGGACCCACTGGGCCTCTTTTTCCTTGTTATCGGAAAGCATTTGATTCAACTGAGCAAATCTCTGCTTTATAGATGCTCTTCTAGCAAAGTGTCCCCTGTGCTTACATCAAGATGTGTGTGTGTGTGTGTGTGTGTGTGTGTGTGTGTGTGTGTGTTTATATTCCTCTGACTCTGTCTCTGACCCGGGCTGCTTAGCCCCTCCTTAGACAGACTGGTGGCCCCCTGCTCCCAAGAGCTCCCCATACAGGCGCCTAGCTTTGGCCAGACACCCAGCCAGCAGAGTCTCAGGAGATCTGCCAGCCTCAGCCTCCCTGGTAGCTGATATAATTGGCATGGACTGGCATGCCCAGCTAATTTTCATAATAATTCTAAAGAGTTTGATCTGACCACATGGGAAAATCCAAGTGGATGAAGAATGTGCATCATCCAGTCAGACCCCCAGACTATGATATACAGCGGAACAGACAACCCCTCATAGGCAGATGTACATCCCACTTTGAGCTTTTCAGGGTCCTTTCTTCCACATCTTTTACCTATTCTTACATCCTTTATTTATTCATTCATTCATCCATTTATGTGTGCATGGCTTTCAGTGCCCCCCAGGGAGGCTGGTCTCATCTCCCTCTTCTTGTAGATGAGGAAATTGGGCCAGGAGAGATGAATTGAGAGCATGGCAGCTCTGTGGAGTTGAAGCCCAGGGCTCTGCCCACTGCCCCACATGGCCAACTTTGTACTAATGTGACATTTATAAATGTGGTCAGGAGGGACCTTGGGCCTCAGGGGCCCTGCCAGCGGGATGTCGGCTGTGGCCTGTGCCATCAGATGGGCCAGACTTGGAGGCCAGGCCCAGTGACCAGCTGCATCCGGTCACTAGACATGGGTCTCATTCTAGGACCATCTAAGGCACTTGGGAAGCCCTGAGTGCTCCTTACCAGCTTTAGGGCTGGAGCCTGTGATGCTGGTACATTCAGAAACCTGACTGGGGTAGGGGGAGGGGAGAGGGAGAGCCGGGATCCCAGCCCCTTGAGGATTTCCAAAGTGACTTCTCTCCTTCCCACCTCACCTTCTTTCGTCTTCTCCTCCTCCCCTTCTCCATCTTTCTCTCCTCCTCTTCTTTCCTCTTCCTCTCCTCCCCTCACCCATCTTCCTCTCCTGCTCCCCTCCCCTCTTCCCCTCCTCTCCTTCTCCCCCCTTCCCTTCTCCCCTCCTCCTATCCTCCCCTCCTTTCCTCCTCCCCTCCTTCCTTCCCCTTCTTCCCTTCTTTCTTCCTCCCATCCTCCCCTCTTCCCCTTCCCTCTCCCTTTCTCTCCTCTTCCTACCTCCCCTCTTCCCCTTCCCTCTCCCTTTCTCTCCTCTTCCTACCTCCCTCCCTTCTTTTTTTTTTCTAACAGATTTCAGCAAAGTCCAGGACTCCTCCAGATACAACAGCAAAACCACCCTCAATGCATTTGAGGAGATGGATGAAGTTCCTGAAACCTCAGTGTAGTCGGCAGTGACCAGTGTCAAGCCTGCTGCGAAGGGGCTTCAGTCCCCCACGACCTAAGTCCTTAGGAAGATGGTTTTGCCCCGTGGGCCAGGACCTGTGGGCTGGTGGATGGCACCATCCTTGGGACCTGTGGGGTGTGCCAGTCCATCTGGAGGGAGGGGCCCAGCAGGCCACGCCCAAGTCTGAGGCTCTGCAGGTCTGCCTCCATATCTGGCTTTGTTCACTGGGTGAGACCTTCTGCCATAGGTTACTTGGTAAAAAGGCCTGTCTGGGGCACCAACCTGGCCCAGCCACCAGGGGCCTGAGCTGAGGTCTGGGCAGATCCAGGGTCTCTAGGTACAGTGGAGCCAATGGGGGTGGTGGGGGTCCCAGCCTCCTCCCCTATGTTCACGTTGCCCTCCCAGCAGGCACAGGACCTGGGCCCCATGAGGGCTGGGGAAGGGGGGACCTCCAGGAGTCCTGGGGAGGGGCTGGGCCACAGTTGTCCCATCCCTGTCCAAATAGAGTAACCCTGTAAGCCAGCAGAGATAGTCATAATGAGCCTCATGCTTAACATAAGAGACATTTCATTTTGGAGTCAGAAGTACTTCATGGAGACCTGGTGGTAAGGAAAGCCCCCAGCTGCAGGTTTCCGGCCTCTAGCTTTGCTGCCCCTGGGTCCTACCAGTCTTCCCCGGCTCCCATGGCCTGGCACCGCTTCCCTGACCTCCTGGGGCCTCTTGGAGCCTTAGAAAGACAAACCCCAAAACTGTCTAAGGAATCCAGCAGGGAGGTTCAGGGGCTTCGGGAAGACACCTTAACAGGGTGGGGGTGGGGGGAGATTCTTTAATTAATTTCGATTCAGCAGACACCATCCCTATTGTGTGCATGGCAGCACGCTGGTGGGGGCTCTTGCCCACAAGAACGTTCACTGCTCTTTCCCTTTGCTGCCTGGGCTCATTCCTTTACTCCCCACCCCCACCTCACCCCAACCTTTACTTACACTTAGCAGTTAAGCTGTGATATTTTCCCTCCATCCTGGACCCTACTCAAAGTGAAGTCACTGCCCAGTGGATGGCTGCAGGGCTATGCAGACCCACACTGGGCAGCCTGCATCCCACCCCTCTGTGGAGAGAGGGCTGAGGTCAGGACCTCTAATCTACTCATCCAGGGAGACCAGGGGGCTGCCTGCATCCAGGGACAGGTAGCTGATGACTTGGTATCAGAGCCAGGATGGCAGACAGGAGACAGTCTCCTGGGGCTGGGTAGGTCGTGGCCTTCAGGGGTTCCTCAAGGTGGTTACTACTGACCCAGAGGGCCCCTCCCACATTTGCAGAGCACAGCCCAGATTGTCATCACTCACCTGTAGTGCTGATCCACAGGGAGAAGGGAGTGAGCATTTATTCAATGCCTACTGTATACCAGCCCCTGCCCTAAGCACTTTATAGATATGCTCTCAGCAGTTCCAGCTGGGACATCTGAAGGCTGGGTGCTTATGGACCTCCCCAGCTTTGACCTCCCTTTCTGGGGAGGCCTTCCTGTCCGAGGGTGAAGGAGGGCTCCCTGTGTAGATGTCCTGGGGAGGTGAGGAAGCTGCCATATTACATACTCTGTAAGGAGCCAATGCCCCCCCTTGTGTTTTTGTATTTGTCTTTAATCAACTTTACAGGCACCCCTGATGTTGCTGGGAGGGGGTGCAGGAGGTGAAGGAGATGTTATACTGTGAACTGACCTCTTGGAGGGTGAAAAAGTCAAGTGTTCCCTGCCCCGGGTTGTGGCCTTCCCTGGTCCCTGGAGCCCAAGGCCACCAGGCGCTCGGCCATGAGCCAAGCCTGCCTTTCACATGAACCTCACGCGGCCAGAACAGGCCGGGGCCATCGGCTGTTCACTTGACTCTGACGGATATATCTCAACAACAGACCCCAGAAGGGACGTCCGGGGGTCTCTGTGGGCACTCTGAGGTGGCCATGTCCTGGGGAAATGCCCAGCAAGGGCTGTTTACTTGAATCAGTAACTTGTGCTTATAATAAATATTTATTTTGCCTTGGGATGGCTCACTTTCCCTTTTTTTTCTTCTCAGACCCCAGGCCCATGAAGGCTAAATGGGAGGGGAGGAAGCCTACTGGGGCTGAGGCTGAGATGTCTGTACATACACACAACCAGAGAACCAGGGAGTGGGAAAGACACAAGATAGTTCAGGCCTTAAGCAGAGTCTGTTGTCCCTTCCCAGGGAGGGGCTCGCTTCACTGCATCAGGAACCAGGGGCCACAAGCCCACCATGGCCACTGGGGGGTGGGGCAGGGGCCTGGCATCAAAACGAGGTTCTACCACTTCCTCCCCCCTCCCTTTCCTCTTCTTTATAATGGGCGTGGGCCAAGAGGGCAGCAAAGGTCTCCTCCAGCTCCAGAGCCTGGCAGCCTGAAGCCCCTTCCCAGGTGAGGTCCTGTCCTGCTCTAAAGGGGCTCCTAAGATGCCTGGCACTAGGGATGGCCTTGATGCTCAAGCAGGTAAAGGCTAGTCCATCCGAGGCCTCATGGACTTAGAGGTGACCTCAGACCCCACTGACTCCCCTCCCCAAGCCTTGCCCTGGAGCCCCATGGTTAGAGCTCCTGCGTCCTGGGCAGATTGCCCGGGCAGCTCTGGGTCTGCTCTGAGGCTTCATAAATGGACTAGGCAGTCAGTCCCATCCAAGCTCTTCTCCAGTGTATGAGGCCAGGCACCAGACAGAGCCATCTGGAGGACTGCCATGATGGCTGGCCTGGGGAGACGGCTCCGTTTGCTCTGTGCTGGTCTGCTGGAGTCTTTGACCATGTGGACACAGCCTCACAGACCCGTTCCCAGAATCACCTGAAGAACACAGCTGCCTCCTCCTCTCCAGACAGAAGGGAGGCAACTTTAAGAAAGAATGAAGGATGGAAAAAAGGAAATGTCAGGGTTGAGCCACTGGTGGGAAGGACTGACAAAGTGTGTGTGTGTGTGTGTGTGTGTGTGTGTGTGTGTGTGTATATGTGTGTGTGCGTGCACATGTGTACACACACCGCATGGGCCCCTCCATTCTTTGCTTAAGGAGATGGCAGAGATCACGGACAGTGGGGGCAAGGAGAGTCTGGGAAGAGAAGGAAAGGCTGAGGCCCAAGGTAGAGCCAGGGCCCAAATGGCTTCTATGTTGGAGGGGGAGGGGTGAGCAAAGGGATCTGCCTATTTACATTCCTGGTGGTAGGAAAGGGCCCTTTGCAAAAGCTCTCCTCACTGGGCTTGAATTTCACCACATCTGCCATCAGGGCTCCCTGGACAGGGAGAAATGATAGAGCTGCCCTGGAGCATCTCAGGGAGGTCCAGAGCAAGCCCAGCCTCTATGAGGTCCAGATCCTTGGGGCTCTGCTGGCTTGTCCCGGAATGTCAGTCCAGGGGCAGGTGCTAATGGAATGCCGGGTGGGGGACTGTCCAGAGGGTCCAGGTGCCACTGACTCTCACACCCCAAGTTCAGACTCTGGCTCCTCCCCCTCCTTCAGCCCCTTCCCCCCCTTTCAGTCTCCTGCCCTGTATCAGTCAGCCCCTCCCCCTCCTTCAGCCCCCTCCTCTCCTTTAGCCCCTTGCTTTCCCAGGTCTTCACTCTCTCCTTGACCAGTAGAACTTTAGTTTAGACCATCTCTCTGTCCATCCCTTCCTCCACTACCATTAATAACTGAATTCTGCCCCTTCCCCCCAGACTTCCTAGTTCAGGCCTTGGGGCTGGAGCCCTTCCTCCTATGCAGGCCCAGTGGGGCAGACAAGCCAGCTGCCTAGATGGGAGTACCTCACACTGGCGACCAGCACAGACCACCTGGTCCCCCACAGCAGCCAGAGCCGCTCACTTTGCAGGCTGCTGGCCTCGGGTCTCTCTGGATGGGACAGGGCATTTCTAGTTTGCCAAGGCCTCCAGCCAACTTTTCTGTGATCGAGTCTGTCTGGATGGAGCCTCCTCCCCTCCCCAGTCCCCAGAATGGTGCCCTCTGAGAGGGCTGAACGGGACGACGTGATGGCCGGGGTCTGGGCTCCCACAGTCGGATCCACACCCTTCTCTTCCAAGGAAGGACAACCAGAAAGAGGAGCCTTTTATTAAGCATCTCACTTCTGCTCCCACCACACACAGACGAAGGGGCAGGGACAGGCCTCAGGTCATCACTTGGAGCGGGCAAAGCCCTTGCCTTCCATTCCCTGCCCGAGGAAGCTGAGGTTCAGAGAGGTGGTGTGCCTTGGTCACAATCTGCCACCTTTTCTCCCTGCAGCAAACGCAGGTAGAGCCTCTTCTCTGTGTAAGGCACTGAGCTGGGTGCCAGGGGCACTAGAGGAATAAGGCACCAGCTTGCCCTCAGGGGGGCTGCCCCCCCTGCCCCCCTAAGGGGACAGGGAGTTGAGGCTCCTTGCAGTCAGCGTCACTTTGACAGTCTTGGCGAAGGCTTCTCCTTTCTCATAGTAGGCAGCCTCATTCACAAACACGGGGTAGACTGTGCTGTCTCCGTCAAATGGAATGGTCTTCCCATCCAACGTGAGAAACACGGGGTCCCCGGGGTTCAGCGGCTTCCAGTCTTGATCCTCTCAGTAAAGAAGGCAGGGGGAGGAAATGAAACAATTAGGCTCCATTTGTCTTCTCTCTAAGATCAGACTCATCGGACAACGAAAGCTGTGGACCCTCCAAGAGGTGGCCCCACCTTGGCCTGGCACCTGGCTCAGATGCTGACACTGCCCCTCTGGGTCTTTCATCCCTGGCCTCAGCTGGCAGGGAGTTTGAGGATTCTTGGGCCCATTTTACAGATGAAGGAGGTGATTTGGAGTCAGAAGACCCAGTCATGATTTGAGGGACAAGTACCTAAGCTCTCCTGAGCCTCATCTTCCTCATCTGTAAAATGGGGTGGGGGGTGGACTGGTTCTAGAACCTTGACCTTACTTACAATCCTAGGACTTGCAATCCAAGGTCACCCAGGGAGCAGGAGTCAGGGCTCAGCTCTCTGCTAATTCTCTTAGGCTTGGCACCATACCACGTTCACCCCTCATGCTGGCATAAGGAGTGAGAATTCTCCCAAGCAGACAGGCTCTGGCCCTGTGTGAGCAGGGGGACCTTTGGACTAGATTTCTTTCAGTCCCCTCTTCTGCAAGAGGGGGAAACTGAGACCCAAAGACAGAAATGAACTTGCTTGAGGAAGCCAGATGCTGTGCCTGGTGGGAGCAGAACCCACATCTTCTCACTCTTCTGCCAGTGCTGAGGTCTTAACCCCCTGTCCCTTTATAACATCCTATCCTATTCTACCAGCATCCACCCTGGGCCCCAACCAGCAACCTGCCCCAGGTGTCCGGGCTAAGAGCTGGGCAGGGCCACACAGTACCCCTTCCTCTTTTCCCCATTCACAACTCCCTGGTTCCAAGCTCCTCCTAAAGGGACCAGGGAGGGCTCCAGGCTTGGGCCTGGCAGCTGGGGTCTGACCACCCCCCTGGCCAAGGTCCTCCCTCTTTTGTGGGCGTGTGCTCTGGCCATCAGCCATCCAGGGCAGACTCTGAGGCGTCCTTAGGAAGATTGCCTCTCAGCCTTGATTAAGGGGGCCATTGACCTATTCTCCCCAACCCCGTGAAGCAGTGGCTGCGAGGGGGAGAGGGGCTGCTGTTTAGAGACTGCTAGAAGGTTAGCCTAAAACTGCATTTCAACACGTTCTAACCTTTCTTTGCTCAAAATTCCAACCAGCTTCTGTCTCTGTGTCTCCTTCCCTTCCTCTCTGTCCCCCTCTCTCTCAGCTGGAAATGGCTTGAATATAGAATAATGTCAGATTACAAGGAAACAGTTTTCAGGCCTCCTCAGGCCTCAGACCCAGAGTGCAGGCTCTGAATTTCCTTCCCCACTCACCGTCATTTATTTTGCATTTGTCCTGTGGTGACTTCTGTGTACACGTGCCCATTGTCTCCCCCAGCAGAATGTCAGCTCCCTGGAAGCAGGGGCTGCTCTGGTTTTGCCTTGGTTTCCCCATTGATTAGAACAGAGCCGGCATACTAATGGACTGGGAGTACTTGACGAATGATGGTTGAATTAAATTGCATTATGAGGGATGGAAGGAGGGTGGATGGACAGAAGGAGTGAAGGACAGATGGATTGAGGGATGGACAGATGGACAGATGGAAGGAAGGCCCCCCCTCTTTGCCCCTCCCCCCACTACCTCTGTCCTGAAGGGGCATGCTAGTAAGTTCACGCACAAGCACGGATTCTATGCTCGCAGGGCTAAGGGCCACAGGAGAGGCCAGATGTATGATGCTGGCTGCTGCTGGGGTCCCCACGTTTCTGGTACCGAGATGAGTTTAAGTCCTGCCCCAGACATTTAGCAGCTAGCTGCGGGACACTCGGCAAGTCTGCCTCAGTTTCCTCATCTGTAAGATGGGGACAGTAACGACATCTCCCTCCCAGGGTGCTTGTGAGGATCCAGTGTCACACTGTGTACAAGTGCTTTGGGAAGCTTCAAGTGCCCTCTCAGTGATGATCATTAAGGAGCGAGACACAGGGAGCAGGCCCACTACAGAAGGAGCCTGCCCGCCTGCCGGCCCAAAGACGCTGGGCTGCCGGGGTCCATGGGCCGGTAGGTGAGCAGCTCTTGGCCCTGAGGACGAGGATTTGGGTGGCGCGCTTATAAACCCGGGGAAGGCAAGAGGCAGGCGGGAGGGGAGTCTGCATGGCGTGGCTGAGCTGGGAACCCAGAAATAGGATGAAATGAGATTCAGAGAAATGTAGTCAGACCCTTAGGCCACGCACTTGACAGATGAGAAAAGTGGGACTGAGAGGGAAGTAACCACCGGCGGTCAGGGAGAGTCAAGGAACACACACTTCCCGACTCCCCACGCAGCACTGGAGATAGCGAAACATTTTGGGAAAAGAACACTGAGTGCCCACAATCACAAGGCAGTTTTTCTTCGTTTTCAGCCTTAGAAAAGCCCAGCCACAGGCAGCCTGAATCAGGCCCCTCTGGCTGCTGCCTGCTCCTACTGTGGGCCCCAAAGCCAGTCCAGGGCCCAGGCCTGGCCAGGAGCACTTGATGCAAGCTTTACCTGCAGCCTGGGATGGATCACAGCAGCTATCTCCCCATTTTCCTTACGAGGATAGTCAATTTTCTCCATGACCTGGTAAACCTCCAGTGAACAGGCAGGGAATTCTTTTCCTAGAAATGGACACAACAGGCAGAAAAAAGGCATGTCAATTGGATCTCAAGCCGCCTGGAGCAGGGGCACATCCCCAGCTCCCCCCCAGGGAAAGGGTAAGCATGTCCTCAGGGCTCAGGCCTCCACTGTCCACATCTGGGGATCCACCTAAGTGGCCTCCAAGGTCCCAGTCCAGAGAGGTCACTGGGCGTGGCTCCAGAGGCCTGAGGGGGAGGACAGGAAGTCCTGCTTAGTACAGATGGGGATGGGGAAGGGGAGCTAGTCCTGAGGGTTTTGTTTTCCAAGCATCTCAGCGAGCACCACAGGGTCATAGAAAGCACCTTCGAGGCCATCTAACTCTACTCCTTTATTTTACCAAAGCCCCCCCTCGGGGGGGTGGGGGGGCTGATTTATTCAGGTCACACAGGAAGCAAGTGGCAGGGGTGGGCTTTGGGCCCTGGGGTCAAACTCAAGGTCACAGGCCAACAGATTGAGGCCCAGAAGGAACCTTCATCACCATTTAGTACCACACCTTCATTTTGCTGGCAAGGAAACTGAGACCTAAGAACATGTGACTGACTGGCCCAAAGTCACACAAGGGAGTTAACTGGCAGAGGCAGAACTCAAAGCCCAAATCCCAAGTCCTCCCCTGCCCTGCCCTCCTTCCATACTGCTGAAATCTGGTCTCAGTACCAAACACACTGCAAAACAACTCTCTGCAAGGTCACTAATGATCTGTCTCTTCTCATTCCTCATACTCCTTGACCTTTCCATGTGCACCACATCTCCCACATCTGCCCCCTCCACTCCAGCCACACCCCAACTGCCTTAATTTGGTCACCCATATTCCTGTCTTTTTATTTTTATGATGTGTTCTTTGGCCCATGAATACTTTAAAATTGAATTACTTAGACTCCACTGTAGTTTGAATCTTTTCTTCAAAAACCCTTTAATGATTATAATTTTTCTTGTGTGGTGGTTAGAAAAGAATGTGTTTAATATTTCTGTTTTTCTGCACTTATTTATGAATTTTCTTTATACCCTAGGAGATGGTGAATTTTTATAAAGTTGCTATCCACATCCGAGAATATATATATTCCTTATTACTCCCATTTAGTATTCCATTACTTAAATTTTTTCTTATTTATCTTTTTGTTAATTTTTTCTGGCTCTGAATGGGGTATATGGAGGTCTCCAACTCCTAGAGTTTTGTGGTCCATTCCTCCCTATAATTCAACTAGCTTTTCTTTTGAGTACTTAGATACTATAACACTTGGTGCATATGTAATAAGCATTGATATTATTTCATTATCTATGGTGCCATTAAATATAATGTAATTTTCTTATCTTTCTTTTTAAAAAACTATGTCTATCTCTATTGCTGCCTTGTCTGATAACATAATTAATACCTGTTTTAAATTCATCTAAGAGAATAATAAATTCTTAGAAATTGTGGGGATGCCCATCAATTAGGGAATGGCTGAACAAGTTGTAGTGTCCAGTTGTGATGTGAATACTATTGTGCTATAAGAAATGATGAGCAGGATGCTCTCAGAAAATCCTGGAAAGACTCACATGGGCTGATGTAAAGTGACATGCACACATGACTGTGTGCAAAGTAACAGCAGTATTGTGCGATGACCAGCTGGGAATGACTTAGCTCTTCTCAGCAATGCAATGATCCAAGACAACTCTGAAGGACTTTGGATGAAAAATGCTACATGTCTGCAGACAAAGAACTGAAGGTGTCTGAAGGCAGACTGAGGCAGACTTTTTTCCTTGAGTTTTTTTTTTGTCTGTTTTCTTTTACAGCACGACTATTACGGATATGTTTTGCATGGCTACACCAGTGTAACCTATATCAAATTGCTTGCCTTCTCAATGAAGGGAGATGGGGAGGGAGGGAAGGAGGAAGGGAGAGAATTTGGAAGTCAAAGTTTTAAACACAAATGTTAAAAATTGTTTTTGCATGTAACTGGGGGGAAATAAAATACTAAATAAATAATTTTTTAAAAAGAAAAAAAAGAGGAATAAATTCTACTGCAGCCTCTCATTTTAACTGTGTGAATCTTTATGTTTCAAATGTGTTTCTTATAAACAACACATTGATCAATTCTGCTTTCTAATCCTTTCTGTTTTATGGATGAATTTATCCCACTGACATTCATCAATTGACTTTAAATAGTATATTTTCTCTTCATTATAATTTCTTATACTTTCTCCTCGATTTGGAAAGGAATCTGATGCACACCAAAAATCTAAAATCAAAGTGATTCGTTCCTCCTCCACTGCCCCTTCTCTCGTCTCCAAGCCCAGAGCCTGACGTCTGGTTCTGACACTTTCTTTCAGATTCCCACTTTACGATCAACTTCAGGGGCGTCCAAGCGTCTCCCCACTCCAGTCCGTAGTCCACTGAGCTATCAAATCAATCTTCCTAGAGCACAGACCTGACCCCCCACCTCCCCGTCACCTCCAGGATCAAATGTAAAATCCTCTGCTCTGCGCATAGCAGGCCCTCTTTGCGCATAGCGGGCCCTCTCTGCCCTTTCCTGCCTCCTCCCATCTGACTTGATACCCCCTCTGCGCTGTCTGAGGACAGTGACACCGGCCTCCCTCCTGTGCCTCACACAAGACTCTCCATCTGGTCTGGCTGCTTCTCATGCCTGGAACACCCTCCTCATTCCCACCTCCTGCTCCCTTCAAGGCCCAGCTAAAATCCCCCCTCTGAGAAGCCCTTCTTGAGCTCCTTTACAATGCTCCCCCAGCCTTCTGGGCGCGGCTCCCCAGGTTACTCTGTTTCTGGCTTGTCTTCTCCCCCATTCAACTCTAACTCCTGGAGGCTGAGGTGCAGCTCTTGCCTTTCTTTGTATCCCCACGCTCAGCATGCGCCTGGCTCATAGTAGGTGCTTCATAAATGCTAGTGGACTGACTATTTGGTCATAACTTTCAGGAAGTTCTCTCTTTTTAACCTGTTTCCTGGGGCATCGTTCTTACATTTCCTTCTCTTTTTTTCCGATCTTTTGACTTTTCCTGAAAGTCGTCTCGTGGGGTCACGACTCCAGATCTAAGGGGGTCGACTTCTCAGGCCAGGTTTGCCCACCCTGTTCTAAGTGCTCCCTCTTCCGCCAAACTCTCGATGTCTCTTAAAGCTCTTGCTTCATTTCTTCCACTCTTCTTGCCCTCGTGGCCACTCTTTCAAGCTCGAGGAGTGGCTGGCTTTGGTGTTTTCTCTGGAAGCTTGGGCAGATAGTTCTCTGCCCCCGGCACCACCAGTGTCTTGCCCCTGAGGGGGTTGGGCGTTCTTCATGGTCTCGCAGCAGAGAGCCACCTTCCCAGGGCATGACTTCTTCTAGGGAAAGCAGCCCACACGTCCTTCAGTCTCTAAAACCCTTCCGTGGGGGGCAGCTAGGTGGCACAGTGGATAGAGAACAGACTCTGGAGTCAGGAGGACCTGAGTTCAAATCTGGACTCTGATACATAACACTCACTAGCTGTGTGACTCTGGGCAAGTCACTTAACCCCCATTGCCTCACCAAAAAAAAAAAAAGAAAGAAAAAAAGAATAAAACCCTTCCACACAGAACTCTTCAGGACCCCCAGCCTCTGGAGTGCCCTGTGTCTCTCCACGGTTCCCCAAAGCGGTTCTGGAGCCCCCCTTGTGCCTTTGGGGGCTGAGCCTGGAGACTAGGGAGTGCTGCAGCATTCTGTCTGTCACCTGGTCTTCTGACTGGGAGCTTCTGCCACCCCAGAGGCAGCTGTAGCCAGCCTCAGGTGGCACCTGCCATGTGTCGAGGCCGGCTCATCTTTGAGCACACACACACACACACACAACACACACACACACACACACACACACACACATACACACACCCCTTTGACCAAAAGACCACAGCCCCCCAGCGGCTCATTCTGGGCAATGAGTCTCCCCCAGACTCTCTTAGAAGTGTGGACACCTTCGGACAAGGCTCAATTCAGTCTCTCCTTTCCACAGCGCAGGAAGCTGAGGCCCCCAGCTTGAGGAGGTGCCTCCTTAAGGCCACCTGGACCTTCTGGGCCTCATTCCTCTCCCACACTAAGACAGGCTCTGCTGGCTCCAACCCCAGGAGGTGAAGGGGAGATCTCTGGGAGCTACAAACACAGGATGGGAGAGAGGGAAAACCAAGCAGCCAGAGGAGAGGGTTCTGAAGCAGGGGACACAACCCATGGTCCAGGGACTCAGCCCCTCCCCCGGCACCCCTGGGGGCCAGCCCAGGACTTGGCCTCTTCCTCTCCAGGGGTTTTCTCCTATAATTGACCACTCTGGCTTCCCATTGCAGATCTGGATAGGAAGCCCCCTGGGAAGGGTCTTGAGCACCCTGTTGGGGAGGGGAAGGCATCTACCCTGGCCCAGGGGGACCCCCCGGATGAATGAGAGCTTCAGCCCACACCCCAGCAGAGGAAGTCTGGTTCACTCTGCCAGCTTCCTGAGCAAGCCAGCTCCTTACCTTAGATACACCCCAGGCTGGATCATGACTTACCCTCATTGAAACACTGAATGAAATCCAGGGCATGCTGTACTATTCTCCTCATCTGATCAAGAATATCTGCTCTGAGAACCCCCTGAGGCTGGGGACCAACCTCTACACCTGTGGAGAGAAGGCCCAGAGGGAGTCTGTGATCTGAGACCTCCCCACTGCCTTTGTGTCCTCCCTGGGGATCAGGGGCCAGACCAGGAGACCTCGGAGGCCCCGGGTGAGGCTCCATGATTCTAGCCACTGTCTCCTGCCCAGGCCTCTCTGCCTCTGCACTGCATGCCTCCCCACAAGCTCCCTCTTCCACCTGTCATCCTCCTTCCTTAATTTCCTCTCTCACATGTGATTTCATCATCCTTTTCTTGTATTTTCCTCTTTGCTTGGTAGATGTAGGTGACTCCCTCTGGGTGGGCTGATGCATGTATGCGTACAGATGAACAGCCTGCACCTGACCTCAGGGTTGCATAAGCGTGTGCAATATCTGCACAAGGCAGGTTGTCTCGACCATGTGTGCTGGCAGGCACTTCCCCCAGGACCACCAGAGGCTGTGCCCAGGGGCACCCCCTGGCTCCTCTCTCCTTCTCTCCTGTGTAGGTCCCAGCCCCAGGAAGTAGCTGCTCCTAGGATGGATGAATAGCACCCTGACACCCCAGGTGTGGGCAGGATGTAGGGCCAGAATCGAGTCTGGACTCTACGAATGGGGGCATGGAGTAGGGGAATGGGCAGGGGAGCCAGGCTGAATGTGCTCTGGGACAAGCAGTCGGATGGTTAAGTAGGGAGGCAAGCTCGTGGAGCTAAGAGGTCCTCCTCGGAGATGCACCATGCACTGAGTGTGGACTTGCTGGGATTCTGCTCCCAGACGTGGGCTGAAGATGGTGAGGGGGAGGGGAACAGAATGCATGGGGGAGGGGAGAACAGTGGTGAAGCTTCTGCTTCTGTATGAACTGCCCAGCTGGGGGAGCCCACCCAAGACTCAATCCACGAGGCTCTGAAGGGAGGACCTTCGTTGGTGCCAGTACACAGAGAATTCTAACCCTGTGGCTGAGAGCGCCCTGCCCCCAGCCCATTCCTGGCAGACACTGTGTGGGCCAATTCCTTCCAATCTAGTTGGATTGGAGTCGGAGCTGTTGGCCTAAGGGCTCCAATCTCACCAATTCTCCTGAACAGCTGACCATCCTCACAGGACAGAGCCCCAGGGGTTGGCTTATAAGTGAACTATTTAAAAAGAAAAGACCCAAACACAGGCTTAGTCTGAAGAATGTGGACATGACCTTGAGGAGTCCAAAAGGCAGGGCACAGAAGACAAGACTCTGGCCACTGGCTGGTTCTGAGGTGGTAGCCGGACCCCTCTGCAGAGCCTGCCTGTCCTCTGGGTCTGGACCATGAGTAGAACAGTGTCCACCCCAGTGTAGACAGAAAAGCACACAGTGGAGGGCCACATCAAGACAACCACGGCAGGCTCAAGGTCCCCAGAAAAGTTCATCCGCCTTCCCCCAAGCTTGGGCCTCCTGCTCAGGGTAGGGGGACCTGCCAGGGACCTGGTACCTGATTCTTTCATTCCTTGGTCCTGAAACCACAAATGAGTGTATTCAGTTACGACACAAAAGAAATGGTGGCAACTTACCCACGGGATGCTTTGCCACAGAGCGTGTGGTGGCGTACTTCAGAGAAGGGTGATCAATGAGATACACAAAGCAGGGCAGTGGAGCCAGGGAATTCTGCAAAGAAGGCATGGAGGGCATGACGCACTGGCGCCATGGAAGCCACGTAGATGGGACAGGACTGACTGGCACCCACAGGCCACGGGAGCATGCCTCAATGGGACCGACTACAAAGCGTGCTAGAAAGATGAGACCCCCAGGGGGGGCAGAGCCAAGATAGTGGCGTGAAAGCAGTGACTTGCTTGAGCTCTCCCCCAAACCCCTCCAAATACCCATTAAAAAAAGGCTCTAAACAAATTCTAAAGTGGCAGAACCCACAAAAAGACAGAGTAAAACAAATTTCCAGCCCAAGACAACCTGGATGATTGATCAGAAAGGTGTATTTCGCATCATGGCACAGGTGCATAGGCCCCAACGAACCTGGAGCAGGCATCAAAGGACTGAATCACCGGCAGCTGTGGCAGCTTCCAGAAAAAACAGAAAAGTCTGTTTTTGTGGTGAGAGAAGAGCTAGGTCACAGCCAGTTCCAGAGCACAGAGCACAGAGCGCAGAGCGCCAGTGCCAGGGCGGTGGCTGCATCCTGAGCTTCTGGCCCACAGACTGAGGGGGAATCCAGTGGCTGATCAGAGAGGGACTGCAGGGATCTCTTTGCTGATGCTGAGGCAGGAATTTCTTGCTTTGCCTGTGCTTGGATCTGGGTCACAGTTCTGGGTGGTGATCCTGGGGCAAGGAGGAGCACTGGTGCAGTAGAGCTTGTAGTGGCGGTAGAGAGAAACTCCTCCTCACAGCTCGAAGACAGAAAAGAGTGCTTGTGGTCCCTCATAGACCAGAGCACAGGCCAGGAAAGGAGTAAACACCTTGCCCCTTATCATACCACCTTGGAAGAACTGAAAATTTATAGGTCCCTACAAGTATCTCTGAAAACAGCTGTACAAACACCCGAAGCTTGAGACAGTACAATCTCCACATTGGAAGCAGACTTTTACCTTAACAAAGAGTTTAAAACTCAAGTAGTTGGCTGGGATCATGAGCAAACCTCGCAAAAAGAATCAGACTATATTATCTTACTTTGGTGAAAAAGAAGATCAAAACATACAACCAGAAGAAGACAACAAAGTCAAAGCTCCTACATCCAAAGCCTCCAAGAAAAATATGAATCAACCCAGGCCTTGGAAGAGCTCAAAAGGGATTTTGAGAAGCAAGTAAGAGAAGTAGAGGAAAAACTGGGAAGAGAAATGAAGCAATGCAAGGCAAGAAAATCATGAAAAACAAGTCAACAGCTTGCTAAAGGAGACCCAAAAAATACTGAAGAAAATAACACCTTAAAAAATAGCCTAACCCAAATGGCAAAAGAGGTCCAAAAAGCCAATGAGGAGAAGAATGCCCTAAAAAGCAAAACTGGCCAAATGGAAAAGGAAGTCCAAAAGATTACTGAAGAAAATACTTCCTTAAAAATTAGGATAGAGCAATTGGAAGGTAGTGACTTTATGAGAAATCAAGACACTGTAAAACAAATCCAAAAGAATGAAAAATTAGAAAATAATGTGAAATATCTCATTGGAAAAACAACTGACCTGGAAAATAGATCCAGGAGAGAGAATTTAAAAATTATTGGACTATCTGAAAGCCATGATCAAAAAAAGAGCCTAGACATCATCTTTCAAGAAATTATCAAGGAAAACTGCCCTGATATTTAGAACCAGAGGGCAAAATAGAAATTGAAAGAATCCACAGATCTCCTCCTGAAAGAGATCCCCAAAGGAAAACTCCTAGGAATATTGTAGCCAAATTCCAGAGTTCCCAGGTCAAGGAGAAAATATTGCAAGCAGCCAGAAAGAAACAATTCAAGTATGTGGAAACACAATCAGGATAACACAAGATTTAGCAGCTTCTACATTAAGGACCAGAGGGCATGGATATAATATTCGAGGGCAAAGGAGATAGGATTACAACCAAGAATCACCTACCCAGCAAAACTGAGTATAATCCTTCAGGGGAAAAATGGTCATTCAGTGAAATAGAGGACTTTCAAGCATTCTTGATGAAAAGACCAGAGCTGAATAGAAAATTTGACTTTCAAATACAAGACTCAAGTGGAACATGAAGAGGTAAACAGGAAAGAGAAATCATAAGAGACTTATTAAGTTGAACTGTTTACATTCCTGCATGGAAAGATGATATTTATAACTCATGAGACCTTTGTCAGTATTAGGGTAGTGAGGGGAAAAATTTATGTATGATAGATAGATAGATAGATAGATAGATAGAAGATAGATAGATAGATAGATAGATAGATAGAGGGCACAGGGTGAGTTGAAGATGAAGGGGTGATATCTGGAGAATAAAATTAAGGGTGAGAGAGGATTATACTAAGAGAAGGAGAAAGGGAGAGGTAGAATGGGGTACATTATCTTGCACAAAACAGACAAGAAAAGGTTCTTACAGTGGAGGGGAAACAGGGGAAGGTGAGAGGAAATGAGGGAATCTTATTCTCATAGGATTTGGCTTAAGGAGGGAATAACATACACACTCAATTGGGTATGGAAATCTGTCTTACCCTACAGGAAAACAGGGGAGGAAGGGGACAACAGAGCAGGGGGATGATGAGAGAAGGGCAGATTGGGAAAGGGGTAATCAGAAGGAAGTACTTCTGAGGAGGGACAGGGTCAAAAGAAAGAATAGAATAAATGGGGGGCAGGATAGGATTAAGGAAAATAGAGTTAGTTTTTCACAACATGTCTACTATGGAAGTGTTTGCATAACTACACATGTATGGCCTGTATTTTCTTACTTGCCTTTTCAGTGAGGGTGGGTGGGATGGGAGGAAGGGAGAAAATTTGGAACCCAAAGTTTTAAAAACACATGTTTAAAAAAAATGTTTCCATGCAACTGGGAAATAAGAAATACAGGAAATGAGGTACAGAAATCTATCCTGCCCTACAGGAAAATAGAAGGGGAAGGGGATAAGAGAAGGGGGGGAGAGATAGAAGGGAGGGAACTAGGGGAAGGGTATTCAGAATGCATGCCATCTTGGGGTGGGGGAGGGGCAAGATGGGGTGAAGATATGGAATTCAAAATCATTTGGAAGTAAATGTTGAAAACTAAAAATAAATAAATTTATATATTAAAAAAAAAGAAAGAAGAAGAAAGTTAAAAAAAAAAGAAAGAAAGAAAGATGAGACCCCATGCAGATGGGACAGGGCTGACTGGCACCCACAGGACATGGGAGCATGCCTCAATGGGACTGACCACAAAGTGTGTTAGAAAGATGAGACCCCAGGGAAGCCATGCCTGAAAGGTGGCGGATGGGCCACGAGCGAGTGCTTCCTGGCCCCAGCATCAAGGGAACGTCCTTGGCCCTGTCTGGTGGCTCAACTTCAGATGCTGCTATGGTGGAAGTAACATGAGAGGGAGGGCCAGACCTTCTGCTTTGCTGCCCTCCCCTAAGGACTGAGGCTTTTTCCATCAGTCTTTAAATGAAACCTTCCCTCTGCTCCCCCATGAGGCCCTGAGCTTCTTCTATTTGTATTCCCAGTGATGGGCACATAGTATCTATAAATCATTCATTCATTCACTCATTCATTCACCTTAAACTCAACATGTCCGGAACAGAACTCATTATCTTTCCCCCCAACCCTCCCCTGCCCCTACCTCCCCTAGCACGGTAGAGGGCAGCCCCACCCTCCCAGGCCCTCCGGCACCCAAACCTAGGCCTCATCCTGCAATCCTCAGCCTTTCTCACCCCTAGATCCAACATGTCAATTTCATCTCCGGAATTCACCTCCTCACCTCTGACCCTGCCCCACCCTGGTGCAGGCCCTCATCTCCTCATACCTGCTCATTGCAGTAGCTGCCTGAGGGGGTGGGGTGTCTGCCCATTCCAAGCCTCTCATCTCTGCTCCCCCAGTCCATCCTCCATTCAGCTCCCAAAGTGATTTCCCTAAAGCTCAGGTCTGATCAGTCATTCCCAATCAATACACCCCGGTGGTTCCTTATGGCCTCCAGGAACAAATACAAAACCCCTTTGGCATTCAAAGCCCTTTTCAACCTGGCCCCCCTCCTTCCTTCCATCTGACTCTCCCATGGGTACTCTTTGATCCAGCCACCAGGCCCCCTGGCTGTTCCCTCAACAAGACTCTTTATCTCTCAGCTCTGGGCATTTTCTCCAGCAGTCCTGCATGCTGGGATGCCTCTCCTCCTCCACTTGGCCTCCTGACCTCCCAGCTACAATCCCATCTTCTACAGGGAGCCTTCCCCCAACCCCCCTTTATTCCAGGGCCTTTCCTCTAGATTGTAAGCCCCTCACGGGCAGGACTGGCTTTTGCCTTTCTTTGTATCCTTGTGCACAGAAGAGTGCCTAGAACACAGTAGAGTGCTTAATAAATACTGGTCTATTCTATAGGGTGGGTGGGGCCTGGAGGGACTCAGGCTGCGCCCCTTGGGAGGTAAGGGGGGGCTCCCCTCTCCTTCCAATTGGGAGAGGGATTCTGGGTTCCACTACACAGCGGTTAATGTTCAGCCAGAAGACAGGTGGGGAACAGGCAGAAAAGGGGTCTTGTGGACCTGGTGCCTCCCGGCCTGGGTCAGGAGTACAGGCTTCCTGGGCTTCCCTGGCTGCCCCAGCTCCCAGCTTCTAGCCACTGAGATGAGCCAAACTTGCAGACCCCACCCCCCTCTCCTGACCCCCACTCCTCCTTACAGGTAGTCTCTTACAGTCGGGCTCATGGGTGGATGTCACCATAGACATCACTAATCCAGACCTCCCATGCTGTGGGCAGTAGGCCACCCTCCTTCTTGGCTCTCTGTCTGCAGATGTTCACAGTCACTGGTGTTGGTCAAGGTGAGAACTACAACAAAATGCATTTCCTAGGAGGTGTGGCAGCTCCGAGCCACAGGGACTGGTTCTGACCTCTCCATTCTCAGCCCTGAGTGCTGGGCCCTGTGCAGCACTGCTCCACCAGGGTTGTCCAACCATTTGTGCCCAGGAGGCCTCGCTGGGCACAGCGTGAGGGAGTGTTAAGCCAGGGGAGCCACCCCCTGACCAGAACAAGGGGCCCTTCCTGCTGGGCGGGGTGGGAGTGGGAAGGGTGATCCCAGGATCACTAGCACCAGAGCAGACTCAGAACAGGAAGATAACCCCACGGAGATCCAGATTCCAGGGGGCCTCAGGTAACACTGGGGAGCAGCAGGGCAGCCCAGCAGCTCATACAGACATACCAAGGGGTGAGAAGCAGCCACTGTGGCAGGGATGGAGCACCCTGAGACAGCCAGCCCACTGACTCAGCCCGTGTCAATCACCCGGACACAGGGTTCCCTGACTGCATGAAGGGATGGATGTATGAAAATTTCAGACCCCTCAGACCTAAGTTACCTTAATGTAATGAAACATCTGGATTAACAAGTCATTCTTGGAGCTCTCGAGAATGAGAGTGCAGCCCATGTTGGCCGTGGTGTTGTGGAGGTCAAGAATCACATCGTAGGCGTCTTTGCTCCCTTTGGGTCCAAACAAAAGGTGTATTTCCTGGGCCCGGACCACTTCGTAAGGCAAGTCCTCCAGTGTTTCCTTGCTGGGAGCAGAAGAGGGAGAGGAGAGTCCTCAGGAAGGGGCCCAGGGCCTTAGAGAGCAGGTTCCAAGGTCAGGGCCAAGGGCAGTGGGTGCAGGGAGGCCCCTGGGGGATGGATGGGGAGAATGAGTGACCCCAGGGGCCCAGGAGGAAGATCTCTGGCCTTCATGGATGCTTGAAGCAATGAAGGGCTATCCCCTGGCCCTTTTACCCTAGACCTGGTGTGTCCCTGCTCTTGTCCTGCCCTCTGTTCTCAAAGAGGACCATGACCTCAGAGAGGCGCTGCCATGACGTGCTAGTGAACTGGATGTAAGTGAGGCAGGACTGGGCAAAGGCACCAGCCTCACTTTCTCCTCCGGAGCCATTTGGGTCCAGTGGCCAGCCATGGATCAAGACAACTGGAGATGGTCCAGATGTAGCAGGAACCTTGGCCTTTCTAAGCTCCGTTCTTAACAGGTCTCGGTGATTAAGGCTAGGTAGGAAATGAGGCAGCTAGGTAAAGAGGTCCCAGCTCTTTAACAAGGCCTTCGAGGCCGTTCACCAAATAGCTCCTACTTCCCATTCTGACCAACCCCTGCTCCACCTCCCCAAGCTGTGCCCTGTGTTCCAAACAGGACAATGCTTCCTGAGCATGCCCTGAGGACCTTTGCTCACACTGTCCCTTGGGCGTAGAACACCTGCCCTCTCCACCCTCATGCCCTCCCCTTTCAGCCAGCTGTTGTACCCCTCATCTTCTAAGGCCAGAGAAGAATACCCTCAGCTGGGCAGAGCTTCCCAATCCCCTTCCCCCAACCTTCCCAGGGCCACTTGAGAACGCTAAAATCCCAACTCAGAATCTTGGGGATACCTCATCCACACATCCCTTTGTATCCAGATTATATTTATCTGTGTCTAAGTCCATCCTAGAGGGTAAGCTTCCTGAGGGCAGGGATTGGGTCTTTTTATCTTTGACTATTCCCCAGTACTCAGCATGGTGTATTGAATACTGAGTAGGCATTTCATAAATATGTGGTAATGAATAAAGGAACGGATGGATGAGTCACTCAGATGGGAAATGGAGGACCAGAAACCCCCTGGATTTCCCACTTGCTTTCTGTCTCACTCAACATTCCCTCATTCAAGGCCCTGGGGTCAGAAGTGGGAGAGGTCTTGCCTGCAGGGAAGCCTGGCAATGGAGAAGGGCCCCTGGGATGAGGGGCAGGCAGTGGTCTCTCACCCCACTTAGGGTGCAAGAAAAGACCTAGGGACCTATCAGGGCCCAGTGCAAGAAGCCAGCCAGGGCAGCTGCCTGAGACCTCAGGCTCTGATGAACATGAGTGGCTTGGCACTTTCGTGGGAGGCATTGGCTTGGACAGCACGGACCCAAGACCTTTCATCAGCCCTCTTGTCCTACTCTGCACACTTTATATTGTCTCGGTGTCCTTTAGAAATCACAATGCTGAGAACTGACCAGGGCTCCCCAGGCGCAGTCCAAACAGAGCAGAGGACAGAGGCCCGCCACCTCCTTATTCACAATCTAGTAGTAATGGGGTAGGGTACCATGGGTGGGGTGCCACGTACTCATTCCACAACCTTTTTATGGGCTGAACTACCCCCTCCCCCACCCCCCGCCTTGGGGCATGTCATTCTCTCCAGTGACCCCTTCAGGCCCCTCCCCTGTGAGACTGGATTTCCTCTCAAACCAATCCCAACAAGATGGTGGAGGTCCTGCCTCAGTGCTAGCCCAGCCTATTATAGCAGGAACCTTGGTATAAGTGAATATTCCTTCCTCCTCTTGGGAAACTGCAAAAAAGAATCAGTATTTTCATAGCTCTGAGCCCCCAACCAGAGAATATGCTTTGGCAAAATGCCATCATTTTAAACCCCTCTCCCCCTTCCTAGAAGCTCCCCAGCCCCCACTGCCTCCTCATGGGTGCATTCCAATAAACACACACACACACACACACACACACACACACACACACAACCAATGTAGTTTACAACTTTTATCACAGCTGATGGCTGAAAAGACAAAGTAAACATTTAAACACAAACAGACAAACATTTTTTTTTAGGCCATTGGGGTTAAGTGACTTGCCCAGGGTCACACAGCTAGTAAGTGTCAAGTGTTTGGTCTAAGGCCGGATTTGAACTCAGGTCCTCCTGACTTCAGGGCTGGTGCTCTATCTACTGCACCACCTAGCTGCCCCTGGCAAACACGTTTTTAAGGAATAAAGGTAATCGTCCCCTTAGAAAGAGATCAGGCTTAAGCATTCTCAGGAGGGAGAAGGACAGGAGAGAAAACAAAAAAGGGGAGAAGTGGCCAGACCCTGAGGGGCTTTCAGCAGGCAGCAGTGACTCCACATTCCTCGTGCACCAGACACTCACCCCGCCTGGGTCCCGGAGTCAGGCACAGGCCCTGTGAGGCCTCTCTGCTTCCCAGGACCCCTAAGGATCATGCATCACATCAGCCCCTTCCACCTGTCTCAAGTCCAGGCAGGGAATGCTGAGCGGTGGGAAACACAGAAAGAAAAATCAGCCTTTGGCTCCTGCCCTCAGGAGCTCCGCTCTACAGAAGAGAGTTTGGAAAGAGGCCACTAAGAGCCACGAGGGTCAGAAAGGCTTCCCGCAGAGCCACACCCCAGGCTTCCAGGCCCTTCTCAAAGCCTATCTCACAAAACCAGAGGAAAGAGATACAAATTCGTCTGATTGGGGGTAGGGAGGGCATCAGGAAGGGCTCCCTGTAGGAGGTGACAGAGCCATCTCTCCACAAATCCCACTGAAACACAAGCTCAGGAAGCCATTAACGCTAAGCTCAAAGCTGACACTGCCTCTGTCTTCACCGGGGAGCCTTTGCAGCCTGCCAGGCTGTGCTGGGGCAGGCGGGGCTGGCCACAAGGCCTGCCCCAGGCTTGGCCGTGGAAAGAGGTCTGCTGGAGGATATGGATGGCCGCAGGGCGGCCTGCCCAGCTGTCCTTCTCTGCACGACCCCAGCAGTCAGCCTCTGGTCACGGGGCCTGCTTCCACAGTCTGGGCAAGCCAGCCATCCACCAGCTGAGGCCGCTGCCCAACTGCCTCCCTGGCGGCCACGCTCTTCTAGGGAGATTCTGGGTCGGCTCTGGGGATGTGGGCTCTTCCCCGTGCCCCTCGACTGATTGCCACGAGGAGGCTGGAGTGCCCCTCGGACAGCTGGCTGTCCGGCATTTGTTCTATTATCTGGAGAGAGCACAGGCCTGAGTCTAAAAGGCTGGGTTCAGATCCCGGCTCTGCCCTTTAGGCACTTTGTGACCCTGGGTAGGAGGGCCTAGGCTCGAGCAGGGGCCCTTCCCAGAATGCTGTTGTTAAATGCACAAATGACATACGTGGATTACAAAGAAAGCCAGTTGTTTGGCTTTATCACAGTTATCAGAATAGTGCTTTCTTTTACAGTTCACAGACCCCAGGTAAGACCCCTGCGCCCGTGTCTCTGAGGTCCCTCCCAACACTGACGCCCGCTCTGACGCCCCGTGATTCGAGGCCTTGGAGGGGGCATTCCGCTGCCCCTGTTGGGATACCTGGAATGGGTGACGGACACAGTGCCCTACCTGGCGGTGCGAGATCGTCAGCCCTGGAGGATAACTATCCAGCGGAGGCTGGTAAGAGCCCAGAGCTGATGCGCAGCCTTCCCGCGTGCCGCTACACTGCTCTCCTCCCCTGCCACACTGATGCCACTGCTTGGGGTCCCCCGATCCCCAGCAGCAGAGCAAAGTCCCTTGAGGTCACTCACGATCACGAGGACCATAAATCAGGACCGGAGTCTGACAATGACCTCACTGAAAGCTTGCCTCCTTTACTTGACATCCACACAGTCCTGGAAATCCGTCCCAAATCTGTCACTAATTCACAAGAGCCCCTCCATTGACCTCCTGTTAAGGCTGCACAGTGCAGTGAATGGGCAGAGGGCCAAGAACAAGGCCAGGCCTGGAATGTGAATCAGCAACAGCCCCTGACCTCAGGAGGCTTCCGTGGGGCTGGGGGGAGGGGGACATGGCTAGAGGAATGCAGCCCATCGCCAGAGAGGTGAGGACAAGGACAGAAGGAGAGGGCGCTCACCTCTGTGGGGAGCCTGTGGAGGGGCAGGTCAGGAGGAAAAGCATTCCAGGCCTGTGGGTGGGGGAGACACTCCTCTGTGGCCCCACAGATGGGAACAGGCATCCTCCGGTGCTTAGGCTGGGAGTTTGGGGGGGGACTCCAGGGGTCCCTGCCCTGCATGTGGACACAGTCTGAGGCCCAGCACAGGCACGAATGGCGTCCTTCCGGCTCGGGCTCATGCTGCCTGATACAGCCTTGGAGAGAGTTCAGGTTTGAGCACAGGTGCAGCCTGGCCCAGCACACTGGTGACAGAGGCAGTGCCAGAGACTGGCAAAGGGCGGGGCGACTTAAACAGGATTAAAGGCCAATGAGGTGGGTGGGCTGGCCCCTTCTGAGCAGTGAGAGCCACCGCCCTTCCCAGCTGGTCTCTGGGGGGCACAGCCCGCTGACAGTGGGTCCCCAGTGTCCCCCCATCCCCGGCATCCCAAGAGGTCGGCATGCTGCCCCACTTGCCCCTGGCCACAAGAGCCTGTTTCTCAAATCAGCTTCTATAAAAAACAAGGTCTGAGCACTGGCCAAGCGCAGCCCCAGAGCACTCAGGAGGAGCTGGGGCCCACCTCCTGCCAGGGGGGCGTGGGCGGGGGGCAGGAGGCAGCACAGAGCTTTGGACACAGACAGCGTGGGAATCTGGATTTTTGACTCGGCATATTTGTCTTTTTTGGGGGGGAGGTGGGATTGGGATGGAGAAAAAAATAGTTTTTTGTTCAGTGAAAACATTTTTTAAGGTTTAATTATAAAAACAGGAACATTTATGACATTATGAGCCTGATCAACAATTGGTAACTGTTTCTAAGGCAGGTCACCTCCAACAGCATCTGGCTAGGCGCTTTCCAAAGTTCATGACACTCTCTGGTTGATCATGAACATGTGAAATTCCTTAGGGGGTGTGCTTGGTCAAAGGCCAGGAAGGGGTGACCAGGCACCCAGAGAGGGGCATCGGGGGAGGCAAGCACCCCACCCACCCCCCAGTACTCGCCTTACCCTAGATGGGCAGGGTCAAAGACCCGATTCAGATCACAGTCGATGTACCTAGACCCCTTCTGCACGGCCCGCGGGTTGGCGATAAAGGGCTTCACCTGCAGACCCGTCCTCTGCACCTCAGCTGCATCTTCTTCCCAGTGTTTGACCAGAAGCACCCCAGAAAGCTCGTTCCCGTGGGTGCCCCCAAAGATCGCCACCCTCCTCAGGGGGCTGTTGGCTCCGAGCAGGGCGGTCATTCTCCCAAGCTCTCCTTGCCAGCTCTGCCAAGCCAAAGAGAAGATCCCCAGTCACTGAGCCAGGCAGTCCGAGGAGGCTTCCAGCGTGCCCACAGTGGCCTGGACAAAGTTCCTCCAGGGAGGCTGGCCCAGGCAGCTGATACCACTCCCTCCTCCCCTCATTGACCATATTTGGAGGCTAAGAGGCAAATGTCAACCCAAGATACTTGCTTTGGCCAGACTTCTGACTCCCTCAGATGGTCAGCAGCCCTCAGTGCACCCAGCAGAGAGCCCAAGCCTTGACTGAGGCCAGAACTGCACAGCCCCAGCTTTGGCGGGGCAGGGGCTCCACACTGGAGGTTATGGAAGGCCTCCCCTTCCCCGCCCAGTGGCCTCGAACTCCTCTCCTCTGAGGGCCTGGCGTACTTTCCACCTTCTGCCCAGTTGCCACAGTTTAGCACCTCGAGCACACCCAGGCACACCTGGGCACATCCCAGACAGGCCGGCCCTCAGCAGATTCTCACAGGTGGACGGGATCATTTCCTGACTGGACAAGAACTGAGACACACTGGCTTCAAGTCTCTTTTAAGAAACATTTTTATGAATTTGTAGATTGAATTCAAGTCCACTTTCTTTGAATCTTTCCCCACTTTTTTGTAGGGTGACCCAAAGTACAAGTAATGCTGGAAAACGTGCTAAAAACGCTAAGTCCTGTACACACACACACACACACACACACACACACACACACACACACACACACAGAGTGCAGACCAGGAGGTCCACAGATGAGAAGGTGTTGGGGAAATATGCAATAGAAGTACAAATGAAACATGACGTAATGGGAATTGGGGGCTTTCTAAGCCAGTTTGCAGCACAGAAACCTGGTTCTGATTGAGTCTGGCTCTACCCCTCATTTAATAAACAGGGAAACTGAGAACCAGGGGCTGGAGCAGCTTGCCTGAGGTCCCACACACAGAGTCAGTGACCCAGCAAAGACTTGAACTCACATCCTCTGACTAGATAATAACAAAGGAAGAGAATGTTTACAAAGTGCTTCCAGGATTCCCAAGTGCTCTCCATGGATAACTTTTCTCTCTGGGCAGGAGGTGCTCTTCTCCCCATTCCACAGATGAGAAAGTGGCTGAAGGGAAGTTGTCGGTGTCTGAGGCCCTGGCTCTCAGGCTTCCTCCTTCACATCATGAGAAGGGCTCCTCCAGGAGGTCATTCCTGAGCCAGACACATCCACTCTGAGGAGGCATCATGGTGACAAGCTCATGCTTCAGCCTGGGGGTGAGGATTGCAAACGGCTCGACATCCGCCATCTTGTGTTTTCAGCACAGCCACATTAGGAAGGAGGCGCCAACCCCATTTTACAGATGAGGAAACAGGCTTTTTCTGATCTCCTGGCCACCAGTAGAGGTATTTTGGGGTCCCAGACCCTTGGACCCTCTGTCCAGCCTAGCTGTGGGACTTCACTTCTCAGTCCTGTAGGACAGGCTCCAAGTTTCAGGGAAGGGCCTGATTCCACATGAGAGTTCTCAGTGGTGCCAGAGAGCATGGGTCCAGTTTTGAGGGCCAGTGAGGGCAATGGCTGTTCTGCTTTTGTCTCTGCATCCCCAGCACAGGGACCAGTGTATATTTGGCACTCACTGGATTATTGGCTTGCCCAGGCTCACACAGGTAGTAAGAGCTGAAAGTAGGATTTGAACTTGGATCTTCCTGCTTTCTCCCTGGACCACAATGACTCCTCAGACAGGGTGGACGGCCATCGGCAGGAGCCCTCATTGGAAGGTGAGATTCAGTCTCAGGACTCATAGGGATGAGTCCATCCCTCGAGCCTCAAGCAAACAGGCACAGAGGGCACCGGCCACTTCGGTCAGCCAGGCCTGTCCATGCCACATGCACTCTGCCCTTGGAGACAATGAGCCATTGCTCTGACTATGGTTATACAGACTTCCCTCCCACCACCCCCAACTGCCACAGAAACAGTGTTTCTTCCTACTACCATTCTTTTCTTTCTGCCTCCTAACACAGCTCCAGGACAGACGAAATAATTACCTACACCCCAAATGTATTCTGAGAGGAAGCATCTAGCACCGCGCCCCTTACATCGAACTCTTCAATGAAGCGGGAGGGCGTCCAGCCTTACAGAGGTTGGTCCCAAACATGACTGGTCCTGAGAGCCGGCCTCCTTCCTGAAGCAGTGAGGTCTGGGACCCTCATGGGCACAGGCTACTTGGCAGTGTCCTTTGCTCCAGTCTCAGCTGGCTGAGGTGCCCCAAGCCCACTTGGATCGAGGTTCCCTCTTGGGGAGCAAGGTGTAATGGATTTCCACAGTGCTGGTCTCTGATCACCGATTTTAACATGGACAGAGTTTGTTTTCCCAGGGGGAAACAGACACAGAAGCACAACACATTTCCAAACATGGGCTGAGGGCTGGAAAGGGAGGTCTTTCATGCCCTTGGACCAAACTTACTTCTGAAAGAGGTTAACTCCCTGCTTCCCGGGGCCCTGCTTTTTAAAAAAGCCAGAGGGTTTGATGGAAGACTTGTAGGAGTTGATGCAGAGGAAACAGGACCAGGGAAACAACCTGCTGTAAGAACGCTGAATCTGGTGCAGCTGGGTGGCGCAGTGGATAGAGCACCGGCCCTGGAGTCAGGAGGACCTGAGTTCAAATACAGCCTCAGACACATAACCCTCACTAGCTATGTGACTCTGGGTAAATCACTTAACCCTAATTGCCTCACAAAAAAAAGAAAAGAAAGAGAGAGAAAAGAGCGCTGAACCCTAGACAAAGACCACGGCCTGCCTGGGCACAGAACTCTGAGGGACAGCAGAGATGGGGGCCCCTGGGCAAGGGCAACTGCATATGCACCTGCTATCTTGCTTTGCTCAGGGGTTCAATGGCCATCTCCATGCTGAGGATTCTCAAATCCACTTTTCCTGCCCTGATTTCTCTGCGGCCCTCCAGGCTTACACCTCCAACTGGATGGCCAGTAGACCTCTCCCGCTCAACAAACCCAAACTGGATCTCACTAACTTTTCCCCAAACCCTCTCTGTCTCCCACCTTTCCTATTACTATAGAGGGCTAGGAGTCATCCTGGGCTCCGCACTCCCCCCCCCCATCCAATATGGTGCCAAGGCCTGTTGATTTCACCTCTGCAGCAGCTCTGGTCCATTTCACCTCTGCAGCATCCCTGGTCCATTTCACCTCTGCAGCGTCCCTGGTCCATTTTACCTCTGCAGCGTCCCTGGTCCATTTCACCTCTGCAGCGGCTCTCCAATAGCTCCCTTCTGTCCTTTGACACTGCCCCCACCTTGGTGGGTGGGGAGGGGTGCAAGGCTGCCTGCCCCAAGTCTTCCCCTGACTCCAGTCCATCCTCCATTCAGCCACTAGAGTGATTTTCCCAAACAGCAAGTCTGATCACGTCATATACCACCTCCACCTCCCCTTACCCAATAAACTCCAGTGGCTCCCTATTTCCTTCAGGATCATATATAAAATCCTCTATTTGGCATTCAAAGCCCTTCATAACCTGCCCCTTCTTACCTTCTCGGTCTTCTTCCACCTGACTCCCCACACATACTCTTCCATCCAGTGACCTCAGCCTCCTGGCTGTACCATGAATACAACCCTCCCACTTTTAGCTAGAGGCATTTTCTCCAGGCATCCCCCTGCCTGAAAGGCTCTCCTTTCTCCACTCTGACTACTGACCTCCCTGGCTTCCTTCAAGCCTCAACTAAAATTCTACTTTCAACAGGAAGCCTTCACCAACTCCTCTTAATTTCAGTACCTTCCCTCTGTTAATTATTTTTTATTTATCCTGTATGTAGCTTGTTCAGACACATTTGTTCTCATGTTGTCTCCCCCATTAGATTGTAAGCTCTTTGAGGACAGACACTGTCTTTTGCCTCTTTTTGCATCCCTAACGATTAGCACAACGCCTGCTACATAGTGGGTGCTTCATAAATGTTGATCAACTAACTGATGTCACCTGAATTCCAATTTCTCCTTTGGTAAAATAAGGGAGTTGGATTCAGTGGTACCTAAGGTCCAGAAGTCTGAGGTCACTCGAGATCACTCATTCATTCCTGGTCAGCCCCAGCTCTGTGTCATCCCTCTGCCCCCCATCTCATGCCCAGGCCAGGAGGAAAGGTACCTGGCCACACTAGGCATGCCCCAGCTGTTTGGTCAAAGAGCTGGTTTCTTGGCTACTTTAAAAGAACTGACCAAATAGCCCTGGGTCTCAGAGCTCCATGAGTTTCCCTGGAAAACCCAGTGTTTGGGCTGGTCAGATCCTCAGTTCTTCCTTTGGGAGAGCACTGAGCTTGTCATCAGGGTGAGGATGACCAGGAAGTTCCCACCCCATCCCCAATCCAGGCCATCTGTATTATTAGCCCTGGGCACAAGGAAAGGGGAGGGATAGGGAGGAATGCCTTATCTTTTCCTTTCTTTTGAAGCGACTTCTTGTGTGAAGACAGATACATCCACCTGACTTACTGAGAGCATGGGAGTGATGGGGCCTCGGCCACCCTCCTGTGCCTCTTCCTAGGTCTCTCTGGGCCTGGCTTCCCAGTACCCACCCACCCTCCTGGGCAGCCTCCTTCTGGGATTCAGGGCAGTCTTTCTGAACCATTGCAGGGTCAGCTGTGAGGAGGGACCCCACTGTTCTCTGAAGTTGGTTGTCTTGGAGAACTCAGGTTGCAAACAGCCTCCTAGTCAAAAGTTTAAAGGTAAACACGTTTTATTGATGCCTTTTGCTTTTACATCACATTAAACTCTGAACACATCCTTCCCACCTCAGTCCAAAAGTCAGCAACGATGAAGTGGCTCCTGCGTGCCAGGCACTGTGCTGAGCACTGGGGATGCAAAAAAGCAACAGCTAGCCCCTGCCCTCGAGGAGCTCACAATCTACCGAGAGGAAAACATGCAGACAAACATTTATGAGCAAGCACGAGACAGGAGAAAGTTCGCAGAGGGAAGCCTTCCTGCAGAAAGCGGGATTGTAGTTGGAACTTACAGGAAGCTGGTAGGCAGGACAAGAAGGGAGAGCGCTCCAGGCCTGGGGATGGCCAGACAGAATGCCCAGAGGGGGAGGAGGGTCCAGCTAGTGAAACAGCCAGGAGGCCAGGGCTGCTGAGAAGTGATGGGACGGTGAAGTCTGCAGAGGGAGGGGGGCAGATGATGAAGGACTCTGAATGCCAAGCAGAGCTTCTGGCGGGTGCTCTGGGGGGGGACAGCGAGTCATCGCAGTGTATCGAGTCGGGGGGGATGACACAGTGGAACCTGATCACTCTGCTGAGGTCACACAGCTAGTAAGAGCCCAGGCTCTGCTCACCTGGCATCTCTGGGGACACCACCAGCTCACAGAACTGTCTATCAGGGCCCTCGGGGTCTTCAGGCTGTTTTCACCTGCTCTCCCTTCCTGCACTGAACCTGGAGGGCAGACTGGCATTCCATCTCCGGCCTCTAAGCCTTTGCCCAGGCTGTACCCAGTGCCTGGCAGGCCTTCCTCATGTCCGGGGTGGTGGCGCCCTCTGCTGCCCCTAGTTACCTTGGCTTAATTATCTCTCTCTTTGGATTGGAGGCTTCTTAGAGGCAGGTTCTATCTTCTGGGCGGGCTTTTCAGTGGCCTGGGGGAGGGAGCAGAGCGGGGATGAGGCGGGGCCTCTTGAGTGACAGGTGAGACTTGGCTTGGGAGAGGAGGGTGAGGGGCGGGGCTATCCGAGAGAAACGACGGAGGGCAGGGCGCGCAGCCATTGCGCAGGCGCAGTGGCGAGGGCGGCTTGCACCTCCCAGTCAGTAACGCCTGTTAGTCCGGTCAGTTGGTTCGTCAGGGAGGGCGCGTGTCCCAGAGGGGCCGGTAGTGGAGCCGAGGGCAGGGAGAGCTCAGCCGCCACCATGAAGAAGAACGTGCCAGGCGGCTTGGCCCGCCTGACCGCAGGTACGGCGCACGTGCGCCCCGCCCCGCCTTTCTCTCCTCGCCTCCAGGGGCCCGAGGCCTAGACGTCCCACCCCTAAGCCGGCTCCAGCCATAGGCTTCCCTCTGCGCGTGCGTCCTGGGCAACCGCTTGCTTCTGATTTCTGCGCGTGCGCCCTGGGTAATCTCTGGTCCTGGCCTCTGCGCGTGCGCCCCGGGCGGCCTCTGGGCCTGGCCTCCGCGTCTGCGCCCCGGGCCGCCTCTGGGCCTGGCCTCTGGGAGCCCGGGGCGATTCGCCGCCAGGCCCGTGGCTCCCTTCGTCAGCCTCGCTCTACGACCCTCCCCCCAGATCCTGAGGACGTCTCCTTGCCGGCCTGGCCTCTCAGTGCGCCCGGGATGATGGAGAGTGTTGGTTCCTTTGGCGTTCTCTTTTCTGTGACCGTGCAGACCATCTTTCCTCCAGACCTTCGGCTGCTATTGGACGCCCGCCGCTGGATGTCCCATAGACGCCTTACAGTCCAGTACCCCACACCATTCATCCGAGTCCTCCAGGCTGCAGCCTAGGAGTCATCGTGGACTCCTCCCTATCTCCCAGCCCCCAGGCCTGGTGATCTTCCCCCTCCTCACACCTGAAGTGCTGCAATAGCTGTGGGGGTGGGGGTCTCTCTTCGTTCCAGTCCAGTCACCAAAGTGGTTTTCCTAAAGCACAGGTTATACCAACCATGTCACACACACACAGGCCCCCTCTCCCCTGCAAGTGAACTCCAGTGTGTCTCTACCACCTCCAGGATTAAATATAAAATCGTCTGTTTAGAGTTAAAAGCCCTTCATAATCTAGGCACCCCCCCCTCATCTTTCTAGTCTTCTTATATTAGTTTCCTCCCATGTAACTTGTAGTCCGGTGACGCTGGCCTTCTGGCTGCTCCTTGCGCAAGAGGCTCCATTCCTGACTCCAGCATTTTCTCTGCTGTAATTCCCCCGCCCCCAGTGCTCCCCTTACTCATTTTTGCCTCCTACCTTTACAGGCTGCCTTCAGCTCAGAGCTAAACTCGCACCTAGGAGAAGCCTTTCCCAGTCCCCCTGTTGATATGTTTCCAACTTATCCGGTCTATAGCTTGTTCAGATACAATTGTTTGCACGCTGTCTTCCTCCGTTGGCCTGGAAGAGCTTTGGAAAGCAGGGACGGTTTTTGGTTTCCTTTCTATCACCAGCATTTAGCTCAATGCCTGGCACATAGTAGGTACTTAATCGAGCACTGAGAAGGTGAAACTTGGTAGGGTTGGAGGAGTCAGGAGATGGGCAATACTTCTTCTAGAACAAAAACAAAATTAATATAAAAGGAAGATGGGGCAATGAAGGGGTTTTCCAGAGATAGAATGATGCGATTTGGGAATCAAGCTTAATAAGCATGAAACAACATAAACAACTAGAGCTAGATACACGGACGGTGTACGTCCATGAGGAGATGGGACTTGTTGATTGTTGGTGTTCTGTTCTCTGCAGGCTGTTTGCCCGTACCTCTGTTCAATCAGAAAAAAAGGGCCCGGCAGCCCTTCACATCCAGCCCAGGTGCCGCCTCCCAGACGCAGGATTTTCCTCCTCTGCCAACAGGTAAGGAAATCAGATGAGTCTGGAAGGACCAGGAGCAGCTCTGGTATAAACCGATTGCAAGCTTGTTGTAATTTATCTTCATTTTTTTTCTTTTCTTTTCTTTCCCTCCTTTTTTGTTCTGTCCAGTCCTCAGACACTGAGATTACTCCCCTCTTTCTTGACATTCCAGACCAGGAGTTTGAGTGGCCTTGTTTCCAGGGGCAGCCTCTAATCGTGTTTGTTCTAATTAGATAGTAACTTCACTCTGTGAAGATCACTTTCTTATTCTGGCTGGAATCTCTACTCTGCATGTTTGAAAGCTATTGGTTTTTAAGTGGTCTCAGTGGAATGAGCAATACAAATACATGTCTCTTTTTTATGCCTGTGTTAGGCACTGCTCAGTCCAGGACTTATTGTCATGCCTCCCATCTGCAGGCCTTCAAAATAGTTTTCTTTTGTTTTCATTTGCATATTCACAAAGAGGCACAGCGTATTAGTCACCATTCCTAGTATTTTGAAGTTTGAGTTCTCAGAATTTTACAGCATGAATATTGTTTCTTGAATTCAGGAAGCATTTGGCCATTTTAGATGACCAGCAGTGAAACTGCCTGCTCCTTGAGGTTGTGAGTTCTCTGTTATAAGAAGCATTCTAGAAGGGCTTACATGACAATTAGTGAGGGCAGTGGGGATTTCTCTGCTGGGGAAGGCTAGACTTGATGACTGGATACTTAGGGTCCTTCTTTAGGAATGGAAATTCAAGTTTGTACACATTTTTAGGTTGAATGTAATGGATGAATATTTCATCATTTTCAGAGCTGTACATGACTTTGGAGAGACTCTAATCTAACCTCTTACAAATGAGGAAAATGAGGCCCAGAAAAGGTAGCTGACACACCTGAGGTGACCTGCAGTCATCAATAGAGACAAGATTCAAATACAGATCCCGCTTTTACAGGGCTAGAGTGTTGGAGACTTTGAATCAGAAGAAGATAGCAACATTAAACCCAGTATGATGTAAAAATTGATGGGGAATCCTGATATCAATTATTTCCTAATAAGCTGTACGTCATTGACTGTTACTGCCATCTTGATGATGAACCAAGGTGGTCCCATGAGGGTAGAAAAAGATTGGGTTAGGGTTAAGGATAGAGTTAGGCTGGGGAGGTGTCACTGATAAGACTGGGCTGTTGACTTGACTTGGAGGGAGGAGTGGGGTGAGAAAAGAAAACACCCGTTTTCTCAAACGCTTCAAGAGAGCCTTGGGAGGATGAGGACTGAGAATAGACTTAGTGCAGAGATTGTTGAGGACAGGTTTGGCCGAGTGGCAGCACTGGAAGCCAGACCATACAGTGTTAAGGAGTGGATGAAAGAGACATGACAAGCAGGCAGATTGCAGAAGAACCTAGGAAGGTTTACATGAACTGATACAAAGTGAGCAGAACCAGAAGAATGTTGTATACAGTAACAACATCCTATGGTGATCAATTGTAAATGACTGAGCTCTTCTCAGCAATACAACAATTCAAGATAATTACGAAAGACTCATCATGGAAAACTCTATCCACATCCAGAGAAAGAACGGATAGAATCTGAATGTAGATCAGAGCAGATGATTTTCACTTTAGTGTTTTCACGGTTCTTTTCTTTTGGCCAGTTTCTTCTTTCATAACATGACTGATACAGAAGTATGTTTTACATGATTGCACATACATGACCTATGCCCCTCAGATCCAGCAATATTGCTGTTAGGTATGTATCCCAAAGAGATCAAGAAAAAGGGTTAGAAATGGACCTGTTCATACAAAAGCATTTGTTTTGTTTTTGGTTTTGTGGTGGTAAAGAATTGGAAATTGAGGGGATGCTCATCTGCCAGCTTTGAGAGAAATAAACATGCACATGCAGCCTAATTATGTTTGTCTTTCTTAGAGTGAACTCAGTAATAGTTGATATCATCAAATGGGGAATGGCTGAACAAGTATATGATTGTAATGGAATATTATTGTACTATAAGAAATGACAAGCTCTGAGAAAAACCTGGAAAGACTTACATGAACTGATGCAAAGTGTCGTGACCAGAACCAGGAGAACATTGTACACAATAGCAGCCACATTGTGCAAGGATCAAGGATATTGATTTTCAGCAATGTGGTGATGTAATGTGGTCCCAAAGGACTCAGGATGAAGCAGGCTATCTGTCTCCAGAGAAAGAACTGATACTGTCTGAATATAGACTGTAACATACTATTTTTCAGTTTCTTTCTTTTTTTTGTTCGAGTCTTTTTGCACAATATGACTAATATGGAAATGTTTTACACGATTGCACATGTATAACCTATATCAAATTGCTTGCTCTCTGAGGGAGGGGAGAGGGGAGGGAGGGATAGAATTTGGAACTCAAAACTTGAAAAAAATACAACAAATGTTAAAATTGTTTTTACATGTAATTGGAGGAAAAACAAAATGTTTTTAAAAATACTTGTTGACAGACAAAAAAAAGATGGTGGGGGATGATGGAAGCAAGAGATTTAAGGATTCAGGACTGTGTGTGAAGTGGGTTAATCATGGCCAGTAGCAGTCAAGCTGGAGAATGGACTTAGGTCAGGCCAGAGCAGGGAGGATGGACCAGGAAAACAGAGAAGAGGAGCAAGCCTAGGAACTGCACTGACCACGAAACAAGTTTGGGAGGGTGAGACCCAGGGAAAGATGGAAAGAGAGGAAATTGGGGTCAGAGGAATTTCAGAGTTCTGGATCGTGGAGAAGGAGTGCTTGGAGGTGGCCCAGAGATCAGGGTGTAACCAGCCCTGCATGGACGACGGTGATGCTGGCCACCTGTCCGCGCTTTCTGGACCTTGGCAATTGTTGTCAGGGTCCTCTTGAACATTCTCTCCTGAGGGCCGGCCCACCCAGGGTTCGAGTGAGGGGCTTCCATTAGACATCATGTTGGTGCCAGGAGAGCCTAGGGCCATCCTTCTGTAATTGACGGTTTGCGACATGCCCAGCCTGCTGCAGTTTCCAGTTGTGCTGCTATTTGCTGGTGCTTATGGAGTTTGCTGTAGTGGTGTGTTGCTGCCACCACCTCCCAATACATACCACACAGCTCTCTGGTGCGCTTCTGTGACCCACCATTGTTTCTCTGGGGATTGGAGTCGTGTGGAAATCACACCAAAGAGTGTCACTGGAAGAATATGGCCATTACAAAGATGGCTCAGTGTTTCACAGAGAATCTTGGAGCCACCAAGAAGGTGCACGGTTCCCAAACGCAGGCCAGCCTTCATTCTTGCTCCCAGCTCCTGGTCTGGCCATTCTTCCTGGGTAAGAGATAGGCAGCTACGGCCAGCTCAGCAGGCTGCTTGTCCATCTGTAGGCCGTAGTCTGCACATTTTCATTTGTTGGGGATTGTTAGGTATCAGCAGTCTTACTGCTGAAGTTCTTTGGCATTCGAGCTTGACAGAGCACCTGGAGGGCTGCCCATCTCTAGGCAGTCTCTCTCCTAGTTGGACTCCATGCTGGATGTCGGTCATGACAGGGGAAAACTCCTCGGGCTAGTGCAGCTCCTGTTTTAAGCCTTACTTGCTTGGCTTTACTCATCAGAGGATTGTTAGAAAGAGGGCTCATCCTTCTGTTCTGTCCTTCCTTGTCCTAGGAAAGAGAAGGGAAGGAGGAATTGAGGAGTTTTGTGAACCCCACTGACTCCATCTTGGGACTCAGTTCTGGAGCTAGCTCTGGTCTCTTTCTATTCAATTATGGGTCTAGTCCAGTGTCTGTCTTGTGAGAAAACTTTATTCAATTATAGGAATTGAGAGAAAATTTTATTGCATTGTTTGAACCTAGCCCTACGTGGCTGGGAAGCTGGACTCCCTCTGCCTGCTGCTTAGAGACCCTTAACCTAGGACCTGGGTTATGCTGAACAGAAACCAGGTCAGATCTGAAAATTGATGCCAGGAATTTTCTCAGTTACACATTTCAAGCAGCCTATATGCTTTGCCTGAAAACTGGCCCCATACTGATCACCAATCATTGTTTCCTTGTTCCTTTGATTGAATACAGACATTTGTGGGGAGTGGGGCACCTTTTTTTCTGATTTCAGGGAATTGTACCTGTTTGCTGTCCCCCTCCCAACTCAGAAATCTTTCCTCCAGTTAGAAATCAGATTACCTAATTTTGTAACTTGCTTTTTAATTGTTTTGATTAATTTGTTTTTAATACATAAAAATCTGTCTCAGGGTCTTTGGACAGCCCGGGGAGGCCATTGACCTGTTTATTAGGCCTGTTTCACTAATAAATAGCGTGACTTGGATGATTTCCTCAGTTATTATTAACCGTCGTCTTCCTTCACACACACCCTGCCTCGTGCAGGGCTTGTTGCCTGAGGGATCATGAGCAGGCCCCTACAACAGCCACCCCTCAGTTTCCTGGTCTGTAAAATGAAGGGGTGGACTCCAGGGATGCCTGCCAGTCCGATAGCCCCTTGTTGCACCAAGGAGTGAAGGTCATGCTTTCCTTTCCAGTAGAAGCAAGGGGAGTGGAAGCAAAATGGTTTCCTCCTGGGCTTCCCAAGGCAGGGGTTTGGATGTTACTGGGAAAGGACAATAAGACGCAGTATTAGTTTGTGGGTTGGGTGGGGCAGGGAGAAGTAAATCTGCCTTGGGAGCATCTCACCTCTTTTGAACGTTTGTTGATCTACCTCCTCGGTCTGTAGATTTCACCTGGGAGATGATGAAGCCTGGGGCGCCGCTGCTGAAGAAGATGATGAATGCTGGGTAATTGGCTTTTGGCATTTGCTGATGAATTTCATGTACATTTATCTTACATTTCTGAATTTGTAGTGAGATCATTACTGCTTAATGTCAACATTTAGAAATGTTTCTTTGAAAGGCAACAGTCACCTACTGTCTCTCATCTAAAGCAAGAGAGTGGGTTTAACCGAGACCAACTGGACGTGGCAAGAAGTCATAATTGGAGTAGTTGGAGGTGAGCACAATTCTAAGTCTCCTTGGCTGTGGGACTGTGTGTTAATCCCTTAACCCAGCTGAATTTCAGTCCCTCATCTGAAAAATGAGGACAATCATAGGCTTGTTTTGAGGGAAGTGCTTTGTAACGTAAAGTACATTATTAATAGGAATTGTTCAGCCAGCATTTATTAAGTTCCTGCTGTGTGCTGGGCACTGTGCAAAGTGCCGGAGATACCAAGTCAAAAATGTCCCTGCCCTCCAGGAGAAAGAGCCCTGGCCCCTGGGGAAACCAGGGAAGTAGGAGGTAGAGGTGAGGAAGGCGAGCCAGCCGGGGGATATGTTCAGAGATGTTCAGGGAACAGCCAGTGGTGAGATTGATGACAATAAGTACCAGTGAAGGGAAGTCATGAAATGACAAGCAGGCATCTGAGAGAGAGGGCTTTCAGGGCTGGCCCAAGGAGTTTGTGCGTCCTCCTAGAGGCCATCAGGACCCACTGAAGAGTTTTGAGTAAGGGAATAATGTGATCAGAGCTGGAAATTAGGTAACCCATTAGAGGAATGGGAGTCTGTTACAATCATCCAGGTGAAAGGGGAGGAGAGCCTGGCCTGGGAGAGTAGCCAGGTGAGCAGAGAGGAGGAGGTGGATGTTGAGGGTGCAGACTTGGCCTCATGGGGGGTGGGCTGAGTGGGCATGAGGTAGGTCTCTGAGGCTGTGAACCTAGGGACCAGAAGGACGCTGGTGCTCTGCCTAAGTCAAGAAGTTGGGAAGCAGAGTAAGCACCAGGGTAAAGTACATTGGGAGAGAGAGGACAGTACTGTTTGAGAGTGAGGAGGCTCTGGAATGTCCAGCGGGCAGCCGGTAAGGTCAGATTGGAACTTGGGAAGGTTAGATCTGGGAGTCTCTCTACCTGTGTAGAACCCAATAATGCTAGAACTCAAGGAGTGGGGGGACTCGAGAAATGAGGAGAGGTCCACGACAGACTAGCGGATAGTGGTGCAGGCAAGCCTGGAGGGAGCGGGCTCTTGGAAGCCGGGGTGGCCCGTGGTATCGTGCAGGTGGCTAGCAGGGTCCAGAGGAGCACAGCTGAGGAGAGGCCCCCTCTCTGCTTCTTTTGCCTTCCCTGGTGTCGAAGATGTTTTCTAGGAGTTTGGAGAAGAGACACAGAGCAACAGCTTGAGGGGGTGGAGATTCCCTGAAGGTCTTGAAAGGATCAGTTAGTCAACAAGTATTTATTAAGCCCCTGTGGTGTGCGAGGCGGGCCTGAGGTCTGTGCCAGGCGGGCCCCGAGGTCTGTGCCAGGGGTGTGGGTACAAAGGATGAAGCAATCTCCTTATTGAGGGAGACAGTAAGTGCACGGAGCAATATGGGCAGCACTGATAGAAAGTTAACATGAATTTGTATAAAGGAGATAGAGTGTAGGAGGGAAGGCCCTGGGCGTGGCAGTAGAGGTGCTGAGCTGTATCTTAATGGAAGAGAGGGTCTTCTTATGAGGCAGTCAGAAGGAGGGAGCACCATTCATGGTACAAAGGCATGGAGATGGGAAATGGAGGATGGCGAACAAGGAGAAAAGAGAAGGCTGGTGTAGCTGGCCGCAGAGTGCTAGAGGAGGAGCGGTGGTGTCCAGTGAGGCTGGAAAGGTAGCTGGGGCCTGGCTGCATATGACTTTAAAAGCAAAAACCCCCGAAACAAAACCGTGAGGCTGAATTTGGTCTCGGAGAAGATAGGAAACCAGTGGGGTTGGTTGGCAAGGGATGATGGAGGCCCCAGCACATTTGTAGGCAGCAGACAGGGGCACCTACAAGATGCGGGCCTGCTTTGGAGCCCATTCTCCCCATGACTGAGGATGCTGAAGAAGCGGGCAGGCAGTGCTGTAGTCAGGACCTTGGTGGCTGTCTGGGGCAGAGGAGTCCCTTCAGCAGTGGCAGGCTGGCGATGAGTGCAGGTGCCGTCCCTGTCCCACCATTGACAGACAAATAGGGCAGAAGCGAAGGAGAGTCTCTGTCTTACCCGAGGCTTCTTCTCTGTACTCCAGGATCCAGGTAAATAGGGAGCTTCCTGCTTGTGAGTATTTTCTGACGTCATTGCCTGCCTAGCAGAGAGGGTTGAAGAAGCCAGTAAGCTTAAGGGGCGTCCCCTGGGCAGGAGCTGGGAGACAGGTGGAATATCTGAGGCCGAGGTCAATGCCCCCTGCAAGACAGTTAGGTTAGTAATCAAGCTGATTAAACAGATGAAGCATTTTTTAGTTGTTTGCAACAATTTTGTTATTTTTTATGGTATTTCAGATTTTGTCTGCTTTTAGGATTTTGCCCATTTTTTTGTAAATATACCAAAAGTTGGGCAGCTAAGTGGTGTAGTAGGTAGAGCACCAGCCCTGGAGTCAGGAGGACCCGAGTTCAAATCTGGCCTTGGACACATAACACTCACTAGCTTTGTGACCCTGGGCAAGTCACTTAACCCCATTACCTAGCCAAAAAAGAAAAAAAGAAATTATACCAAAAGTGAGGAAAAAAATGCATCATCAGGTTAAGTGATTGGTCAGTCTGCAAAATAACAGCATTATGTCTTTGCAGTGACATGGCCTACTCCTCTGTCCTTCCTCTCTACTCTCCACTTCCCTCTGGCATAACTCTCACTTGAACCTGAAGTAACTCGTCTGTATTTTAATGTGGTCTCCTCACCTCCGAAAGGTTGGCCGCCCAGGGATGCAGTCATTCACCCAAGGCCCTGTGGTCACTGCCCACGAGCCCTCGCCCACTCTGGTCACTCCCTTCTCCATGGGTGCACTTGGGAGACTCAGAAGTCCCGTGTTGATAGGCCTCGTGCACGTCTGCAATAAGGAAATAAGGCTTGTTTTCTTGTGCCTGGGTTAGCCGAGTCATGAGTCATCATCGGTTTACCCCAGTGGGGAAAATCCTGTAATATTAGATTTGCTGGAGTGCCCAGTGTTTGCTTGTATTTCAGCCCACATAAGGAGCCAGCCGGGCTCCTCATGGGGTCACGATCTGGAGCAGGAAGTGCGGCCTTTTGTTCTATGTGATGCAGGTCTTGATGGGGAGGCCGAGGAAGCCGCTGCCTCCTCATCCCAGTGCTTCTTACATGGGCATCATCCTTCAGCTCCTCCAGGACATGAAGGGACGCACCCAGAGGCTTTGGGGGGGGGGGTGAGCAGAGATCTTTTACTGAAGTTTTTGAAAATCAGAGAAGACCTTTTTAGAAACCAGTTTCAAAATTGTCTCATGATATTCCAGCCATAGAGAAGAGAGTACAAAGCCTTGGGACAGACATGAGTTTGCACCTCAGAGGAAAAGCTCGTGTTCAGTGGCCAGCAGTGGCCCCAGTGCTGGTCTGGCAACTTTGGAAATGAATCGGAGACAGTGGGACCGTCCTCAGGCAGCAGGTGCCCAAGGGCTGGGGAGCAGCAGCAGCTCATTGCATGTGGCGAAATGCAGTTCTCAACCAGGTCAGCTTAAGAGAAGAACCTTTGGGAACAGTCCAGAGGAAAAAAGCATTAAGGTAAATTCTAGGTTTTGCCTTCTGTGCAGCCCCACTCCTGAGCCAGAGCCTGGCTCCCTGACTGACTGTCTAAAAACTGAGTCGGCTCCATGTTAACAATGGCAGTGACCTCTTTGTCGTGTTTTCTGTTTTGCAAAGTGCTCTGAGAGACGTTTCATTTGATAGAAACAGATAGCAAACATAGAGATGAAAACGGTGGCTGCCCTTGGTACCAGTTCCTGGGGACTCCTCTTTTTGCTGCACTCAGATGCCTGAGCCTGTGGGCTCACACGCACATCAGGGCCCCCGGTATTCCCAGCTCACTGGCGAGAACGTGGGCACTTTAGAGCAAGACTGTCCGTGGCTTGTGATGGGTCGCTCCCCATAATTGCCAAGATTGCTGGTCATTCATTCTCCACTTTGTGGGGTCCACTTCTTCAGCTTCTCCTCAACCTGCTGACTAGGAGACCTACCAAGCCAGAGCCTTTGTCAGCCCAGAGTCTGGCAGGGAAGGCAGCTGCTGGGCCTGAGCCGGTGTGTGGCAGGGACTGGAGGAATCTCTGGGCGTGGGGGGAGCTTCTGCTCCCACAAATGAGGGCAATACCCTTTTTTCCCTTCTGCTAGGAAGTGCCAGGGTGCCAGCTCATGCTGAAGGAAGATGACCCTTCTCTTAGAATTCTGCCAGCGGTCATTGAAAGTATGAAGCTCTGGAAGGAGCGCCTGCCCCACTGGCCACTGCTCTTTGAAGTGTTAGGTGGGTGTCTGGAGGAAATGGAGGGGGGAGGGGGTAGGGAAGAGGCAATCTGGGTCAGAGGGAAGGGAGGGAAAAGGAAAGAAGGGAGGAGCAAGAGGGAAGACAGGGAAGAAGGAAGGACTAAATAGAGGGGGGAAGAGGGAAGGAAGAGATGGAGGGGTAGAAGGGGGGAAGACAGGGAGGAAAGAAGGAAGAGATGGTGGGGTAGAAGGAGGAAGAGGAAAGGAAGAAAGCGTAGGAGGGAAGAAGGAATGGGGCAGGAATGGAGGGAAGGAGGAACAGGAAAGAATAAAAGGAGGAAGGAAGGAAGGGACAGAGGGATAGAGGGAAGAAGAGGGAAGGAAGAGAGGGAGGGAGGAAGGGATGGAGGGATAGAGGGGTGAAGAAGGGAGGAAGAGAGAGGGAAAAAGGAAGGCGGGAATAGAGGAAGGCAGGGAGGGAGAAGGGAGGACTGATGTGTGCCAGATAACTGGGCTGGGCTCTGAGGACACAAACCCCAAAACAGCCCGACGATGCCTGTTGTGAAGGAGCTGGTGTTCTCTCAGGGGAATGTTGAATGTTAAATCTGCTGGTGTGAACTGGAGTCCTAATCTAAAAGAGAACTCTGTAACTGATTTAATGACCTCCTTAGTCTTGTGGGACAGAGGATCCCTCAGGGCAGAAGGACTCGCTGAGCCCTAAATCTGTGAAATGGGGTCATTGGTTCCAGCCCAGTAGAAGTATGCAGCCTGAGTTCAAACGATGCTGTCACTTGGGAAGATGGCTCATTAGTCACACTGATGGGGACCTAGCTGTCCTTGGAAGATCCAAGAATCTGTCTGTGACTTAGGGGGCAGCTTCTGGGTGCTTCTGGGGCCTCAGTGTTCCTCCTTGGGAGCTGGGCTGGGGCTCTCCAGACCCAGGCAGGCAGACACAGGCCGCCCACCCCCGGCTCCCATCACTGGCTGTGCCAGACCTTGTGGTGTGTTCCTGGGAGTCAGCTCCATGCCCTCACGTGGCCTCGTTAGAGGCCTCATTGGAGGGCTCGAGGTGGGGAATCAGCCCAGGAAGAGTCTAATCACCACAACTCTTCCATGGCACACTTTCCTAGGCAATAGAGGAATTTGGCAAGGTCCGGTAACCCTTGGAAAAATGGGAAGGTTGAGAGTGTCAGTTGGAGCCATGGACAGATTAACTGCTGGCCATTCCAGGAAGCCCAGTGTGAATGTCTGTGGGCACCATGGCCCTGCTGGCCTGTGTGCTCCCGAGCCCCATCTTTCCCTGGGAGTTGGCTCCTTTCCAGAGCTGTGCTCAGGGAGCGGTCAGCCCCCAGTCCAGTGGCAGTCAGTTCTGCATCCTGGTACTTGGGGTAAAGCTGAATGCTTTATTGAACTGAACCTTCTACACTGGACCCAGCCAGGGACTGCAGCTGGAGCTCATTCACTCAGGATTAGGGGCCGAGTGCTGCCTCCCCAAGGCTTTTGTAGCCAAGAAATGCTCCAGGAAACCCATCCCCTGGGTCAGGGGTTCACCGGGAAAGGCCGAGGGAGCACCACTAGGCTGGCCTGTGCTCCGGCCCTCGGCCTCTTGCAGATTGCTGGCAGAGCGTTTGCTGGCCTGGGCCCCAGGACTGGTTCCTGGGCATCTTCTCAGCTGACATACTGAGGTAAAGAAATGGGCCAAGCATCTAGAAGCCTTTAAAAGGCCATTAGCAGGCTTCTCTGAGGTGGCTGTCCAGAGGAGCAGGTGGGAAGCCCCCACACCCCAGTGTGGACAAAGCCTAAGGTGCCTGTGGTTTGGTAGATCCTCCCCGGGGGGTTAACTTGTGTCGGCAGGCAGTCACACGGGTTCTTTCCTCCCGGGGCAGGCGTACTTGACTCAGCCGTTACGTCAGGTGCATATGGTGCCAAGACCTTTCTCCTGAGAGATGGAAAGAGCACTGTGCCATGTGTGTTTTATGAAATTGTGAGTATTTGTTCAACATTTTCTTAAGGGGCCAGCCAGTAAGTGAGGTGAAAGCCTTCCTCCAACAATCCAGATTTCTTTGCAAATGAGTCCCAAGATGAAAAAGAAATCAAATGTTTTTCTTGCAGATATTTATTAATGGAATCACATAATATCACAGTTGGAAGGAACCTGTTTTAAAAACACACACGTCCAGTCATTAGACAACATTGTTAAGGCAGCATTTTTGCTTAAGAGAAAGTGCTGCAGCTCAGGAGGACCCTGGGGCTGAGATGTGTCCTGCTGGAGGGGTGGCCTGGGAGGCTGGATTCCTCCTGGAGCTTGATCCTGACCAGGTGCCAGGCCAGGCCTCTCACTGAGCAGATGAAAAAGCCATGGTCCCCTCCAGTGTGCACATTCTGGTCTGTGCAATGTCCTGCAGACTTGCTCATTTTCTCTTCTTGAGGAATAACCTTTTTTTTTCCCCCCAAGGCAGTGGGGTTAAGTGACTTGCCCAGGGTCACACAGCTAATAAGTGTTAAATGTCTGAGGCTGGATTTGAACTCAGGTCCCCCGGCTCCAGAGCCAGTAGTCTATCCACTATGCCACCTAGCTGCCTTGAGGAATGACCTTTAAAAAAATAAGCCCCACTTTTGCGGACTCGAATCCCTGAGTTTCAGAGTTGGAGGGGACCTCCCTGAGAACATGTTCCTATCCAGACCTGCTTCTCACATCCCAACAAGTGGGAATGGCTCAGAGGCCTCCAGCACTGGTCTTGGGGGAGGGCGAGGGCATTCCACTTTGGAGTGACTCGAACTGTCCTTGGAGGGAGCATCTGTTAATTTTCCAGGGCCATGGCAGCATAGATTGAGGGCCAGAAGGGACCTCATTCTACAGAGGAGGAAACTGAGGCCCTGAAGGGTTAAAGTCCCATGAGCAGTGACTGTCAGGATGAGGATGGCAGCCCAGGTGGGCTTCCCCCAGGGCCCCCTGCTGCCTCCTCCTTCCTTCAGCTTCTGGGGCCCCTCCTGTTTTCTCTCTGCCTGGCCCATTGTGTTGTGATTATCTTCCTCTCTCCAGATTGTCCATCTCCTTCCTAGAAGGGGGCACCGTAAAGGGACCCCGCCTTCCAAATGTGGCCTGAGCAGAGCAAAGGTCAGAGGGCTGGGGGTCGTGGCAGCAGGGAAAATCACCCGCCACTTTCTCCCAGTCCCAAGTCTGACCAGAGATGTAGACAGGCTGCAGTTTTTAATTATTGAGGCTGGTGCTCCCCATCATATGCAAAGCTGATGTAGCGCATAAAGAACTGGGCTTGGAGTCAGGAAGATGAGCTGAAATCTGCCTTCTCTCACTCTGTGACCCTGCGTGAGTCCTGTAACCTCTCTGCACCTCAGTTTCCTCATCTGTAGAATGAGGGGGTTGGGTGGGACGGCCTCTGAGATTCCTTCCAGCTCCAAACCAGTGACCTTGTGAAATGACTGGCTTAGGATTTGTTGGGAAGACCAGACTCCGTTTGTAATACTGCTTTACCGCCAGGACCGCGAGCTTCCAAGGCTGATAAGAGGCCATGTGCATAGGTGTGTGGGCAGCTACGACCCAAAGAGGGGCCTTCTCCAGTGTGTGTCCGTCAGGCCTGCGTCTGCTGCCGAGCAGAGAACGTTCCAGGAGTTTGTCAGAACCGTGGATGCCAAGATATCCTATTATACCAGCGCCATGAGCGAGATGTGAAGAAGCAGGCCTCCTCTGAGGCAGGACACCTGCATTTTAGATTCCTGACGACCTTTAGTAAGCACTGCTGAGTTATTTAAACGTTGGATTTTTCACAGTTTCTGTTATTTGTTACATAGGTAGGGTTGGGCCAGGTTAGCCTGTTTACAGCTGTACCATAAATAAAGTGAGTTTGACTTCAGCATTTCTGTGATGTCCTTGGTGTGGTCATTGGAACAGTCAGTTATGCGTCCACACCTCAGCCCTTGTGATTCTTGTCCATCTCTTCTCATTCATCCTCTGTCAAGAGTTGGCCCAGTGCCTTGGAGGCCATTGTTCTGTCCCACGTGTCCTCTCGGAGCCAGTGGTGGTCTAAGAGAAGGCAGCCCTGCATGGAGAATGGGAAGGAGCCTTGGCCCTGGGATCAAGACCCCTCACTGGGAGAGGGAGGCGTCTAAGCCACCTGAACTGCTTTTACCGCCTTGCTCTCTGTCTTGATTTCTAGGATGGTGGTGAGAAGAGGCCCTCCGTAGTACAGGTCTCCATCCTGTGTGTGTATATATGTGTACATACATATGTGTGTATACATGTATACACACACCATATAAATGTATACACACATTTATAGATACTTCAGTTTATGGATGCCAAGTTAAGAACTTCAGAACCTTGGGAAGGGAATCCGATTTGAACTCTGATCAGGACATCCTTTGGCAAGTGTCTGTTTCTCTGTTTCATCCTTCACTTGGTGTTGGCCCACATACACATTTTAAATGTGGGCATATGTTTAAATACTTGGGCAGTGCCATGACATACCTGCTGTCACCAGAAGTCCCAGAATACCCCAAGGTGCCCAGGTCCTCTTCTAGAGGGAAAGGTTGGAGCATAAGGGTCTGCTCATCAGCCAGTGGCACAGATCTCCAATGTGAGGTCCTGTCTAAAACAGAGTGGAGGTGGGCTGGCATGGGGGACATTTAGTTAGGCCAGGGTGGAATCTCAGGTCTGTGTGAGGCTGGATGGCTGCGACATCCTGAGCCCTGCATCTGGCAGCCCGAGAAGGATCGTGCTTCTCTGGGGCTCTCTCTAGGAGCAGTCGTCATCCACCACAAGAACTTTTCCATCCCCTCCTGCTCCGGGCGTCTTCTCTGGCCCACCGTCCCCCCTGCCTTGGAAGGCTCTCTTCCTCATCTCCATCTCCCAGCTCCCCTGGCTTCCTTCAAGCTCTAGCTAAAACCCCACCCCCTCTAGAAAGCCTCTCCCAATCCTTCTTATTTCTAGCACCTTCTCCTTGTTGACTCTACATGACATCTATAGCTTGTTGGGACCTAGCTGTTTGTATGTTGTTTCCCCATTAGACTGAGCTCCCGGAGAGCAAGTTTTTGCCTCCTCTTGTATCCACAGCACAGCACACAGTAGGTGCTTAATAAATGGCAGTGGTGATGATGATGACCCACCATCATCATCATCATGAACCTCATCATCACCATCATCATCACCACCATCATCATCATCATCATCATCATCATCATAATCATCATCACCATCACCGTCATCACCATCATCACCATCACCATCATCACCATCATCATCATCACCATCATTATCACCATTATCATCATTACCATCATCACCACCATCATCATCATCACCATCATCCCCATCATCACCACCATCATCATCGTCATCACCATCATCATCACCATCATCATAATCATTATCACTGCCACCATCATCATCATCATAATCATCATCACCATCACATCATCACCATCACCGTCATCACCATCATCACCATCATCATCACCATCACCGTCATCACCATCATCATCATCATCTATTCCAGAAATTTTCTTGGGATCAGAATTTGCTTTGGAATCAAAGTCAAGATTGCTGACTGGTAGATTGTGGGCCATCTCCCATTTCTGAGAAAACCAGGAAATTCACATGCTGCTCATCCTCAGGCCTCCCTCTCCCCACTATCACTCAAAGGACAGAGCCATGGCTTCCCAGTCATGCCAGCCAGGTTCACATGGACCTGGCGTCAAGTCCCTCAAGTCAGCTACAGCCAGCATTGATGGAGCACTTCGAGGCTGGCAAAGAGCTTTACACACAGGATCTTATTTCATCCTCAAAACAACCCTGGTAGGTAGGTACTACTATGATCCCCATGAGAAAATTGAGGCAGACAATGGTGAAGTGATTTGCTGAGGGTGCCCCCACCAGGAATTATGTGAGGCTGGATTTGAACTCAGGTCTTTCTGACTCCAGGTGCAGAGCTCCATCCATTCTGCCAGCTTGCTGGGTAGCCTCTTATTACCTCTTCATTTGCTCTGGGCACCTGAGTCATTTTCATTTTGTCATTTCCAGTCCATATGTCATTTCTCCTTGGCAAAGAAAGCAAGAACAAAACAAAATTTGGTAATCATCCCACTATGCTCTATTGACTGTGGGTTCCTGCCTCAGTTTTCCCCAGTAGCCTCCACCCAGGAGAAACTTGAAGCCTCTTCTGATGATCTGCCAGCCACTCTAGGGGTTACCATGGCAACACGCCAGTGGGTGTCAGACCATTACCAAACCCAGGGGGTCTACTGAGAACCTTTACCCTACTCAGCCCTCTTAGAGTGGTCAGTTCTGCCACCGGACCTTTTCCCATCATCTGGTCAGTTCAGTGGTCTTCCAGCCTCAGCTTCTACCTCCCTTCAAATCCATTCTGGCTTCCACAGGGCGTTGCTGCATAAGGTTCATCTCACTGCTGAGATCGCTGGTGGGGGCTCGGACTCTTCCTGCCCTTGGTGCTCCTGGAAGAGGAGGAGCTCTTCATGGTCTGGACCCTCCTGGGCCCCTTGCCAGCCTGGGGAGGGGAGGAGGAGGCAGGTGTTTGTTTACCACAGGGAGTTAATTGGGACAAGACCCCAAAACCGGTCCAGATGTTCCATCACTGTGTTCTTCAAAAGCTGCACCTCTCCCACCTGGAGGTTCCTGGAAGGGGAGGGGCACTGAGCAGCCCATGAACATCCCCCTCCCCCCTTGCCCGGGGGCAGTCAGACGAACAGCTGGGACCCACACATTCTGCTCCAGCCTGGTTAGACCCACTTCCCTGAATGTGCCTGCTGTGCCTCCAGGGGAGTATGTCCCCAAATAGCTTGGCCCAGCTTGTCAGCACCATTTATGCCAAGGGCCCGCACCCCCCCCCGCCATACACACAGCAGTTAGACCTTCCTCACAGGTAGGGTGCCCATACTGTCCCTGATCCCCCATGTCCTAGGTTGTACTGACAGATTGGAGACATGGTTTCCATGACTACCTCTGAGTGGCTCTGGGCATCCCCTTGGTTTGCCCAGAGGACGTCCAGGCAGCAGCCACAGTGCCGTAGTGAGGCCCATCGTGGATGTTTGCTGCGTGGCCGCAGGCGGGTCATCTAAACTCATTGCATCTCAGTTTGCTCGTCGTAGGACGGGTACACTACCACAGCTTTTACTCCACAGGGCTGAGATGATGCCTATAGCACATGTAAACTATAAAGTTTGTCTGAGTATCAGTTATAATTATGCTTCTCTGGAAACCTCCAGGTGTGGGACTTGTGCTGAGCAGCACCTCGCCCTGGTGGTCAGGATACCCTGGGCCAACTCTTCCTTCAGCTTGGAGCCAACGACTCTGCTGAGGTCACTGGGGGTGCCACAGCGTGCCGGTCCCAGGGTCACAAGGACCTGAGTTCAAATGTAGCCTCAGAGACTTCCTAGCTGCAGGACCCTGGGCAAGTCCCTTGACTAAGTCTGTTTGACTTAGTTTCCTCAAGTGTCAAATGGGGGTTGTTGTGAGGATCAAATGAGATCACGATTGTGAAGTGCTTTGCAAAACCTTGCAGGCTACCATGATTTCTGCTCCCAAACTTATGTCCGATTCTCTCACAAAAAGACATTCACGGAGATGAAAAGCCAAGCAAAGAGACGGAAGAGTGAACAAGGTGACACGTTTTATTTACGAAGATGCCAGTATTTGCAACACCTGAAATATTCATTCAACAAACACAGAAAACTGTCCTCATCCCCAAAGTGGCCATCGAGTTAATGCAGAAACACAGCAGAGACAGCATATCATTTAGTTACACTTGAAATGATTTTTAATTTAGAAAAAACAACCCTTGAATTTGAACCTGAACCAGTAAGTTTCACGTTTAAAAAATAATAATAAAGAAAAAGAAACAGTTGATGCAATTCAACTTACAAATATGATTTGTTTAAAAAGTGATTTAACAGCATTAATAAACACATGATGATTAGTTAAATTAAGGATATTTTCTTTGAAAAATTTAGTGAGATAAATGGCAGCATTAGTTTTGGAAATGCAAAAATATTCCAAAATGGAAATATGCAAGTTGACTTCACATTTTGGAAAATGGAGATTTCCCACATAATGTATGAGAAGTTGCTGGGTGCATTAACATTCTGGAGAAGCTCCCTTGTAATTATTAAGGAATCTATGTCTGTGAAGCTTACAAAAGGTCAGGTTACCGGCGTCGGGATTTCTTATATTCACACGGTAGCTAATTTTGTGCCAATAAATCACTTCTCCCGACCAGACATGAGGGAAACCAGTATAAACACTGCACTTTGCTTGCTACGAGGAGGAATCACAAAGGATGCTGGGGCGTCAGCTGGTCTCCATCCACCATTCTCGGCAGGTGAGGATGGTTTTGTTGCTTTTGAAAACAGGAATGAATAGGTTCTACTGGAAAGGCACAAACTGGTTAGGGAATCAAAGTTTGTTTCTCTCTTGCCCTTTCTAGGAGCAGGGGCAGATTCTCGGCTGCTCCAGACCTGCAGAAAGAGTAGCTTCTTTCTGAATGAGACCCCCAGATGTCATCTTTGTTTTTCTGGACTAGGTGGCTTGAGAAAACAAAGTTCTCTTTCCTAACAAGCCACAAGGGAAATAACCTGACATCCATCATTATTCCCTTTCCTCTTGCCTCTTCCCCATCTTTTGGGCTCTTAGTTACATCATTCAGCAACTCTGAAAACAAGAGCCCAGAATGTGTCACATGCTGTGACTGCACCTGAAGAAAGGTGGGATACGTGTGTGCATGTGCGCACACATGTGTATGGCTGTGTGCGTGCAGATCGTACATGCACGTTTGTGTGCATGTACACACATGTGAGCACACGTGGGTCTGTGGGCATTGTGGACCTGTGCATTCTGTGTGCATGTGT